GGCCCAAATTTGAAATTATGCGAGCCAAATATTGGTACGTAATGGTGACCAACAGAGGGGCGAATTTCCCCCTCCCTCCTCCGCGAAACGCGGAAGCTTTGACGTGTCATTTAATTATAAGAAAAGAAGACGGTTCGTTGTACCGTTCTCGAAAATAAATCTCGTCTGAATTTAGTTTTTGCCCTCTCGCGCGAAGCGCGGAAAATTTTAGGATTTATTAATTATTAGAGAAAGAAAACGATTCGTTGTAGAGTTCTCAACTCTAAATTCTCGTCTGAATTCATGTTCCCCCCCTATCGCGCGAAGCGCGGAAGCTTTTAAGTTTCCTTAAATCATTAGAGAAACAAAACGATTCGTTGTACCGTTTTCGAAAATAATCCTCGTCTGAATTTAGATTCTTCCCCCCCCCCCCCCTCCCGCGCGAAGCGCGGAAGCTTTTACGTTTCATTAAATCATTAGAGAAACAAAACGATTCGTTGTACAGTTCTCGAAAATAATTCTCGTCTGAATTTAGTTTTTCCCCTCGCGCGCGACGCGCGGAAAATTTTAGGATTTATTAAATTATTAGAGAAAGAAGACGATTCGTTGTAGAGTTCTCGACTCTAAATTCTCGTCTGAATTCAGGTTCCCCCCTTTTAAGTTTCCTTAAATCATTAGAGAAAAAAAACGATTCGTTGTACCGTTTTCGAAAATAATCCTCGTCTGAATTTAGATTCTCCCCCCTCCCGCGCGGAAGCTTTTAAGTTTCCTTAAATCATTAGAGAAAAAAGACAATTCGTTGTACCGTTTTCGAAAATAATCCTCGTCTGAATTTAGATTCTCCCCCCCCCCCCCCTCCCGCGCGAAGCGCGGAAGCTTTTACGATTCATTAAATCATTAGAGAAAGAAGACGATTCGTTGTACCGTTCTCGACTCTTAATCCTTGTCTAGATTCAGTTCCCCCCTCCCTCTCCCCCTCCTGCGCGAAGCGCGGAAGCTTTGACGTTTCATTAAACTATATGAAGAAGGCAATTCGTTGTACCGTTCTCGAATCTTAATCCTCGTCTGAATTCAGTTCCCTCCCCCCCCCCCCCCCCCCCTCCGCGCGAAGCGCGGAAGCTTTTACGTTTCATTAAATTATTAGAGAAAGAAGACGATTCGCTGTACAGTTCTTAATCCTCGTCTGAATTCAGGTCCCCCCCCCCCCTCTTGCGCGAAGCGCGGAAGCTTTTAAGTTTCATAAGATTATGAGAGAAAGAAGACGATTGGCTGAACAGTTCTCGACTCTTAATCCTCGTCTGAATTTCGATTCTCGCCCCTCCCGCGCGAAGCGCGGAAGCTTTTATGTTTCATTAAATCATTAGAGAAACAAGACGATTCGTTGTACAGTTCTCGACTCTTAATCCTCGTCTGAATTTAGTTTACCCCCTCCCCCTCCTGCGCGATTCGCGGAAGCTTTGACGTTTCATTAAACTATTGAAGAAAGAAGGCGATTCGTTGTACCGTTCTCGACTCTTAATCCTCGTCTGAATTCAGGTCCCCTCCCCCCCCCCCTCCCGCGCGAAGCGCTCAAGCTTTAAAGTTTCATAAGATTATGAGAGAAACAAAACGATTCGTTGTACAGTTCTCGAAAATAATTCTCGTCTGAATTTAGTTTTTCCCCTCGCGCGCGACGCGCGGAAAATTTTAGGATTTATTAAATTATTAGAGAAAGAAGACGATTCGTTGTAGAGTTCTCGACTCTAAATTCTCGTCTGAATTCAGGTTCCCCCCTTTTAAGTTTCCTTAAATCATTAGAGAAAAAAAACGATTCGTTGTACCGTTTTCGAAAATAATCCTCGTCTGAATTTAGATTCTCCCCCCTCCCGCGCGAAGCTTTTAAGTTTCCTTAAATCATTAGAGAAAAAAGACAATTCGTTGTACCGTTTTCGAAAATAATCCTCGTCTGAATTTAGATTCTCCCCCCCCCCCCTCCCGCGCGAAGCGCGGAAGCTTTTACGATTCATTAAATCATTAGAGAAAGAAGACGATTCGTTGTACCGTTCTCGACTCTTAATCCTTGTCTAGATTCAGTTCCCCCCTCCCTCTCCCCCTCCTGCGCGAAGCGCGGAAGCTTTGACGTTTCATTAAACTATATGAAAGAAGGCAATTCGTTGTACCGTTCTCGAATCTTAATCCTCGTCTGAATTCAGTTCCCTCCCCCCCCCCCCCCCCCTCCGCGCGAAGCGCGGAAGCTTTTACGTTTCATTAAATTATTAGAGAAAGAAGACGATTCGCTGTACAGTTCTTAATCCTCGTCTGAATTCAGGTCCCCCCCCCCCTCTTGCGCGAAGCGCGGAAGCTTTTAAGTTTCATAAGATTATGAGAGAAAGAAGACGATTGGCTGAACAGTTCTCGACTCTTAATCCTCGTCTGAATTTCGATTCTCGCCCCTCCCGCGCGAAGCGCGGAAGCTTTTATGTTTCATTAAATCATTAGAGAAACAAGACGATTCGTTGTACAGTTCTCGACTCTTAATCCTCGTCTGAATTTAGTTTACCCCCTCCCCCTCCTGCGCGATTCGCGGAAGCTTTGACGTTTCATTAAACTATTGAAGAAAGAAGGCGATTCGTTGTACCGTTCTCGACTCTTAATCCTCGTCTGAATTCAGGTCCCCTCCCCCCCCCCCCCCTCCCGCGCGAAGCGCTCAAGCTTTAAAGTTTCATAAGATTATGAGAGAAAAAAGACGATTTGCTGTTCAGTTCTCGACTCTTAATCCTCGTCTGAATTCAGGTTCCCCCCTCCCGCGCGAAGCGCGGAAGCTTTTAATTTTCATCAAATCATTAGAGAAAGAAGACGATTCGTTGTACCGCTCTCGAAAATAATCCTCGTCGGAATTAAGTTTCCCCCCCTCCATCCCGCGCGAAGCGCGGAAGCTTTTACGTTTTATTAAATCATAAAAGATTGGTATAACCGTTCTCGCCTCTGAATCCTTGTCTGAATTTAGGTTCCCCTCCCGCGCAAAGCGCGGAAGCTTCACGTTTCATAAGATTATGAGAGAAAAAAGACGATTCGCTGTACCGTTCTCGATTGTTAATCCTTGGCCCCGGAAGCTCAGAGGTTTTAGGCGTTTAATTAAGGTCATATGAGCATATTTTTTTTTGTATACCTTATTATTTCGTGACACTGGCAGGTAACTATTTGGCGTTGGGTCCAGGGGGCGGAGCTCCCCAAACCAGGGGCTTTAGGAATTAAATTACCGTCAGATGAGCATCTAAGGGCCCGCCGTAGGGCCCTTGGTGGGATCCAGGGGGCAGAGCCCACGGAAGCTTAGGGGTTTTAGGCATATTTTAATCACGGTCAGATGAGCATATTTTGATGCCTCATTATTTGTTAACACTGGCAGTTAACTATTCTTTCTTTCTTGCTCTCATTCTATTTTATTTCTCTTTAATATACTTTTTCAAACAAAGTGTGGGGGGAGAGCTCGAGGCTCCCGATCCCCACCGTACCTCGGGCCCTGACATGTAGGAATATCAAGAATCATATTTCTTGCCTGGCTGCAAATTTAGGAATTGGTCATTTTCCAACAAACACATACAAACGTATAATTTACTAAAAAGTGAGGAAAAATCTCGGAAATGATGTAATTTCAGCATTATTTGTAATCCACCGTTGTGGAATTAGAAATAAACCACATTTGAATTTGATTTCCACTAAACCCCCCCCCCCCCCTCCCTATCAGTACGCCAGTATCTCCTCTTTTCCTTTCCCTTTCCTTCCTTCTCTCTTATTTGTTTTATGGGGGGGGGGGGGGGGTCAACAGCCTGGGAGGCAAAGCCCTTTCGACCCCCCGATCTCCTTCTTCCCCCTTTTCTTTTCTTCTTCCTCTTCTTTCTTTCCCTTTCTCTCCTCTTTCCCTTTCGCTTCTTTTCCTTTTTTCTCTTTTTTTTTTTTTTTTTTTTTTTTTTTTGCGGGGGGGGGGGTCCAAGGCCCGCTCGGCCCCCCCCCCCTCCTGGATCCGCGCCTGTCTGCACGGACTGCACCACAAATAAATTGAACTCAAATTCTTTTTCGCGGACTGTCGAACAAAGGGTAAATGAAAGAAAAATCCCCAGAATAAAAAGAAAAGAGCGAAAGAGTCACGTTAGTCGGAATAGAGTGTGAAACAGCGAGCGGAGAAAGCGATGTCTTTGCAGAGATCGATCTGCGTATCCGGACACCTACCCCTGGACATCACCCCTCCCCCACGGATAAGCACCCCATCCCCCCCCCCCCTTGTCCAACTATACCCTACTACCACCTGAGGATAGTTGTCCGGGGGTAGTTGTCTGGGGGTAGCTGTCCGGGCCGGTAGTTGTCCCGGGCGGGGTAGTTGTCCTATAGAGGGTGGTTGCCCTAGGGGGTAGTTGTCCTTGGGGGGGGGGGGGGGGGGGGGGGGTAGTTGACTGGGGGTGGCTTATATCCGGGCCCGAATGACCAGGGGTATCCTATAGAACCGCGTCGATCTGTGCAGAGAAAGAGATGTTGATCAGTGGATAGAAAGAGATATCTGTGCAATTAATGAAAAAGATAGGCTGCGCAAGGAAAGAGATTGATGTCTGCATGTGCGGAGAAAGAGCTGCTAATAGGAACTGGCAATTAATAGGAACTATTTTTTCCTCGGGGCTACACCTCGGAAAAAATAGTACTATGCCAGTCCCTCCTCAGATAAATAATTTTCTCTATTCTTACTCACAGCTTGGTATATTTGAATATTATTATTTGAGTTTGTATGAAAAGTCTATAGCTAGAGAAAAAATAGTTAAATATGCAGACACGCCCCTGCATGCAGACCTATAGATATTTTTTTTTTTTTTTTTTAGAAACAAGGTAACTTAATTCAATTGTCAGTTAATTTGTAACTGAGATCAGCCAAATAATTAGGGTGTTGCAAGCAGGAAGGTCATTTTAACAAGGTATTAGATCTGTAGGGATGCCCCCTCACTATTATTATTTTCTTTTCGAGATTGACTCATCGCTAACTTTGTTTGTGTAGCTTGGATTCGCGCATGCGCACTGGAGATTTGCAAAGAAAGGTCAAATTGAGCCATGGCGCTAAATTTCATCAAGTGTAAACGTACGGATTTTGAGGTATCCCGATAGCAGCTCTACTGTGTAATACAACTGATGCGTTATATCACGAGACTCCCTTACGGTAAATTCATGATATTTTTTCTATAGGCCTAGTGTAACATTCTCAGGGCGATTTCATTTCTTGTTGTACTTGGAATTTCACGTGTTGGCTTTTGTTCAAGCTTTATACCCTAGTCCCATACGTCTGAATTTCTGTAATGTAGGGCATAGATCTGTAGTAGTCTAGGCCAGGTACAGCCTACAGGTCTATGTGGCTTCATGATTTCTATCACTCTTCTTCTTCTTCTTCTTCTTCCTGAAAACTGCAGGCTTCATGAAATGAAGACTAACGCACTGTGGGTTGATGCGCACAGTCTATAGTACGCAGATAGGCACATTCAATGACATTGTTTAGTGATGTGCGGTTAATATTAATAGACTAGGGGTCTAGGGAGTAGGGTTCTAATAAAAATAAAAAGCATGGGTGCAGGGCCCGTGCACGTACGCGTGCATGTGTAGCGACTGTAATTTAAGATCCGCAATAAATTCATGTAGATCTAGTCTAAGTAAGTAGACCTAAGCCTAATTCACATTATGATGATGATCATCATCATTACAGTCACTTCACGCGCGCGCCCGCTCCCCACCCTCGGTAGGGTATGCAATTGTATCGTGCAGCAGTTTGCCGTGATATCTGTGAGAAAGTGTATAGAAATCTATTTATAATGTTTTTGTGTTTAGGAAAAATGCTCCCAAATAGACAAGAAAATTGACACGAAACAGGTAAGAAAGATTTTTGTTATGTTATGGTAGGCAGGCCTGATATAAAACCCAATTTAAATTGGTTTCCCCCCATTTTTTTTTGGTGGATTTTTAAAAAATTTCCTGATTTAAAAAAAAAAAAAAAAAAAATCCTGATTTTCCAGATTTTCCCCTTATTTTCTCTATTCTTCCCTTCCCAATGTTTTTACTCAACAGGGGGGGGGGGGGGGGGGGGGGGGAATGTTGGATGCCATCCCCCCCCCCCAAATTTTTTTTTTTTTTTTTTACTCAAGGGGGGTGGGTTGAAGGTTTTTTGGAGTGCTCACTATCACCCCTGAGTAGGGTGTCTCCACGCCAGAGTCAAGGCTCAAAGTCTCCATATGGGATATGTGCCTCTACTGTATGGCAAAAAACTATTTTTGGACTCTTTAATCCATACTTATTTTCACTCATGTTACAATTACCCAGCACCTATTTTCAACCACTTCCCTCATGAGACTGAAAACCATGTTTGGTTTTGCACTGGACAGTTAAGTTTGTGATCATGTCAATTGTTGTTGCCATTGGAATAGAGCCTGGATCTTGATCACCTTACTGGCTAGGATGGCTATGAGTGCGGAGCCCCAACAGAGTCCACCAAGGAAGAGAGCCAGGTTATCACTCAAGCTTGTTAGGAAAGACCAACAGACAAGCAGAGTCATCGCACCTGTTACAGAAGAACCAGGAGAGAACAAAGATGAGGAACCAAATCAGCAGTATGTTTTTCTTATTCCATTATGTGAGGATAATAGTCTAGGGAGAAATATTGTGGAGGGGGGGGGGGGGGGGGGGGGGGGGGGGGGGGGGGGGGGGGAGAGAGTAAAAGAAAAAGCTTCTTCTGCTGTACATAATTTAACTTACTCTTTATTCTTTTCCTCTGTTTTACATTTATGCATTACAATCTGTCACTTACAATGAATGTTGTAAATGTGTATTTAATCCAGAGAGTATCATAGACCATGTAACATCCAGAGGTACCTGGGACAATGAGTCAAATTTCAGTTTGTAAAGATTTGAATGTTCTTTTCGATCAAAGCTCATCATACCGATGAATAGAAAGAAGTACACTAATTTTTTTTTTTTTTTTTTTTTTGGGGGGGGGGGGGGGGTAAGTTTTGTAAGTATTCATAAAAAATGTACATGAAAACATTATATATTTTCAATTGGTCTATTAAAGCAGATATTATTAAAGCAGAGTACTTTCAGTGTGTACTTTCAGTGTGACTTCACTTTCTTTGCTGTTGCAGGTGTGATACAGCAGGTGATGTAGCATCGTCTTACATGGAGCCTCAATCATCTAGCATCCCCAGTGAGTATGTGATTAGAGTGGCTCCATACACTGGTCTTCATAACCTGGGAAACACCTGCTATCTCAACAGTGTGCTACAGGTATTAAGGTAAGAACATCTCATGAGATATAAGAAAATGGGTTTCAAAATGTAGGCATTTAATTGGTCAAACGCCATCGTGTGATGAGCATCATTCTTTGCTACCATATACGTACTGATAAACAAAAGTTCTACCCAAAAAGTGATAACCCATCGCTAAAAGTGATAGTGCATTGCTGAGATGCGCATATTACCAGTAAGAACTAGTGCTGTAACATCACGGATATCTCCAATTCCGTATAACCGCCAGTCAAAACCGGACAGTTTTCGGTTAAACGATTTTTTAAAAAAAATTTAAAAAACGATTTTTTTTTTTTTTTTTGACCGACTCTGTCGGCAGCAAGTCAGGTCCGTGTGAAAAAGCGGGAAGGACTTTCATTTAATTGCGAGGTGCATTTGTGCTTGTGAAATTGTCACAAATAATAGTAACAATGTCGTTTTTAGAAGAATGTGTAAGATCATTAATGTAAATTCGAAACAGTAGAGGACCTAGGATTAGTGCTGTAACATCACGGATATCTCCAATTCCGTTTAACCGCCTGTCAAAACCGGACGGTTTTCGGTTAAACGATTTATTTAAAAAAATTAAAAAAAAGTAAGGGTTTTTTTTTTTTTTTTTTTTTTTTTGGCCGTGTGAAAAAGCAGAAAGGTGATTTAACTGAAGGCGCCGATTTGTGCTTGTGAACTAGTCACAAATAATAGTAACAATGTCGTTTTAGAATAATGTGTAAGATCATTAAAGTAAATTAAAAACAGTAGAGGACCTAGGATAGAACCTTGTGGTACACCATGTGTTAAACTTGGATGAATATATATTGAGATCTATTACAAAGATTACTTTCAAACCAAGATGACAGACACATTGGAGTGTTGTTCTAGTTTCGGAGTGGTGAGTCAACACACAAATTACTGAGCTGGGAGACATTGCCAGGCATAGTGCCAGGTGGAGGGGCATAAATCGAAACTTAAACAAAAAAACAAAACCACAAAAAATTATTAAAAAAAAAAAAAATTATTAAAAAAAAAACAACGTAAAACAAACTGAAAAGGGTATCCGCCATGGGCGGTTGGATACCGGACGGTTAAACGGTTGACTACAGCACTAGTAAGAACATCTGATAGGCTACCAGTCATCAAATTTGGGGTATGACTGATGTAAACTTGGTACAAATCAAGAAAAGCATGATACATGTACATGTGTAATTGAGAAAAACAAACACATTATGAAATATTTTTTCTCCAAGACCCACTATCATTGGCTGTCATTCATTTTGTCTTGTTACATTCTGTACTGTATGCACCTAGAAAACAAAGAAATGCAGGAATCAATTTTTTTTAACATGTAACATTTGTTTAAATTTGTAATTTGAGGATATATTATGCCCAACACCATTCATGGAATCTGTATGAATTTAACCCTTACTGTACTGGGGGGGGGGGGGGGGGGGGGGGGCCCTGGGAGGCCCTCCCCCCCTCAACATTTTTCGGAGATTGCGCCGCAACCGCTTGGAATTTTGAATTGTCGTTTCATGACTTTTTTTCCTCAAGTCTTGCGCAGATTTTGATACCATTTTCGTCAAAATCGGATATACCTGTAAGGTGTTTTAGTATGCGCATGTCATCAAAAAAGTGCTATAATTGCATATATTCATGTACAAGCAGAAATGTGAAGATATGAATTGATATCAAATTGCTTTTATATGTTTCTCAGAGTAACTTGATGTATTCCAGAACAAAAGAATATATTAGAAATAAAACAATAGATATAATAAGAAAAAAAACAATAAAATACATAAGAAAATAAATAGTTGAAAATCACATCAAATTTGCATAAATTATCATTATTAATTACATCAAATAACTATTTTGTGTTAGAAAAGATGTTTCATATGAATAATGAGTTAAAACATTCAAAAAGTGGAGTCTGACAATTTTTGTAATGATCCTAGTTCCCTAAATATAGTTCCAGATTTGATATTCATGAATGCGTAATTTGCGTTTTCATAATTTATGCAAATTAACCTATGTATTTTCATATATAAAAATAATGAAACCTCATGAATTCGAGATGAAGGGAACATTTATTCAATACATTTTCAAGATTCTTCACAAGTCTACGGACAAATTTGTAGAGTTTTCTGTAAAATGCATAACATTAGCATTTTGCATAATGAATTAGGCTATAACGACAAAAATTTGCATATTAGGAAAAAATAATTATACCTTCTTGTTCCTTACGTAAATATCTACAAATATGCAAATTTTTCGTGTTCATCAGACATTCGACGGCCGAGATCATAGGGGGGGGGGGGGGGGGGGGGCCTGGGCCTGGCCCCCCCCCCCTACGGACAAATTTGAAGAGTTTTCTGTAAAATGCATAACATTAGCATTTTGCATAATTAATTAGGCTATAACGACAAAAATTTGCATATTAGGAAAAAAATAATTATACCTTCTTGTTCCTTACGTAAATATCTACAAATATGCAAATTTTCGTGTTCATCGGACATTCGACGGCCGAGATCATAGGGGGGGGGGGCCCCCCCCCCCCCCCCCCCCCCCCCCCCCCCCCCCCCCCCCCCCCCCCCCCCCCCAGTCAGAGGGTGCTCAAAATAGCCCAGTACAGTAAGGGTTAACCTGTTGCCTTTGCAAACCAGATTGTTCCTATATTAAGCCTGGAGATTGAGAAATGTTTAATAAGGCCTAAATTAAAACTTGTTGTATTGCCTGCATCTATGAACTAGGGAAGGGGCCCTCTGTACAGAATACCTATTGTGCATTTTTCAACTGGGATGATATTAAGCCCGTGAAGAAACCTGTTACAAAAGTGCATGCTAAATGATGAATTAATTGTCTCCAATCGTTTCAATTTGACATGGCAGATACTGTCCTAGCTTCAGTGATAATCTGAATAGACTCTCTGGACTGGTTTCTGAGAAGCTCAAGATGAAAGGAGAAGAGGAGGATATTGATGGAGAGGATGAGAGGAGTAAGAGGAGGAGAAAAGAGTTTATAGCTCAGCTCAAGTTGGTTCGAGCAATGAATAAGGTGAGAGCTTACTATCTTCTCGTGCCATGACAAATGAAAATCTATCATTTTTTAAGATCCAGGAGGGCATTAACATGTGTCTTTTAACACCCAGTTTAAACATAGGTATGACTCTTGACAGACAACATTTGCTTTCTCTAATTGATAATGATAAACAGCAGATTATAAGGTTCTTTACAGATTGTCATGATTAAAAATCAAAGATTTTAGATAGCGTATAATTTCATCATTGTCATGTTTCACTAAAAAGAGAAGTTACATCTCTTTTCCATGACTGGGTCTGACGGTCATTGAAAAACCTGGAAAGTCTTGGTAAAATAAGGTCTTCTTGAAAGTCAGGGAAAGTCATAGAAATTGATTGTGATTACGGCTGCCTCCCAGTTTTCACTGACAATGATCATGGTATTCGCATGCTGGTTGGATACAGCGACCCATAACAAAATTGTACTTATCTGGTCATGGAAAGTCAAGGAATTTGGTTCTCAAATTTCTGTGGGAACCCTGGAACTAATAGGAAGTGCTTTTGACATGATCTTATTTTTCTACGTTATTATCAGTTGTTCAGCACCATGTCTGAGAAGGAGCAGTCTTACGTAGAGCGGTTGATGCCAGCTGGTCAAGAATTAGCCATGTACCCTGAAGACATCTTGGAAGCTATCAGGTAATGATCTCAAACCAAAACGCTTGTTCAGATATGCAGCTGTAAACCATTGGTAAACGGCCTCCAAAAATGGCTCTCTTTTTTTTTGGCGTTTGTAAATCATTAGCAATTGCTCGCAACAAAGGTCCTACAATTATTTTAGTGGGTTCTGTGTTATAAGATACTAACATTTGAAGCATGTCAAACTTACATTATCATTTAAAAAAAATTAAATGCCATGGTTTACCACGTCATATCTGAAGAAGGCTTTTGTATATAGCTCTAACTAGACTGGATGAAAGAAATTTCAGAGCTTTAGTGGATTTTGTGATACATGTGATGTTCAAAAAGCAATTATCACTTTAATGAATATTATAAGTTGGATGGGACTGGACTACATGGGATTATAGGGACTGTTGAGGAGAGAGAGAGAGAGAGGGGGGGGGGGGTCATACCTATTTGCATAGAAGACAGGAACTGATATTTCAGTGTCTATTTAATTTGTTCTTTTCGCATATGCAGAAACGTAGGTAGTAGCTGATGTTTTGAAGGAGTTTGGGTGAACTGGCAGTTACTGAAATGACCGATCTGTTTAGTTTACAGAGCATTGTCATATGGCCTTGTGCAATAGCTGCTGTTTCTTTTTTTCTTCTAGGGATTTGAACTCAATGTTCAAAGGCTATCTGCAGCATGATGCCCAGGAGCTTCTATGCTGCATCCTCAGTAACATCCAGGAAGCTTGTCAACGACTTGGCGAGCGTCAGGGCAACACAGAGAATACAGCTTATCAGGATAATGTAAAGACTGAGCATTCTGAAACCTGCAGGAAAGCTGTGAGGAAACTCGACATGGGCGGGGCTGGGGATGGTGTAACTATGGAGACAGAGTGTGGGAAACTGTTGGGAGGGGGTAGACCCCTTGGTGGAAGGACAACAAGAAGTGACAAGACACTCAATGAAAAGAAATTGGATTGTAAAAGCTTCAATAGCAATGGACTCGTGACGCACCAGGAAAACGGATTTGGCGATCAACCTGATTCTAATGGGTTTGGAGGTCATGATAGACATGTGGATAGTATTAAACTATGTAACGGTAACATCACCAGTACTCTGAGGAAGTCTGAGAAAATAAACGGGGTTGCGGGAGGACACCATGGAGGGATTTCACCAAGTAATGACTCTGTTCGAAGACGAGGTGGAAGGAAGAGTGCTTTGACAAATGGACATCTTTCAGAAAAAGAGTGTAATGGGATGGATGGAAGTCTTCCAGAGACGAATGGGGCAGGAGATTGCGGGAGCTCTAAGAAGAAGCGTCTTGGGCTGGGTCGCCTGACATTCCAGCAGTATACCCTGACCAAGTTTGGCATCATCAAGAAAGACAAAGTTCCATCAACTGATGAACAACATGCACAAGATGATGCATCTCACCACCATGATATCAAATCAGATTCGGGTGATGATTCAAAGGAAGTGTCGTTAAATGGAACATACGCGTCCAGGAATGTAACGTCTAATAATTCCAATGACCCTGATCTTTCCGTAGATACAACGCAAGTGTCATTAAAAGTGGATGATGATGTAGAGACAGTCGAAAGACTGCAAGGGGAATGTTCACAACCAACCACTAAAGAAGCTATCGAGAAAGCTAACATTGACAAAGACAAGGAAATATCAACAGAGCTGGAAGACCACACCATACCTGAGCCATCAAGGGCTCACTGTGCTCTAACACCAATGGTTCAAGACGTTGGGGATGAAGGTGGAGCGGTAGACACTGCAGATGCTGTAACTTTCTTGAGTGAGATGAAAGTCATTGAGAGACTCTTCCAGGGCACCCTAGTCCTGCAGACACGTTGCCTGGAGTGTGAATCATGTTCAGAGAAGAGAGAAGATTTCCAAGACGTCAGTGTTCCAGTCCAGAGTATTCCTGCATTCACCAGTGAAGAGGAACACGAAGAACGTGTACCAGGTAGGGTAAACATCTATTTTGTCAATGTAGACTTGTGTATATTTGGTTGGATTTGAGAAGTTGATGGTAAAAGTGGTTGGATACAAGAAGTTGATGGTAAAAGTGGTTGGATTTGAGAAGTTGATGGTAAAAGTGGTTGGATTTGAGAAGTTGATGGTAAAAGTGGTTGGATTTGAGAAGTTGATGGTAAAAGTGGTTGGATGCAAGAAGTTATTGGTAAAAGTGCTTGGATGCAAGAAGTCAATGGTAAAAGTGGTTGGATACAAGAAGTCAATGGTAAAAGTGGTTTATGATATCAGCCAAAACAAGTACCACAGTCGTCCATTTTAACCCCATACAGTAGGTGCTGTGCCAAAAAATTGAACGTGTATGATGCTCTAAGTTTACAGTAACATTCAAACTCACATATCCTTCAAGTCTAATAAGTTAATGCTTTGTCAATGATCAAATTCATCATAATTAAAGAAATGTGATTTACCATTCCATGGATACATTACATAATTTGAAGATGGGTTATGTTTATCTTTCTCTGGATTTTACTCTTTAGCTATTGAATGTTAATTCAGTACTATGTTTGATTTTGTCCAAATTGCGACAAAATTATTTTTTTGTCACAAATAGTATACTTTTAGAATAGCCTATTAGTAATTACATGCTGTATACATACAACCATTCTGAAAGTTCTTATTTTTGTTCCTTGAATCTAGATGTGAACCCTCGTAATCTGTCTCTAGGCTGGGCATTGTCTGAGTTTACCAGCGTTGAGAGACTGACAGATGATAACAAATATTTCTGTGAGCATTGTTTTCATCTGACCGAGGCTGAGAGATCTGTTCTGTTTGGCAGGCTACCTGGTGTACTGATCATCCAGCTCAAGAGGTTCAGTGCGTTCATCAATTGGTACGTACAGTGTATATGTACATGTATAGCAGAAATGAAATTATAGAAGAGGGTGGGGGCAATGTGAACCTCACAGTCTTCAAAAAGCTATTGACATCCCCCCCCCCCCCCCCCCCCCCCAAAAAAAAAAAAAAAAAAAAAAACGGGGGATGCGATAGTCAGTTGTAATTAATAAAATTTGCTGAACACAATAGTGTAGCTCTTCTGTACATGTAGCCTTGCAAGGAAAATTGCTTTGTTCACCCCAGGGTTAGTAATGTGTATCATTCAAGGAAAAAAAAAAAATTCGACCAGCTTATCTTTAGTTTTATCTCTCCAAATTCCTATAATCAAATGATTTTCATTTTTATTGGGAGGGTAGAAATATGTTGAGTCTGTGTTGTATGCTGCCTTTCTTTTTTTCTTCTTCTCGAAATGAATGTAAGCCGGGGATGTGCTTCATACTCGTGACTCTAATTAATGTATAAACATCCATTCTGATTCAGTGACAATACAATAAACATAGTGTAAAGTAGCATCAATCTGTGTGACACATTTTGGACAAGGAGAGATAATTTTACTTCAGGTTTAACAATACCTGTGTTGCTATCAGATCTAGCCGTTGTCTTTCCTTGTAGGGTACATGAGAATATATTTCCATTTTGTCTTTATTTAGTTTCTCTCCTGGAGGGTCCGTGTCAAAGGTCAACGACCATCTAGCCATCCCGCTGACCCTCAACCTGGCCAAGTGGTGTTCAGGCTCCTGTCAACAGAAGGACACATCCTATGAACTCAGTGCTGTGGTTGCTCACAGTGGGTCGTCTAGCTCTAGTGGTCATTATATCGCCTATGCTAGGGTGCCTCAGAAGAACACGGGTCAGTTGAGTTCGCTCCTTTCATTTCATATGTGATATTCCTTGCATGACATGGGTGGGTGGGGACATGGGAGGGACACCCTAGGAGCCTGATGGTGTGGTTGCTCACAGTGGGTCGTCTAGCTCTAGTGGTCATTATATCGCCTATGCTAGGGTGCCTCAGAAGAATGCAGGTCAGTTGAGTTTTATTTGAGAATTTTTTTATTTTTAATGGCTAATATTTTGTGAGTAATGTTGATAGTTGATTTTGATCATTCAATTTAAAAAAAAAGTCTTGTAAAAAAAAGTCTTTAAAGGTACTATGTCCCTTTTGCAGCCAACCTCAAATGCTGTAGAACTTTGCAGGAATTATGAATATGTCATGTATGTCCTATCTGTGAAATTTAAATGTTAGCAGTGTCCTCATATTCAAATTATGCAAGGAAACCCGTTTACTTGCTAGACTTCACTGTCAGACACTATTGAGTGACTGACTGGCTTTTTCTTCTTTGGTAATAACATACATGAAAAGAGTTGTAAAGGGTACATGAGCATTTGTCTACATCAATAACCCACTTCTTGTGATGGCCAAGATTAAACTGATTGAATCTTTGCGCAGCATAAAACGTATGACCATCCGGTACAATTATCTGAAAATCAAGACTATTACTTTTGGGCTCTATAGCCCTAAAGTCGATTTGACAACTAATAGTCGTTATTTTCCCACTTGAAGATATTTTCAAGCCCCACCTTTTTTAAGGAAGTTCTAAATTGGTATTATCTTTCAAATGCAGTTGGAATTTAACTTTTTCATTTTTTTGGCCTGCAAATGGGACATAGTACCTTTAAAAGCAGCCAATGTGCCTGGCAATATGACTTTGGGAAGGGGTCAGGGGGTTAGATTTTCTCATATTCCTTAACGTGAATTAGTATTTTTTTTCTTCCTGCAAATATTCCTAAATCATTGGATTACCAGCGAAATCAGCAATATTAATGATGAACTTGACTATTGGTAATCTACCTTGACAATTATTCTTGTGGAACTGCAATTAAATGTTGTTTTTCTCTCCCCCCTTAGAATCTCAAGCATGTGATGCAGACCTACCAGCTCTAGACCAGTGTCCTGGGAAAGAGTCTTGGGCTAAATTTGATGATGATCGAGTGCAGGTCCTGTCTGATGAAGACTTTGAATCACTTCTGAATCCTCTACAAGGAAACGACTCTGCAGCTACTCCATACCTTCTCCTATATAAAGATACTCGTCAGATCAGAAGGTGAATGAACGAAGGAGATGGCCGTCTAGTTTATCTCACAAGAACTATTGATGGGCTATCCACTAAACTCAACCGCTTAGTTAAAGATGATTATACAAGAGGCAAAGTTATATGAAGCAGTTGCCTCTAATCTTCACAACAAATTTAGATGAAATGTATTTATTTTCACTAATGATAGTTGCTTCGAAACAATTTCTTCTGTGAAGTTTGAAGATCTCTATCTTTTCAAAGGTTGTGATTTTTCTAAGGTGGAGAAAGTTGAAAAGCTTTCTCCATTTGTATGATAGTTCTTTATTTCTGGAAGATTTCATGTTCATTCAATTTATGTTTGGTAACATTAATTCTTATTCATGAATACTGACCTTTTAGTTAATATTTTAATCTAATGTTCATGAAATGAAATATTGAGACATTCTCACAGCCGTCAGGTTGCAATCCACATTCCAACATACATAACATTCCTCTTATTTTCTTATAGCTAAAAGTGAAACTCTTTGAGAGGAGAAAATATATTTGTCTCGAGCTGTTTTGTGATAAAATCAACATTGTTTGATGTCTTGATATGTAATAATGGGCTTTTGAATGTGTGAGTTATATTTCATATCCTAGAAGAATGTGACTTTTTGTTAACGTTTCATACCAAAAGTTATGATAAATCTTTGCCCAGCTGTGCTGAGAAATATATTTTAATCATTGTAGGTTTGTAATAGCTTGTCTTTCCCTTTTTAAGCTGTTTCCTGTCTATCAAAAATATTTAAAAATTCTGAAAATTGTGAGTCTTATGCTTTGTAGGAAGACCAGGGAACAGGTCAAGATAACAAACTCAGATCTCCCTATAATTATTGCCATACATGTAGTGATTGCAAATTTGGTTAACAACCAGCATTAAAGGTAAAGACCAGTATTGGAAACGCCCCAATTTCAAAAAATGAAAAGGAACCTTTAATTACCAATCATGTGAAAGACTATGTTTTGAATAATACATGATACAAATTTTGCCTGGAAACCGCCTACTAATTGATATATTTGGTAAATTAGTTTATCTATTGGTGTGTGAGAGATAAAAACGCATGTGTGCGTAGTCCCATATACTTCTTTCTGTGTACATTGCTTGTAACTTTATGAAGACTGGGCCAAATTTCTTATCATTTTGATGATTCCAGAACCTTGCAGTACATCTATGCGAGATGATCAACCTTTTCTGATCGATTTCACGTTTCTTTCACAATGCAATCGCATGACCATAACTGGTCTTTATCTTTAAAGTGTATATATATTCTGTTTTAATGTTTGTATTAAAGAAAGGATTTGATGGATTAGGAACAAAATCTGAAACGATTCCATCTGTTGATAATTGTATCACCTCTTGGAAAGTTTGGAAATAAAAACAGTATGAGAAAACAGTTTTATTCATAACCTAATAGTGGGAGGTTATCCTCTTGGCTTCATTTTACATGTTTTGTATGTTACACCAAAAACATCATTTCGCTTAACATAGTGTTCAACAAAATATGCACATGTACATTCATAATTGTCTTTATATCTATCTATGTGTGGCCATATATTTCCTTTCTTTGTTTGTAAATAAAGAGAAAAATAGTATCATGTAGTCTAAACCAAGTGCCAAATTCCTAGTCATTTTGTTATATATAAATAAATTGTAAATAATACATATATATATATACCTCACATTTGAAATGGATGAAATATTCAGTTACCTCTAGGAGATGCACATTTCCACATGTATGTGAATGTATTGTACAGCTGAACTGTTCACAGGTCATAATTAGTTTCCCAAACAAAGACATGACCTTCATGTGAAAGGTTTACTCGCTTTCAGATTTAATCTAACAAGTTTAATATGAGCAATGTTTGCATAGTAAAAGAAATTGTTATTTGTTCATAAACATATTGTATGCTATTGTATAGTGTACATAAATCAATCCTCCCACAACCTGTAAATAAATTTAAAGCCTTTGTTTTTAAATATCTTATATTTACACTGTACGTGAATTTTATATATCAAGAAATTTGGAAAATTAGTTGCAAAGTAGCAATAATACATGTATGTAGTTATGTGACATTGCATAAGGTTTCATTTATTTGTACAGATTAAATACTATACTGGTGTGATTAGCAGTAACTGGGGGGGGGGGGCAGCAATTGCTCCTCAGCAACATGTGAACTATTAAAGACACTCAATAGTCGGCTCTCATGGGGAATTCAACACCATTCGGGTGTTTACCCTATAACAGGTGTTGTCAATCACCAGGGTTAGCCTCAAGTTTTATGACCATTAGACCTTATGTAACAGGCGCGGATCCAGGATTTCTTAGGGGAGGGGGCCCAACTTTTTTTTTTTTGCTCCCGAAAATTTGAAAATCGCGCCGGCCGAAAAGTCGCTCAGTGGGGGGGGGGCGGTAGTGAGCACATTTTTTTTTTTTTTGATCCTCAAAATTTTTTCGATTTGCACCCCCCCCCCCCCCCCCCCTTGAGCGCCAGGGGGGGGGGGGCCAACCCCCAAAAAAGGTAAAAATCACGTGATTTTACATGATTTTTTTCTCAAGGATCCGCCACTGTTATGTAATGCTTACTTTTTCCTCGAGTCACTCTCGAGTATTCTCCGAGAGATTAGGGGGGAATTCTTGACTGGCCAATGGGTTTGCTGTGTGCAGATTTGTACTCCCATTAATGGTATTTCCACCAAGTCTGGTGTCAGCAAATTATGGCCTTCTGCACATGGAAACTGACGAGTGACTCCCTTGAAATGTGAGGCTATCATCATTCCTATCAGTGTTTGGCTCATTCATGTTGCCTGCCCATTGCCAGTTATGCTAATGGCCAATTTATATTACTGGATGAATTATGTTGCACATTTTAAACACCACTAGCTATATACATGTATACATAGTGTGAGATATCAAGTTTCAGAATTTTGAGTATGGATAATAAAATTTGTTTTTAATTGTATGATAGATAAAAGTAGTTTGACCCCAAAGTGTTTTCTTTTTGTCGTTCATTTCTTGTTTCATTTAGCATTTAAACGAAGGCGTACCCTTTATAAGGATGATATTTGTTCACTATGTCAAGTTATGTCTGTAGGAAAAGGCATTTTATATTACAGAGGCACAAACAATCAAAATATTAAATGAGACTAACAGCATGAATCAGTATTGTCTAAACTAAAATAGAAGACTCTAGACAAATAAACAATTCTATTTGCTTTGCAATGTTTTTATTATACAAATAAGCTTTATACAGAGTACGTACATTAGAAAATATGCTGATCAAGGAAGCCATGTTTTTTTTACATGTCCAAGGAAAACAACTTGATCCATCAACCATTTTGAACTTGTTTATCTGCCTGACCAGTTTTTCAAACGTAGTTTACTACACATTTAAGTTAAATGTTTATTTATCAAAGCAATTCACATAATTAAGCTTTGAAAAAATGTTTCAGTTCCATAAATCATGGTGAAAAACTGCACAGAATCATTAATGGTTGATCAATGCCATAATCGTGTCGTATGTGACTCATTTTACATGTATCTTGAATTCTATTAGTTGAAGCGATGCAGATTGGCATACAGCAATTCTAGATTGGTTTGTCTCGCATACTGTTTAGAACAGTACCATAAAACAAACTAATATGAACATCCTGGAAATCACATGGAGTAAAAGGTTCAACTCTGATATTTTGCAAATGGTAATTCAATAATAAATATATTACTTCTATGACACTTGCTTGGGGACTATTTTGTCTTTTTGACACACATGTAGGACAATGGTCTGATTCAGGGTCATGGCCTTATTAGAAAAGCCTTGGGGTTTAAATAGTCATGGCCTAAAATCCCTGTAGAGATTGCTATCCTAATTAGTTTTAGTTTGAGTTTATTGATTTCACATGCAGAAATAATACAGATAACAAAATATACATAAATACATTGTTTCATAATTAAAAAAAGAAATTATATTAATTGACAAGGTAATCATCACATTTGTTTGACAACTAATATCATTTAAAGAAAACCCAGACAAAAGTACAAACTGAAATGTGCAGGAACCTATAGAAAAGCAGAGCTTGTAAAGAATAGGTTCCTGGGAGACTTGAAAAATAACGGGGACATGCATTTCAAAATGATTAAGTCCATAATCAGACATTCAGATTACACATGAAGTAAAATATCTGACCCTTAAAAAGTTCAAGTCAAGGACTTGGCCTTTAATAGGGAACCTTATAGCCTCTTGGATCTCAGCCCCAGAATGACAAAAATTCAAGTAGCCTGACAAACGCATACATGTAGAACCCTTTGTTTTAATGTCTAGTATTGTGAGACAAGAAGTAGCGAACCTCCTGTCCTTCAGAAGATGGGTCTAGGCTACCTCATGCACAGTCCCAAATGATCTAAAACAAGTTCTTCATCAACCTTAAATTCCACAACCCATTTACACAGTTATGCAACTGCAAAGTTGAAAGTGATATCATATTCAACCTTTAAAGACAGGCCTCTCATGCACAGGTCTGTGAAAGGTTTTTCAGCTGGATGAAATGTTAGCTTAGAAGACGTAGGAGGCTAACAGTCTTGGTTGTGATATTAAGGAGCATGTAGTCTGTTTCCCCTATCAAGCTGTATAAATTACATGTACTACCATTCTTGCATTCTCGTGCTATGAATCAACATTGATCAGTTGGATGATCGGTTTGGCTCGGTAGATACAACAGGCTGAAATCCCTGGTACTGAGGTTGCAGCTTCCTGGGGGCCAGTATAACTTAAAACCGTCATAACTTGGTGGACATCTCATAGAAATATGATAATTTACAAGAAGTTTCAGGAGACACCGACTCTCCAGGAGAGAAATTTACAATACGTCTCAATGAGATGTGCAGAAAAACTCATTACAGCTTCGAGAAACCAGCAACTGGTTTGCTCTACCCCAGCAGTTAACAGTAGGAATTCAAATATTTTTAAGACTTGAATCAGCATAGGATTTGATATATTTTCAGTTGAATGCGAGGTTGGCTGAGAAATATACGGGGACTGAAAGACCCTGGTTCTGAGGGTGATGGGGCCCGTATCTCAAAACCATCACAAGGAAATCTCAATAATCATGTGGACATAGCAAAGAAATGTGATAATTTACAAGAAGTTTCAGTGAGATGTCTAGAACTTGGACTTATGATAGTTTGGATAAACTAGCCCCTGGTTCCCTTTCCTTGGTACTTCCCACTAGGAAAGCAGATATCGTTGAGACTTGAATCAGCATAGATAGGATGTGATGCATGTATGTTCAGCTGGATGAGAGGTTGGCTGAGAAGATGAGTGGTTGACAATCCATGGTTCTGAGGTTGATGATCACGCAGGACTTGGTCTCTTGGAAACTAGGCACAGTCACAAGCAGGACCTCCTGATCACAGGATCCTAACGGAAGAAATTCGAAATTAATAAAGGTCATTTGCTGACTTGGAGTCATACTGATACATGACTTGCATACAATATACATTCACTTAATATAGGTTAAACTGCCCCAGTTCTGCTGGGTAAGACAGAGCTGCCAACTAGTACAAATTCCCCGTAATTGGTACGGAAATTAACGATCATCACGGAATGTTGTCTCAAATTAAGATTTTTTTATTTTTTTTTGTAAAATATTTTATTTTAATAAATAGTCTATGATTTATCGTAGCGAGTGCTGTGAAGTATGGCCGCCATGCAACACTCGCTGAGAAAGACAGAAAAATATCAAGTATTATCTTAATAGGCCATTTTTCATGGAAACTATGTTGTGATGACCTGAAAATCAATATTTAACAACTTTGTGTGAGTAAAATCACCAAAAATTTCAGATAAGCATGGGTCCATGCAGTGTTGGCGTGCCGTTTTTTAAAGATAGGAAATTACTGATTTATACCCAAAATTACTGATTTTGAGACTTGTGATTACTGATTTTCTGTTTTGGAGGTTGGCAGCTCTGGTAAGGCATGACTGTATAGGTTACAAGCTCAAAGATAATGATATCAAAACAATTTCACTGTAAAGAAAACAATTAGATAAAAACTATGATGTAGTTTACTTAGTGAACAAGTGTTTTAATGTTAAAACGAACAAGTGTGCCTAGTTATTCTGACCTGTATGCATACCACGTGTAATGAAAATATCTTTAAACATGTCTACAGATAGATTGCTGTCATATCAACATAACCGATACAGAGCAAGGACCTGGAGAAAACATTAAGTCTGAATTGTTCAGGCACTGTATATGTATAAAACTTGGCACATAGTTGTGCCAATAGGCCTTTTTAAAAAAGACATGTTGTATTGCCCTTTAGGTGTCAAAACATGGGTCAGTCTGTCGGAAATCTTTTTCTTTTTAAATTTTTTTTCTTCTTTTTTATCTCCCTCTTTGGGCTGATATGTCTCAGTTTTGAATGCTTTGATATTTTTTTTCTCTAAAAAACGGTTTTAAAAAATATAAAAAATTTAAAAGCCAACCATAGATTTAAAGATGTTGGGGTCGGTCGCAAAAGGTAATACAACACCTTGTTAGGCCTTATAAAGCTACTTGTTAGAAACAGACTGACCTGTCAATTTCTTGGTCTGGAATCTTGGTTGGTTTCCTGCAAAGTAGATGGCTGGACATTCCTTGATGATAAAAGGATCTTGATCGTAGAATGGATAGCATGCTGTGTAAATGGAAGATGGAGAATTCACAGTTAACCTGTATATCTTGAATTTATGATGGGCATTATGCTGTATAAACATAAAGAACATGTAGGGACATTATCGATTCATAACATGTGCAGTGGTTGCTTTTGTTTTTGCACTATTTCATTTTTTAACCAAAACCCTCACTTGGTTTCCCTGAGATAAAAGTGGGCAATTCTTTGCAAGTGATAGTGGTGGTTATTTTACCTGACAGCTAAGAAAGCAATAAATGCTTGTTAGTAAGCAACCAGAAGACCGACGGCTTAAGGTCCTCACCGAGGGACCTGGTAATGAGGATTAATGCCTTGCCACGGATAACGAGACCACTACTCAATCAAACAGTGTCCTGTGACTCCTGTCAATCAATGTAAAACATCTTTTTCAAGTCAAGCCATGCCATCCAAACTATCCCTCAAGGATTCCTATCCAGGCCTGGACAAGTATCCTCTAGAAAAGAACTCCCTAAACCAAACCCCCTCCCCAAGAACTATGCCACAGGTTGCTTTGGATTCTACTTGGAATAACTTTCACAGAGGTAGTTGTCCAGGGGTCATTCTCTGTCTGAGGGGAGGGAGGGGGAGGGAGGGAGGGGGAGGCTTCTCCAAGGGGTACTTGTTTAGGGGCAATAGTCTAGGGGGTCCTGATAGATCATCATGAATTTCCCTAACTAAAGACAGGATACAAAAATAACAATGAAAAATATTAATTAGAGGATTGTGGAAATGTGATTTACTCACCTAAAGTATCAGGAGCTGAGGGAGCAATGTGACCGTATTTCAAGGTTTGTTCTAGGATGGAGAGTCTATCTTCCATGGTGGTAAACTGATAGATGTCTGTCACATTCTGCCCTGATGAACCAAGCACTCTGAAAACACAAACGTATTCCAGAGTTATAAATCGAAAACTCAAGGAACAATCAAATCAATGAATCCTTTGTAGCATTATCCCTACATTATATGAGGGTAATGGAATGTGGAACCAACAAGATGTTTCAGTTATGTAGTCCCACATATTGTTATATCCAGTTAAGGTTAGGGATAGTGATAAGGTGAGGATGAGTGATAGAGTTTGGGTTAGGTTTCATCAAACTGAGATGTACAGGTAGGATCATAAGGAACATTAGAAAATCAAAGCAGAAGGGCCAGGAGGAAATCTTTACATTCCGTTCAGACTACATGAGTGAAAGATTTATAAAAGTTTCAAAGAATAAACAGAGAGAGTCCCAAACAAAAAGAAAGTTTGGGCAAGAGTCACAAATGTCATACAATAAGTTGTGTATAATTAATAGATTTTAATCATGTGCCTCCCCTTTTCCGATCTGTGATGGTTATTTGAATAAAGCTATGATCAAAATCTTTCTCCACTTGCATTTTTGCTCGTTCAAACAATTTCAGTAAAGGTGAAATTATGTTTTCTTTCTGGATATTACTTCATGAAACGGTTGTAAGTACAAATTCACCAACATCCCATTGAAACAAATATTAAATTTAATACACGTTTTTAAATGGGTTGTCTGCAAATTTGAACTTAGGACGGTTTTGTGAAACCCTGCCCTGGTGACTTCTATGACTGCAGCACAGCCTACCTTATTCCTGCAATCTTAGCCTCATAAGGATTGGTGACTGAGTTGAATGTTGAATAGACACTAGACTGTGGGAACATACAACGATGGAACGGCTGCTGAGGAAGACTAGAATTAGCTGGATCAAAATCACCTGCCATTAAGTCAACTGGAATGCAACTCTAAAATGAATAGAAATGGTACCGGTAATTAAAAACAAATAATTGAACAAAAAATGCCTCTACATGTACATAAATAAACATATTTGGTACTAGGCCTTAACAAAAAATGTTTTTATTCTGTTTTATCCTTATAATTTGTTTAAAAGCTTTGGCTTAATACAGCCTGTCTCAAAGTTATATAGCTAGAGCAATGACCTTTATATTGTGTGTGTACTCAATAATTCAATATCTACATCTATCAAATTTTGTCATAGGCTATCAAATGACTATGTTACATGAATGTATCTAGATTTTTAAGTCCTAGAATAAAATGTAGTTCATGAATGATTGTTGTCGGGAAAGATTGTTTTAAATACTTATAATTGATTTGTAATGTTTTGTTGGAAACATGAACAAATTTGAAATCTTGAATTATTAACAAAATAAAAGACTGGTAAAATAGACAACCCATAATAGTACAGATGAATGCCTGGCAGTATAGGAACTGTAACACAAAGGTTTGCGATCAACTGCAATATGAAATAACGATTCTGATTGGTTAAAAGTCAGCCTTGTTATTACAATGAGTGCATGCAATGATGATCTTGATTGCGGGATTGAGGGAAATTTATCTATATAGATTCCATTTACATCATATATAGAGCAATGTTCATACATGAACAGAATGAGTGGGTTGTACTTTCAAATAAGAAAGAATTTATTAAAGAAATTACAAGAATTAAGAATATGAAATTACAAGTCAGAAGAGAGATGAATATCTTACAGTGAGTTGGACTAGTATGTGATCCAGAGTCTTCACACCTTCCACAGTTCCAGCTTGAGATTTCCTGGTTAGGTATTTGGCCTGATATCAATATCAAACAAGATGAAACAAACAAGTCCAAATAATAAAATACAGTCATCATCATACATGGCTACGCATTACAACATTTTATTTTCATAGCAGCAAAGAAATTTACGCTCCAAAGACGGATGTTAGAAAACTACCCAAATTGCTGAAGAATAATTAGGAAACTTGATATCAAAATTTTAAAAAGAAGGAAATACGTAGTAAATGCTCATGGCATAAGTGTTTATCAGTTAAGATGAAATTGCTTAACATAATTAAATATTTTTTTATACACATTGAAGAGTTTCTTGCAGGCTTTACTTATTTTCTACATGAGGCCTAAGAAAAAAAGATGTTGTATTACCCTTTGCGACTGACCCAAAAATCTTGAAATCTACGGTCGGCTTTAAAAAAAAAAAAAAAATAATCGTTTTTTAGAAGTAGAAAATGTATACTGAGAAATATCAGCCCAAAGAGGGAGTAAAACAATAACAAAAAAAAGATTAAAAAAAAAAAGATTTCTGACCGACCCATGTTTTGGCACCTTAAGGGCAATACAACATCTTTTTTGTTTAGGCCTTACTGCAAAAACAAGCAAATAAAATACCTGGGACAAACCTGTAATCAAAAACCCTCCTTCACAAGCGATCATTCTGCTCATTTGCAAATTAACATACATGAATATGTATGAGGTTCGTAACATGTACATACCGTAGTGAGTACACCCTTATCCTGTGTGCTTTCGCTGAGACTGTTACCAGCAATGATGACCCTCACGACCTTAGAGAACATCTTCTGTTGGTCAGCTGTCCCAAGCTGACCAGTGATGATATCTACCATGAGCTGAAGGTTCATCAGATCCGTTTGGTCACTACCAATGCCAAGACCTGACATAAGGATGATATACCTGCCAACATTTGAAAATAAGAATTAGGAATTTTTAGCACGGTATGCCTTCGAAAATAAGAAATCGCACTTGCAACGGCAGTGCACCTGGCAATACACGGTAAATATGTACCAAAAAGCGAATACAAATTCGCTGCTTGATCATACAGCCATTCAACGCACGCAATACATGAACTCTCAATATAAAACAAGCTTGATTGGGCTTTAGCACCAAAAAATTAAAAATCTGAATATTTTGTATTTTCAGGTCCTAAAAATCCTGAAAATCAGAATATTCCAAATTAATTCAAAATCATTTGTAGGGGTTGGCAGGTATGGGATGATAAACCTGGGCAGATACAGGAAGGGGTAGAAAACCGTTCATTAGGAGTGCAATAGCTATGCTGCCTAGACCTACCGTAATAATGACGCTTTAAAACATGTTTCTCGAATATGACTTGAGAACAGAACGACAAACTATACTTGAAAGATCAGTTACATTACTTGCAAGAAATCAATTTTGTTTTCACTTGTTATTTGAGACAACCAATGGATGTAGAAGATAAATTATGTTCTTTTGAAAATAAACAGCAGTGTTTGACCCTGTTGAGCAATCATATTCATACGACTATATATATTATCAAATTAGCTGTGGTATCTTTATGCTAATAGATCAATTAACAGCTATTAGTGAATTATTCTAAGACCCCCCTAGCTAGCCTTCCAACCTATATTAAACAGTTATATTAAAATTGTTAGGTCAACCTACCAGTATTGGAACACATACATATAAATGTAATTAAAAGGGTCTATAGTAACATTGGCAAGAGAGCCTCAGAGATTCTGCTGAGGCACTAACCCTCTTATTACATAATGTTGCAATGATGAGATATGAGCATCAAATAAAGATATAAAAACACAATAACCAAAACAATCATGGGTACAGAAATAAGAAGAGTGTCATTGGGGATTTTTTTTTTTTTTTTTTTTTTTTTTACTTCAGAAGCCTTTGCTGTAGGCTATATTTCATGATAAGACTAGATGGAACTTCGACTGCGCGCAGTCGAAATGATGCCTCCGTCATAGAGCAATTTACAAACCAAAACAGAAGAAATTTTTCAAATTCAAGTTCAATTGTAATCCATTAACAGGTTCTCAGAATATCGTGATTACAAGCAATTTCTCATATACATATATGACCCTTTGATCTTTGACCTCATGACCCTAACATCTACTCAGTTCATTGGCTCCGCAAGATGTCCCGAGTTAAATAGTAATCCATCTGTCAGTTCTAATGAGAATGCGTTCACAAGCTATTTTTGCACACATAATGAGCCCATGACCTTTGACCTTTGACCTCATGACCCAAGAATCTACTCAGTTCATTGGCTCTGCAAGATACATACATGATCTAAGTTTGGCAGGAATCCATCAATCTGTTCTAATGATAATGCGATCACAAGCTATTTTTGCATACATAATGAGCCGCATGACCTTTGACCTTGACCTCATGACCCCAAAATCTAATCAGTTCATCGGCTCTGCAAGTAACATACATGACCTAAGTTTGGCAGGAATCCATCAATCGGTTCTTGAGATAACGCGATCACAAGCTGTTTTTGCATACATAATGAGCCCTGTGACCTTTGACCTTTAACCTCGTGACCCCAAAATCTAATCAGTTCATCGGCTCTGCAAGATACATACATGACCAAAGTTTGGCAGGAATCCATCAATCGGTTCTTCAGATAACGCGATCACGAGCTGTTTTTGCATACATAATGAGCCCTGTGACCTTTGACCTTTGACCTCGTGACCCCCAAATCTAATCAGTTCATCGGCTCTGCAAGATACATACATGACCAAAGTTTGGCAGGAATCCGTCAATCGGTTCTTCAGATAACGCGATCACGAGAACGGGACGTACGGACGGACGGACGGACAACCCGAAAACATAATGCCTCCGGCTACTTCGTAACGGAGGCATAAAAAGGGTTAGAGCAAGGTGTTGGATCCAAGGTTAAAGTTCGTAATTCTGTGAAAGCTAGTTAATGTACATTCACTTCATTCTTTCAGATGAAACTGTTTTTAGGGAAAATTGCTGCTATATATATATATATATATATATATAAGACAACGTTAACCCATTACTTACGGAAACCAGCCAGTCCTTGTAATACGCCTATGGGAGTCAGAGAATTTGGTGGTGACTGGGTTAACATTAGTTTAGGAGCCTCCTACAAACAACATCTATGCATTGCTAGATGTCTGAAACATATGATATTTTTTCTCACCGATCATCATCCAAAGGTGGAAATTCCTCAATGCTGGGTAAATCCACATAGCAGGAATCCTCTACCTCAAACTTGCCATTATCGTTCTCAAATCCTTTCACTGCTATCACAGTACCTAGATAGGAATAGACACAGGTAAATTGCTTCAAATCATATGATGCACAAACAAGATTTCGATATAAATTTATCTATGAGTATTATTGTATGAACGGGAAAATTAAGAGGGATAAGGAAGTTAATTTGGGGAACATGGCCTTAGGGTTAAACGTGAACATCGATAAATAGACAGCATGGTGAACAAAAAGAATGCATAATCCTCTAGTAACCAAGATTTTGTAGGTAATTACAGAGGGGTTTTTCATAAATCCATGTGGATATATTAAAGCCCCACTGTCCTATTTGTAGCTACTTGCTCCCTCTATATAGAAAACTTCCCAAATCGGTGCCTGTTGGTCCCCCATGATCCTCTTTTTCTTACGTTAGTTGAGAGCTGAGTTAATGAGATAGCCACCTGTCAGTGACCTCGCTGTGTGGTCTAATCCCTTCTGGCCCAGTAGTATTGACAGTCTTTAACTAACAAACCAAAAAAGTCAAAATGCTCTGTTCAATTGGTAGTAAAGTTTGGTTTAGTTTACATATTACTACTTCTATACATTAACATTACAACTGCCAAAAAAAGAAAATCAAAAGCAAACAGTACCTAAAATCTTTACAACTGCAAGAACACTTGTATTTGAATATAATGTCTACCTGTGATAGCTGTCTGGACATCGATGTTACCGGTCAGGACTACTCTCTGAAGCTCATCTTCTAGAACAAGAAAGTCTGAATCAGAGAAGAATCTTTCTCTCACTGGCTGGGGTGTAAGGTTTCGCTGAAAATAAAGTATAATCATGTTACAACCTGGGCTCTCTTGCACATAAACTTACCACTGATTAACTGCCATGGGTTTCCTTACCATCAACGCTAAGTTTTATGCAACAGAGCACTAGACTACCGGAGCTAATGTTGTTACATTTAGATGATGCCCAGAGGTAAAATAAACTTGGTATTTGCGGACCTAACAAATTAAAACCAACAATGATCACTTGATACATATATAGTTTGTAAGCTTCTTTAATTTGAAATGAATAAACTATTTATAAAGAGCCCTTATAATTTTTAGTACGGTAATAATAAAAGACAAATAATAATTACTTACATTGACATACATGTACATTGTATTTCTGTTTAATGAAAGAGGTAGGCATTATGACTAGTGTTCTTACATCTTCACTGATCTCTTTAAGGATGCTTGGTTTGAGCTCCATACTCTTGAAGAGAGTTCCTACCACAATCTGTTTCTCTCCGCTGACCAGTTGGTACAGATGGCACAAAGGGGCATCTTCACCTGAATATATCAAAATATTTAATAGAAATTACATATGGATATACCGGTATTTTTGGAAAAGATAAAGTAATTCTTATATATAACACATATATATACATGTATAACACAATGTTTGCAGTTTGCAGTTACTACAAGATGTTTGTTTGTTTTTTACATTCAAAAGCACATTGAAATTGTACATTATTATCCTACCTGAAAGCTGTTTGGTGGAGAGAAGGGAATGAGAGGATAAATGAAATGGTAAAAGCATTGGAAAAACTGGAGAAAAAAAGAGTTACCAGGTAAAGGATAATAGCATGGCTAATTAAAACCTGTAGAATATTACAAACCAAATTTTCACAGATTGTTTTTTAGCCTTGGATTTTTTTACTACCTTGCAGCAAAACTATTTCTGTGTGTAGAAAGTATACAATGACATTTACCCTTGTCAAGAGAGGTTACCCTTAGTATTTTTTCTCTCTTAGTCTCAGTTTCCCTGTCCTTGGCTGGAGCACCAAGTTTGTTTGAGCTGGATGGCTGTTGAGGAACCTAAATGTAAATAATTCCACACAATCCCATCTTTTAGTCCACCTCACTTCCCTCCCAGCATTGAACATATTTGAAGGAGCAGAAAAAACAAGATTCATAATTACTCCTTCAAAAGGTACATTTATTTCTTTTAAATTTCAGACAATTAGGGCCTACCCCATTTTCTTCTGGCTGCTTTCTCCAGGCCTGGCCTCATACTAATCAACCGTTCTGAGTACAGATGAGCATATTGTCTCTGGTAATTGCGATCTTGCAGCTTAAATCGAGAAGAGAGATTTTCGTAGTCACAAGACAGACGTTGGAAGGTTTCTTGTCCAGATGAAGGCATTTCTGTCATTATTGTTAGCCTGAAAGAAAAAAAAAGAAAAATAGGTCTAGGAGTTCTAAAGTTCTTTTTATTCCTCTTCTTCTGTAGACTCTACCAGTAATAAATAAATACAGGGTAATAAATATAGATCTATATAGGGTAATAAACAAAAAAAGCTTCAAAAAAATCTAGATTCTGAAAATGCTAAGTGGGTACTAGACTACTAGTATCTAATAGTGCTTAGCTCGACAAAGCACTTGTTAATTTACAGTAAAATAGCTATTGCTACGTCCAGTGCAATCAGTAAAAACCAAGCTATCTAAGCTAAGCTGATGTGAGAACCAACAGGGGGCTGCATGCATCATTATGATGGAGGGTAGAGCAGCCTCCTTGAAGTTGGTTATTCCTGTTGCATCGATTCCCGCATTTGGAGGGAGTCATAAACCACCACACGCGCCACACTCATTCTCCCGCCGTCCCATCACTCGTCACTTCAGCTCGTAGCGGGAGATTCCCGCCACCACGGCACGCTCTTCGATCCTCCCGCTTCGATGTAGAACTAGAATCTCCCGGTTTATGAAAAAACCTCCTGCCAAACATGTCAACCCCCCCCCCCCCCCCCCCCCCCCCCCCAAAAAAAAAAAAAAAAAAAAAAAAAAAAAAAAATCTGAAATTTAAGGAGGGGTAGGGGGGCCAGGGTGTGGTCTGTTGAGTGAAAAGAAAAAAAATATTCTTAGACTTCAATTTTACTTAGACTTAAATTTTAGTGCTCACTACCCCCATCCCCTAACCCTGGTGTCACTGTAATGTAAACCTGCCTAGGTGTATCCTTTGCATAGGGTCTATGTGTACTAGATCTACATGTACCAACACCTGCACCAACTGGAGGAAGCCAAGCAAAGAAGAAGATCAGCGCAGCCCCACTCATTAACAAATGTGTTTGTAATAAGGTGCTTGGATAAACAAGCTGCTCTGATAAACTAACTATTGTAAAATACATTATAAACCCTATTATGCCAATTTTACGAACTGCAACAAATGATAAAATGAATTATAAAGTCATAAAAAGGCAGCATACCTTGGCTTTACTTGAGCTAATTTAGTGAGTGAATATTTTGTTTTCCCGCGTTGTCAATAATTACGGCGTGAAAATTATGAACACGCACTGTTTGGAAATTGTGTAAACGAAATTGTTGAAATGAAATTTTTTCTTTATAATTTATTTCAAAAATACTCAAACACAATTTTATTGGTAAATTTAATTTTTGTGAATGTAGTTAAAAATAAAATAATGCCTCTAAATTTAAACAAATTTATAATGATACCGAACAATGTTTTGTTCACTAAAGATTATGTCATCATTGTTTACATCTGGCAGCTGGTCGATGGCGATCGTTACGATTTCTTTGTTCTGAGAAGATTCGAATTGGGCTTTGCACCACTTTTTAAGCGTCGATGTTCATGGGATCGGGATGATTTAACACATTTCAAACTCATTTTACTTTTTTGTTCACAATCCGTGAGTATTAATAGAAAAATTGAAGATATTAATCACAAAAACAACATTTCGTATCTCCAGATTCCCCTTGAATCTGTCGAGTCTTGCACTGCCATTGCCACTGCACTGGCAATTGACTGCATCCCCGGCTGCTGTACGTTGTGTACGTGGTGCATGGTGCATCTTGCAAAGTTGCATGTGGTGTCGCAATTTTGCTGAAGCAGCTAGCTGAGCTGAATTGAATTGAGCTAGTTGTCTGAGCTGAGTGAAAGTTTACTTTGAACACTGATGTGTGGGAGTTTGAGTTGATGATGTTCTTTCTTTGGCATACTCAGATCACCTTTATACATGGTGTTAAACATAAAATTAGATCTTATTTATGTCTTTTATAATTTTTATGATCCAAATTGAAACTGAAGTGAACAGACATAAATAATTAAATGATAGAAAAATTTATTACTAAAGCATGCACTTATTCGTTTCTACTTCTAGTTCTATGCTAATACTCATTGAAAGCTTTTACAGCAACTAAACAAGGAAATTGTGGCGTGGTGTCTCTCATAACACAGTGGTCACGATTGATTAGTGCAGCGCGTAGTGTGCGTATGAATACAAGTTGTGCGAGTAAAAACAGGTCATCGTTGATGAATAAAAAAAAAAACTTTTTAGTTGTGCTTACAAAATACATTTTTGTATATAAGTAAACTCGGGATAATGATCATGACAATATTATAGATGCTAAAAGCATGAATTTGGTTTTAACCTCTATAAAAATGGCCTTACATTTGATGATCAAGTCAAGCTGCACACCGATATTGGGTAATAATAGAAGTGTAATCATTTTTCCCATTTGTTTGTTTTTTTTCGTAAAAATGCATTCTGCCAACAATAAAACACACAACGGAATTTGTCTTTTATCTAAGAAGACGTCTTTGAATATACTGTATGTGTATTTTAAGTGGTATCAAAGGCATATTACCGGTATATGTTTGATTGAACCAGTTTGTTTTGTTCAGTATTTGAGATAATTTAGTGGAGAATGAAATTGGTTGAATAATGCATAAAGAAAATTTTAGAAAAAAAGGAGATGTCCTTGTAGGCTTGACTTTGGCTATCATTTTTTTCAGTCTCTCACCTAAAAAAAGAAATTTGATTACCATTGTTTATTTCATCCACTCACAGGTCATGTTTAATCTCACCAGTCGTCTAGTTCAAGCCAGAGAGGCCTGCAACCCAGCCTCTCATCTCGAGGATGAGATGGTCAAAGCAGGACGAGATGCAGAGGAGAATCTCATGAAAGATCTAGTCCATAAAGCTGGCGTTCCCTCTTCATACATCTACCAAGGGCTTAGAGTTCCTGATACATTCCAGACAAGACGACATGAAATAGATGTCGTCATTTTGACAGGTAAAATATTTCTTGACATCAGCTCTCCTTTTTGTAGAAGTTTATATACCTTATACTAGTTGTGAGACATTTTGATTCCATAATTTAGATGGTTTGTTCATAACAATAAAAACAAGTCTATCAACAGTTTCTGAAATGATATGTGATGTGTACTCCAGATGTATTCTAATTCAACATTTTGTATGTGTTGTTTTGCTGAAGTTTAGCATGCCAGAGTATGTCTACATTTTGAATGTTTTTAAGTGTTCTCTGTGTTTGCTCTATGATATATCTTATTTGGGTCATTCATTTCTGGTAACCAGATAAGAAATTGGAAATGCTTTGCGTTTAATCGACTGTATGCCACATAACTTTTGTGATATCATTGTCTTGTTTGTTAATTAGCTCTTCCATTTTATGTGGTTCCTAAATGTACATAATTTTTAGATGTTTTCCCTGCAATATTTTGGGCATTCCAAACAATTGTACCTATTAGAATATCGTGTTAGGATTTCAAAATTAATCAAAAATTTGCCTTCCCTTTTATATTGACAGAGTATGGAATCTACTGCATAGAGGTCAAGAACTGGTCAGGGAAGATCTCACTGAGCACAGATGGCAAGTCCTGGGTTCAACAGAGACATGTCAAAGACTCCAACACAAAGTCCAGCGTGACTTACGATGCATCACACAGTAACGTCTTGAATGAACTCAAATCTAAGACGCAGTTACTCAGGAACCATCTCCTGAGGCATGAAGCTTGCCTCGCAGAAAAGTTCTTCTTCTCAAGAGTAGTCCTGGTGAATCCCAAGACGGAGCTGGATAATTCATTGTGGAAAGAGAAAGAGATTGTGACTTTTGATAGGTATCCATTGTTCCTGGACTCGTTGAAGAGGAGCTATACCGGCAAGGTGGCCAGTTCAATCGTCCCTTCCTTTATCACAGGTATATTATTGCTATTTCACCTACATGTAGATGTACATCATAATGTGCTAACCTTGTTTGGATTGGATGGTGTTTAATCCAGGAAAAGGATATTTTACTGATAATATCTTCAAATAGTATCCTGGAAAAAGAGCAAGAGAGCAATTTAGGGGTTACATATTGATGAATGTTTGATATTTTCTACCAAGGTTTGGTCACTTTGGTTTTCCTGCATATTTTCCAAACAATCTTTATTAAAAAAAAAACACTTGTACTTAGCTCTGTAAACATTTGCCAGAGATTTGACCCAAACTGTTATCAACAGGTCAGCTCAGGTTAGATTGAATATTTCCTGAGTAAATAGACTGTATTTGTACTGTTTATCTTTGATTCAGGTCAGTTATCTTACAGTGCAATGGAATCAGCCAGGCATGCGTTGGACCAGATAGGAACATGGGATGTGGTACATTTGAATGGAGGAAAACAAATCATTGGTAAGGAACTTGTTCATTGACCATCAAGTTATTACTACTTTGCTCTAGTCCACTTGATTACATTTGCATTCCTATATTTCCATTCATTAATACTCTTAATTTTCTAATGAAAACAAAATGAGAAGTAGCTATGATCATGAGAGGTTACGTGGTAGATAGCTCACAATGGATTCTGAAGAAAAAAATGTATATCAACGTTGTATATGACTTTTTTCTATGCAAACCAAAGTTTTCCAGCAACAAGAACATTCTATGTTCTTATTAAAGTGTCTACTCATTTATTCAAACAATCTCATATTGTATACGTGTAAATGTATTTCTAACTGTCAGTAAAGAATATTGTTATCAATCTAATGAGAGAAACAGTCTTGAAAGAATGTTTCATTTCACTTTCCTAGTTCCTTTTAAGGCGTAGAACCAATGAAACATTCTTTGTTGATGTTCATGTTATATCAGGTGACTATAAAGGAAACAAGGACCTAATACTGAACAGGAAGACGGCATGTAGGATGGAATTCAAACACCAACGTAGCTCAGTTCTTGGATCTCTGTGGGCAGTCATGGGATTCACTCCTCAGGTAAGTGTTCCTTTACCCATTCCTCTCTTCTAAATTTCTCTGTGAATTCATCTTTAGATAGATATAGAGAGGTATTTTTTTTTTTTTTAAATGCCAATGTAAAGTTTAAAGGGAAATCAACCTTGAAAGCAAACAACTCTAAAAGAAGGCAGAAAATTCAGACTGGTGACAAAAAATAAGAAAGTTATTAGTTGTTTTTAAAGTTGTAATCACTCTATGTTCGGGGACGTCAAATTGGCTGAATCGGTAATGTCATTCTGTAGAGGCGGATAACTTTCCCATTTGTTCAAACGACAAAACCATGACTAAACAGTCACTATTTTCAAAATGTATGACTCAAAAGGGTCTTTTCTAGTCAGAGGACCTATAATATATATCCATAATATGTTTTGAGTAGTTCCCCTAGGGAGAAGGCACTTGGGAGAAAAAAAAGATATTAAATATATTTTTGTACACAACAAACGGGACAATGTCACAATTCACTGACAAAATTGCCAACTTGAGATTCGCATAGCTATAGTGATCTTATATTTCAAACATTCATAACTCTTATTATTGGTCCGATTTATTTCAAACTTCTCCATTTTGTTTCTATTATTTTTCTGCTTTCGTACATATGAGCTTATGACTAGGGTTAGATTGCCCTTTAAGACGTAGTAAACCTCTTCACTAGCATTGACCAATCAGCTTAGTTTCCATTTGCTGAATGAAAAGACAGGAAGGTGGGCTGCTTTAATGGCTTTTCAAACTGAAGTGGAGCATTTCCTCTTCATGAAGAAGGAATAATATTCATGGAATAGAACAATAACCCTGCAATTATTCTTAATTCATCATTGTGTATTTGCCAGGTGGTAGTGACAATCTACAAGCGTGGAGGAGACGGCTGGCTATGGAATGCCACCTGTGCACAGGTCAGTGTGTCGTATGATGCAGAAATCTCATTCAGACCTGCTGGAGAAGAGGTTGATGCTAAGATACAAGCCAACGACATTGAAAGTATTATCTTGAGCACGTAACTACACACTGGTTAAGAGGTTGCTGCTAACATCCAAGCTAAGGACATTGAAAGTATCATCTTGAGCACGTAACCTGTACATGCCGGTGAAGAGGGTATACTGCTTATGTCCAATTCAAGCTAAGGATATTGAAAGTATCAGTAGTCATCGCATTGCACTCCTACGGTTTCATCGTTGTTTATTGAGAATTGTGATTGAAGAGAATATTGGATTATGACTAGCATTATTTCAATATTGTTACACACACACACACACACACACACTTGTTTTTTTTTCTCTCTCTTTTTTGTATGTATTAACATTATTTGATGTACATGTATGTCCTACTAAATGCTGCCAAAGTATACATTGAATTTTTCAGATATTAATACTATTCTCCTAAGTCCTATTGGCATAATAATCTAGTCCTATATATTCTGACCTCTTCTTTTCTAAAAACGTGCTGTTGTTTTTATCTTGAATAAGTATAAAATGGTGCCATAATTTGTATTCAGGATTTAAATATTGGTGAGGTCCACTGAAATAGATACTGAACAAAATATGTGTATTTTCGATGAAAACCTCTTTTACTCTGTAGTATACGTAGCATAACTTTCTTGTCTTCTGTATTGTATTCTGGATTGTATATACTATGCATCAGACTGATGAGGAATTTATTTAGCCATTCCAAATATGTACAAATACACGACACTTCGCTGTTTCTACCTATTGTGTATTTTTTGTCTGTCAGTTCAATTTTACACATTATAAGATATTTTTGTAAAAATCCTATGTAAATATAATCACTTCTTATGAGATGCCAACTGTACATACCTAACTTTTCTGTTTATGTCATATTTTAATACTCATTCTTGAATAAAGACTGCCATTATTGTAAAAGAAAATGTTACTTCAATCAGATAAAAAAAACTTTCAGCTTTTATTTCAAAGTTGATAGACTGATAAGAGATCATTTAAGGCTGTCAGTATTCAGATTTTCAGATAAGATGAGTGAGTAAAATACATGTGATATTTTGACAGTAAATAAGGTTTATATGATATTAAGTATTATTAATGCTCAGTGCAAAGTAATTTCGTAAGAAAATAAATGGCTGATTCAAAATGTCTCACAGGTAGGCCTATGAGGAAATATATATTCTGTTTTACATTTTCTTCTATACGAAATTGATGTAAAACTATATTCTAACTGTTTAAATGCAATGTTAACATATAACTTTGGACATTAATTTTCTTGCTGTGGTCAGCCTCTTGCCAAATTTTGCAGATTTGCAATTAACTGTAAGAATATTTGTTTAAGTTAAACAAAAAATTGAAAATGTATAAAACACATGAATGCAGCCATTGATACCACTTAACTGGTGGTTGGACGATTTCTAAACAGAAGAAAGAATTGATCTGCAAAACAGTGACATTTCATCTTCGCATACCATTGAACTATAATTTGAACAATGGTATGAATGTGTGGTTCTTTCTTGTGATAGGAAAGAGGAAAGTTGAGATGTGTTTGTTGCTATAGCGTCTGTGTATATTTTAAAGCCAGACATGCAAACATACCTGGTAGTGGAAGACAGTAAACCCAAGCATTCCATTTAGCATTGATAAAAACCATTTCCACATACATGTAAATGTAATTATGTAGGCACATTTGCCATTCAAAAGTCAATTACTCATAGGATTTGTTTTTAAATGAATGATTTTATTGAAACAAGTTACATATGACAATATTTATGAAATTTCAGAAAATACCCACCTAGCTTACATGTAACCGGAATATTCCTTCTTTCATTGAGCAAAGAAACTGGTCCAAGTTTAGCCTATAATCTAGGCGGAGTGCCGAGCTTTTTTCTTTGCTGCTAGACTAACCCTAAGCAGAACGTCTGATACGGCGAGACTACGAACCGTGAGTCGCGAAGCGGCTAGTCTCGCCGTATCAGACGTTCTGCTTAGGGTTAGTCTAGCAGCAAAGAAAAAAGCTCGGCACTCCGCCTAGATTATAGGCTAGTCCAAGTTTAATATGTACAAACATTTATCCTCTCCACAAACCAGTAGAGAGGATAAGATGAACCAATGTCAAAACCGTATTTCAGACTGCATTCATCTCTCATGATCACTTGATCAGATGTAATGCTGCATTGATAAATATCATCAATAAATGTCTGTTGCTCGTTTCTTGTCAACATGGCTCGTTGCTATGACAACGTTATCTGCCAGAAGAACTATACATGTCTACCTCCATTGATGCAGACGATCGTGCATTGTATAAAAGAAAGCTCAGTATCCTCTTGGGAATGTTTGACAGAACGGCATCACTTATATCTTAGCTCGTTAGTTGTACTTCAATTCTTAGAAGAATTCATATCACACCGTGTAATGTACAATCAAGTCAATTTGCAAACATGGGATAAACACTTGCTTTCAATGCACTTCTTAATTAGAATTTGGCTATTGCCATGGTAAACTAACAAGTCAGGTATATACAGCATAGTCAATGCAACATATTATCTTGAGCAGTTTTATTAAACGTCACCTATATTATCAAAAGAACATATTGTATTAATATGTATCTAATTTATATCTGAAAGGCTCTACTTTTATCCAGACAATGTCAATTTGTTCTGTATAAAATGAAAATAAATTGGTTTCTTAGATGATTAAAACAAAAGGAATTTGCTGGTTATTTCAATGAGCCTGCATGGCTCAGGGTTATTGATCAATAATTATATTTCCTAGTTATTATCAGTAACATTGGTTTTATAATTTACTCTGAATGTTTACATGTATATGAATGAATGAAGATATAGATGGTGTACGTCATGTTACACCTGGGCCCCATCCTATAACGAGTTGATATTAATTGCAACTATGTACATAAGAGATAGGAGACTGCAAACTTGCGATTGATTGGAGTATTTGCAATTGATCTAGATCAATCACAACTCTTTATAAAATGGGGCCCTGCTTCAACCTTTTTTAAAATCCTATGTATTATTACATGAAATATGAAAGGCTATCTGAGAAATTGATACAGTATCTGTCTTTAAAAATGAGCAGGCTCAAAATAATAGTTAAATAATTTGCTTGATAGAAATTGCAGTGATGTTTCATTCATTTGTTGTTTCTTTCTCTTTCATGTAAATCATTATGAATTTTGTTCATGCTTTTACACTGTGCAGTTCAGTTATTTTCCCTTCTCTTGTGACATTTAATTTAGAATATGCTTTTGTAAATGTTCCAATTCAACTGTTTGAACCTTGTAAATGAACCACATTCCCTGTAGATAAGGTGCGTTAATGTAGTTTTTTTTTTTTTTCTTCAATTATTTTTCCACATTATTAACAAGCCATTTGTATCATTCTCACAAACACAACTAGCCATCTATATCTTGCTTTGTATATTTTATTTGTGATTAACTTTTAACGTTTACATTTGCTGTGTTTGCAATCAAAAAGAAGAAAAAAAATGTTTTGTATAGGAATTGCTGTAATCCTGGCCAATAGCTGTGCAAGACTAACTTTGATGTGTATTCGTTTTAAAGTATGCAATATTTCATCACGCCGTTAATATTTTTAAAACTTTCTTGTAAATATCTACCCGTGTGCTTTGGTATACATGTATTAATATAGTTATGATTTGTGGTATATTTTCCTACAGGGAGTCAGAGTACATTTTGTAAATAAACATGAAATTCTCACAATATTTAATCTGGTTCATGTTTTTTTTCCTTGTCACATTAACATGTTTATGTTTGATTTTAGAGATGGCTTATAGAAAGCATGGTAAACAATTCAACAATGTTCGATGGCAGTTGCGATTGATTACAAGTTGTGATTTTATTTGCAACGCCCCACTAGTCTCCTAAATGTCCTAGGATTTTGTTAGGATTAAAGTTTTAACAATTAAATTAACTGAACTAGATCTAGCTTGTAACCACCCCCCCCCCCCCCCTCTCTCTCTCTCTCTCTCTCTCTCTCTCTCTCTCTCTCTCTCTCTCTATTTTACTAATGGGGCGTTGCAAAAAGTTGAGTGGTGATCAACTGCAAATTTGCAACTAATTGCAAGACTTACACTTGATTTGGGGGATTTGCAATTGATTGCAACTTTCCTGTAACGCCCCATAGGATAGTTTATGTTACTTTCGATTGATATTTTTTTTGGCGTACTTGATATATTTATTTTTATAAAGAAACAAATACCCAACCTTTGTGCGTTGTCATTTCTAAATGGAATCTAGCCAAAGTACGAGTATTACCACAGGATAATGCGCAGTAAAAACCTCTCAAATTATACGCTTGAACTCATTTTGTAAACTAGTACAGACACTTAGGTCTGCCTGCAAGATAAGCTGCTATGCTCTCTATCTTGCTTATATTATCTCTGATAGCTAGTAGTTTAGGATAAGAGGAGAAGAGCTCTTCACCAACCCAGTCTTTCACCACGTCTATATAGTTGAAGGTCGCCACATCAGCTAACGATGCCTAGACAATGACAGAAAGAGATTAGGACGCGGGGATATAATATATATATATATAAATTACGATTAGACCAGGTAATAACCATTTTGTTTTGTTTGGTATACATTGACTTATTTTAATCAAAAAGTATGAATGAAAGGAAGAAGGTGAGAGACCGAGATCGGATCTGGAGGGGAACGTTCAACTTTTTGTTTTGAAAGAAGAAGGAAAGAGACTTGGGATCGGTAGTTAGATGATTGTAATACCTTTGAACGTGCTGATTTTCCCCCTTTTTTAAACTTGAAATAAAATCTTTTACAATTTATTTAATTATAGAAGGAAATTAATTTGTTTGATAGGGAAGAGGGAGGCGACGAACTTGATATAGTTGGTGGGAGGGGGTTGGGGTAGAGAAAAGGAGAAATATAGAAAATAGAGGAAGAAAGTGTAAGAGAGAGGGAGAGAGAGATGCACAGGGGCTCAGTGGTATAGAGCAGTGGTCTCGTAGCCGGGAGGTCCCGGGTTCGAAACCAAGTCGGTGAGCTTGTGAGTGCCCTCAGTTGGTAAGACATTAATCCTTATTACCAAGTCCCTACGAGAGGACTTAAAGCCACCAATCAACTCGTTGCTTAGTTACGAGCAAAATAATGCTTTCTTAGCAGTCATTAAAACAAAACAGTGTAAGAAATTATTTGAATCATACATACCTTCTGACCAATAACAAATTCAGTGTTGTTTTTTAACAGGCTTTCTAGATAGCTTAGTAAACGTGGACCAGTTCCTTGCAAAAACGATTGCCTCAGTTGCTCCTATTAAAGTGAAAGCAAGGATTGAAGGGGAATTAAAAATTAAATGTCTGAAAAATCTTTAAAATAAGACATTCGGTGAGTCATTTGACAGAAAGACTTCTTGCGCTGCATGGCCACGTGCCTGCATTTAAGCACCGCGCCCCTTGCATAGTTAATCGTTGAGAAAGACTATCCAACTAGTCTGATGTGATTGCCTACATACTATTTGTATAAAGCGATCTCATCACCAGATTGTCCAACTCTCATTTAACAAATAGTCAGATTAGTTTAGGCTATTTTAAGCTGTAATTTGGCTATTGACCATTATACGTCTGAAGTCTCTTACATAAAGCGTTTCCATTAAAAGCAACTCTAAAATTAAGCGCAACTCAACTTTCAACCAATCAGAGTCGCCTATTCGGGGACTTCCCTCAATTTGTCTTTTTTCTATTTTTTTTTTAGTTGAGTTGAAACGTAATATTTTGTGCAAGATCCTGACCTGGGTCTTGTGATAAAGCTCCCCTCTCCCCTTTTTTGTCTTCCTTTTTTGTTGTTGATTGTTTGCGTTTTTTTTTTTTTTTTTTTAATCAAATTGATTTTTTTTTTTAACCAAACGGATATATGCAAATTGGCATTGTACAAGCTGATCATTGGACTAAAATTGGGATGGGAAGAATTGTCATTTTTACGAGCTATTATGATAGCACGCTTACCTTCTTGGTTTGTTCTTCTTCAAACATAATCTTAGCTGCTGCGTCTAGGAATTCATCCCAGCATTCTGTTACTACATCGATGATCACAGACTCATCGTTTGACTCTCCATATAGACCTTGCAAAAGGAAAGCAAGAAATCTAATCAGTTACACTCTGTGAAATGTGCAACGTTGTAGTGCTCATACCCACCCCCCCCCCCCAAAAAAAAAAAACACTGAGCCTTTATACCCCCCCCCCCCCCCCGCGCTTATTCACTGGCTGGCTGTTTCGCCACTTAATATTTTGGCCCCCTCCCCTGCCGGCGGCTGGATCCGCCCCTCGCTAGACGTGATGGTGAGAGATAAATTGTATCTTACAGCTCCATAAGTTGTAGTTGTTCATGAAATGAAGTAATATCTAGGAAGAGGGGGAAGGAGGGGGGTTGAGGAAATCTTAATGTAAGGATAATCAGAATAAAAAGGTATCAGTGTACAGAAGGAAATTACACAATTAGGAAAATGCATCAATGAAAGTTAAATACTGCGAGACAAAAAATGATATTGAACGTCGAGGTGAAGTATACGGTATAGATAATAAGGGCACGTGCTCCCTTTTCAATAGCGAAAACATACCGGTAATCTTCGTATTCCTTAGATTCTAAGCCCCATCCCTCTTTGATGATAATAACCCTCCCTACGAACATGTCTAGATGTATATGATCAAACAAACGAAAGGAAATCCAGAATATGACCAAGCTAGGCTGAATATGAACTCACCAAATTCCTTTGCCAAATACCGTTGAATGGCTCGACTCTGAGGGAGAATAATCTTTCCTTCCTCGCTCTCAATCTCTAAGATTGGTAAATCACCGTAAGGAGCATCTGTTGATATAAATAGGTGTTTATAAAAACCAAAAATTGCCATGATACATGCATGCAACCATTGCATATTGATCAATAATTACTGCTAAGATGCAAATATCGGTTCTAGGACATATACCCCCTGGACATCCACACCCGGATAACCACCCCCAGCCAACTATACCCCCTAAGACTACCCCCTAGGATATACCCCCCAGACAACTACCCCCTAGGACAACTACCCCCGGACAACTAACCCCTGGACAACTACCACGAAAACCATCCTCTACGACAACTACACCGGGACAACTATCCTAGGGGGTAATTGTCCTGGGGTACTGTTGTCCTATCATATTATATTATCTTTCATTCGATCACCACCATATAAAATCCACATTAATTATGATGTGGATTATGCTGGTATTGCATTGCTAGCATGATTAAGTTTTTTCGATACATAGCGCTGTACAAAATAGACAGAGAAAATAAATCAACCTGACGCTACAATATTATTTATTTGTGAAGCATTGCATGGCTGTCAATTCTATTATGTTTGGAAGTTGATGACGTAACGTGACATTACCTCCGACCTTAATAGGTTGATTATACAATTAGAGTCAATATCACTATGCTTCTACATCTGTGTACCCATTTATAAGGTAAACTCCAATTTCTTATCAGCCTAAGAGGCTTTAACTCCCATATAAATAATTCGTTTGTTCGTCTATTTATTTATGTGATTGTAATTAGGTAACGAGACAGTGATTAACGTATTGATATAATGTCTGTTTTACACAAACGTAAACAGTATGGTAGGCGGATAAAGCCTACATGGTAAACGACGAGTGAAATACGAGACTTTACAAAGACAAAACACCGAGATAAGATATTCGAGACCAATTATTTTTTTAGTATACTAGAAGGGCACTGCGTTCAAATTTTTAGATGTTACGCTTCTAATTTGAGGAATATAATGATTGTGCTCGGATTCTTGTTTAAATTAGCCTCTATAAAGGTGCAGAACCATTTCTGATCATTTCGCCTGATAGTTCACAGTGAGTCTAAAGTTGATAAGGTTTGTACATGAAATTTTCTGTCCTGGACTTACTCGAGCATTTCTTCAACTTCGTCGACCATTCCATATAGTCCACACGGTGGTCATCGAACTCGACTTCGGCGAGCACGAAGAGCAGACGACATACCTCGGTCCGAAATCGATCTGGAAAGTATATCAGCTTATACGACGGCATGATGAACGGTATGGATATACAGTAACGAGTAATAATTATAATATATTCAAATCATATGAAATCAGAACAATTACGTGTTTTCGAATGCGAGCTGGGTGGAATGACTGAGATATGATCGAAAATTTTTCTTGAAAGCTGGTCGAAGGTGTACTTTGATCGGCAGGTCAAACTACACCTTACTAACAGCTACAAATAAGGTCATGTTTAGTTTAGATCCAAGATGCATACACCAAGGAGGGAACAGTATGACATATTCATGGGTGGAAGAAAAAAAAATCAAATAACCAATCATTATCTTATGCTTCTTTTCTTTGTTGAGATTTTGAAACTCGGGTTTAAGAGTTACAGCGATACATGTTTATTGTTTGATTGCTTTACACATCACAGGCGTATTTAGTTGACGCACCCCTCCCCCCGCGGCCGACCGCCCCCTTTCCCTCAATCCTCCTTTTGTTTCAAGACAAATTGATACAAATAATTTGGTAAGTGGCAGTTTTTCTTCAGGGTATATTTCACATATTTTCACATTTATCTGGATATTACCCAAGTGAATGTGGTTGGTGAGAGATAATACCAAATAAGAAAATTAAATAAAAAGAGATACCGTTTTATTAAAAATATATATCATATAGCATCGGAAGATGCTCCTTTATAACCTGCATGGTTTCATAGACGGATAGACATGAATGTAAAGTGAAGTTCTAGTGGGGACAAGATATATAAACAGAACTAAGGGAGAAAGGAAGGTCGAGAAATCAGAGAGAGAGAGAGAAAGAGAGACAGATAGTCTGACAGATGGTAAGAGAGAGAGAAAGAGAGAGAGAGAGAGAGAGAGAGAGAGAGAAAGAGAGAGAAAGAGAGAGAGAGAGAGAGAGAGAGAGAAAGTTGGATATGCTATAGAGAGAAATAATCGCATTCGCGATTAAACATATCTCTTGCTAAACTTCTTTGGTTGTCCAAAATACTTGGATATCGTCTTTTCTAAAGTATCACCTGAGCTTAAAACTTATACTTAGATGACAGAAAAGTATAAGCGTATAGTGCTCCCGAACTCCCCTTCTAGGCCAGCGTCCTTTTGTCATTCAGGTGATGATGGGGCTTCTTCTTTTATTGACACGACTACGTCTTCCTTTTCAACCTTTCCCTTGTTTGGCCTCTAGCCCAGATTTAAGAAGTAAAGTAAAGACAAACAATCCATGCTCAACGCTTTCACTCGTCTCTACTCCAAATCTAAAGTGTTTTATTGAAAATCCTTTGGCAAAGAATCAGATCGACAAATATACTTTCTCGATTTGTGCTGTTGGTCGAGAAGAAAGGAACCAAGTAGTATGTACTGGTGGTTCTTTGTATGGCTTGTAACTAGGAGTGCTTGTTTGAAGAGAGTGTTATATTCTATATGTTACGCGATGCACCTGTGATCTTGCTTCCCCTCATTAACGTTATGATCGGGAATTAATCTATTTTAAATTTAAAAGTTGGCATTAACCGTTAACTTCAAGGACTGGTCATCATAGTAATTTACTGGAACTGCAAGGTTTATATACAGGATCTCAAGTATCATGTGAGTAAAGGTTGATTAAATTATAATTCTCTCAAATGATGATTATGAATTTCTTACGATTATTCGAGTGTAAGATATTTTTCAACTTTATGAGATCATTTGCATTTTTTGAAAATCATTTATAACGTAACAATTTATAATGGATTCAGAACTTAATATTCTAGAAGTTATACAGGGCAAATAAAGCTCTTACACATCCAAAATGGCATAACTATTATTGAAAAGGATATAAACCAAGATATATTGATTGGATTAGAATATAAATAGGCATTATTACATCCGTTTTTATGTTTTATACAAAATATCTTAAGCAACAAACCCACCTACAATTCAAGCACGTGAAAAGATGATGAATTTAGGATCCATGATGTCTCATCTACAATGCAGATCATGATGATCATTACGCTGGATATGATTATATTTGGAATATATTGTTTAAATATCTTTTCATTCTCACGTCTTTCACAAAATTAATCATAAATTGGGTGCAATAGTGATTTATATTTCTTGTCATACTCCTTTTCAGAGAAAAACACACTCCATCGCTCGATACATTAAAAAGTGTTATCGTTGTAAGACGGGATTCCCGTCATCACAATGGACATAGCATTGGGTTCATCGAGAGATAGAGCGAAGGTTCTAGATAACAGAAAACTAAGGTAAACTTTTTGAAAATTAAATGCAATAAATAATTCAAGATGATGCGCCATTCTGCCAGACCGATAGAGACGAATATTGTGATTGAGGAATCTCTTAATGAAGATGACGATGAATTATATCCCAACCCCACTATCAGACGTCATCGTCCTGTTACAGCATTGGTTCGACGTCGATCATCAAAGCTTGAAAAACTTGTCCAATCAGTAGCCAAGGAAGGAGACTTCGACATGGTCAATGACCACGATGGAGGTAGAATGCCGATGCCGACTGTTGGTATGAGAGCAGCATCAGCACCTCATCGAATGTCTATTACATCATTCTACGCAGACTCGGCTCCCTCTCATTACCAACCCGACACACATGAACCCCAACGTCAAGCAAATGTGAGAAGAAATTCAATTAAAGATGAAGAACGGAGACCATCCATTAGACCTCGATCTACAGTGACTTTAGAACGACCACCATTAGTCCTAAGACGACAACGGACCAAAAGCGCGATTCAACTACGGCGAGAGAGTGCACCTCCTAAAACGAAATCAAGTGATGTTGGCGACTGCGGTAGTGATGACGAGGAGAAATCAAACTCAGATTCAGATGCAGATTCTGATTCGTCGCTATCGACATTGGAGTCATTGCGAGAACTAAAGAACAGGATAGATGAGATTGTCGGGGCACGGTCTGTTAATGCGAGTCGTACCGTACGCCGAGGTTCAGTGACGAATCCCATGAATATGACGAGGAAGAAAAAAGCAGAAGAGAAGTCGGAAATGGTTGCCGACTACGTGATTCGACGTCGTCCTTCTCTCATCTCCGTTGAGCGTCAAAGCAGATCTGCGATGAACCTGAAAGAAAGAAGAAATTCACAACAAAGGGAATCAAAACCAGCCACTAATAATCACATACGAGGCAGATCAGCTAGTTTGGCAACAACGTCAGCTCTAGCGTCACGAAGTCGGAGTGCCCGAGTCACGACCGCGTCGCGTCAACGCACAAAGAGCGTCACAACTATTGACGGCACATCATCGCCAGGCTTGCAGATGTTTGAAAACAGACGAGTCAGCATTGCTACCACATTCAAAGACGCGAAAGGCACGATGTCATACCAAGCAAGGAAGAACCTAAGAAGAGGTTCTCTGTTCGTTGATTCGAAGGTGGTTGAAGAGGAAGATGATAACAGACGAGGATCTCTTCTCCCACCAGAACATATCCTGCCTGGTCATCGAGGATCGTTTGAAGGAATGAAGAGAAGTACAATGAGCAGACGACGGGCACCATTACCTGAAGATCTGAACCTCAGAGTACCTGATCAGATGTCAGTGGTAAGTTGTACAGTGCTTTCAGTTAATCATATGCAAGTCCAATCAATATACAAGTCCATTTTCTTTCAGTATTCATCAGTTCATCTGATTTGTAAGGTATTATAGCCATTTTTAAACATGTCACGTTTAGTACAAGGTCAACAAAATGCACTTTAAACAAATTAAAATTCTTTAGCGCAATCGTTTGAATTTCATTTTATAAACGCTCTATTTTAACCATTTACCAGCGCTCCATCGTTCTCTTCTCTTCTATTCCCTTTTCCCATTTTCGTTTAAAAATTGTTTTCTTTTCTAAATCTATTTGAAAATCTCAAAATTGTCTCCCTGTGTAAGCTTTTCATGATTAGACCTTACTGGTAAGGCTGATATCAAAATGTTACAAATACATGCATGCAGTCGAACTTTTGAATCACCGTGATATAATTGTTCAAGATTGTGTACAAGGAAAACGTCACTGCGGTTGCTATATGGCCGTTAAAATTTTGTCGAGAAACAAATGCATCGAATATGAAAACATTCCATTAATTTAGTCGATCATGATGCTCGTCATATCTAACATATTATTCTCACTTAAATAGTTAAATGATGTTATACTAGCTCAAGGGAAAATAGTGCACTTGATTTTTTTAAAATGGCTCTGTTTTGTCCTTTTTCTGCCTTCTTTTTTCAACAGAAATTGGCACGAGAGCGTTTCAGACGAATTTCTCGGCTTGTACTTAATTGCGTCAAAATATGCAGACGAAGTCATCTAAAGTAAGTAAATTGTATGAATAGTCCAAAGCAATAACAGAAAGGTAATTTTTTTTTTTAATCAGCTTGAATTAATAAGAGCGTTCCTCAACTAGCAGGTATTCATAATTGCGTGTTTTTTGTTGTTGTTGTTTTACTGAATATTGTTTTAAGTAAAATCTGATCTAATTTTTGTTGTGGGAGAAAGATTTTATTTCATGGTGATGATTTTAATCAACAATTCAACTCGTAACTTAACCTTGGGAACATCGTTCACAACCGTAAATGTCGAATAAATGGTTTGTGCGCTGCATGGAATCTCGTTTGACAAAGTTCTAAACTTATCATCGCTTTGCCGAAGTTCCTTATGAAACCTTTCTAGCGATTTATAAGTTAAGTGATGGAGTGTTGACCGATGATACTTACTCCATCGACGTACACCCAACTCCAAAGGTCAAACATATTACTTTCAACCAACCAGAATCTTCAATGCAGTAATACTGTCGAATGGTTTTCAAGAGTTACTTTTAAAAAAAAACACAACTGTTGTGGTCAACTTTTTATGCAAGATGCCCCAGATTTCTGTCGCTGAAAGAAGCAGTTATTAAAATGTTCTAAAATCTTGACACTGTAGTCTTTACATTGAAGTTTTAGTCTCCAATTTCTTAAATCCAGAATTGTAAGATTACGATTGTTTCATGTTACTTTTGTATATATATTATGTTATGGTTTTATGATTGAAATAAATGAACTTAAAATCATTCGAAGTGCTCTCAACTCTTGATACTCTAAAATAGTGTATGATACTCTTTGACATTATGTTTTCTCAATAATATTGACTACTGCATTCATTGATGTATTTTATTGTGTAGCATTGAGGAGGAACGCGCAGAATTCCAGTCATTTATTCAAGTAGGGACAAGATCGCATGGTGATCGACTCTTCTTTGATCCAGATTACTTCAAGGCTGATCAATCGGTTAGTAAGCCCCCCCCCCCCGGGTGCGTCATTTTTTTCTGCGGATTGGGGCTTTTTTAATTTTTTTTTTAAAGAGGTCTTGATTTAACCCTAACCCTAACCCTAAACTTTCCCATAGCCTTAAACACGCACCTAACCCCAATCTGTGCCGCCGAAAAATAATAACGCCCCCCCCCCCCCCGGGTAACCCCATACTTTTACAGCAAATGTGATTCACTGATGATTGCAGCTAATCTTAAATAAATGTCTTTAAAAACGCATTACAAATGTGAGGGGATTATCAAGAAAATCACCGTCGTTCGTGTGTTGCAGTGAACATAAACTGATACTTTATTTTGTACCAAATAATACAATTAAAAGGGTCTTACATGTTAACTAGCTCATCAAATATTTAGCGAATATAAAATCTACGCAATAGAATTGACGTCTATAACTTATCGATGAAAAAAAAAAAACTTTTTCTCTGCATGCATTTTATTTCCTAGCAACGCTTATCAGAAGAAACCAAACGAATTTTGACAGAGCATCCGCATAAGAGAACAGAAAAAGACCTGAGATACGTAAGTTGGATATGATTTCCTGTGAATTTGCTTATACAATAAGCTTGTTTGTAACCATTTTTGATGTTGCAGTTCAAGTTTATACCTGTTAGTAATCTCAACAATTGGAGCTGTATTTCGAATACACATGCTTTATCTCCAGCAATACTGAAATGAGATATCAATCCTGTTTTTATCTGCAGCTTTTAATTATCGTTAATGAGCATTATATCTATTTGTTTTGTTGCAATTAATTTAACTTTAACTTATGTGTGTTTTACTTTCTTTCTTGAATTATTTGATGGTCATATGCCCACAATTATACAATTTCCAGACAACTGCGCCAGGAGTGTCATTTTTGACAGACATGGCGCATTATAAATGTTTATTATTATTATTATTATTATTATAAATTATATTATCTATGTTGTGTTCTATAGGTGCAGATTGCGTTACGTAACATCAAGGCATTCGCTGAATACCCAATCAGAATGCAGGGCAGACTTTGTAAAGCAGGATGGCTCGAAACGTGAGTATGAGTCTATATTCTCCCATCATCAACATCATCATCATCATTACCATCATCATCATCGTCATCATCCTTACCATCATCATCATAATCATCATCATTACCATCATCATCATCATCATCATCATTACCATCATCATCATCATCATCATCATCATTACCATCATCATCATCATCATCATCATCATCTTCTTCTTTTCTTCTTCTTTATCTGATAAAGAAGAAGAAAAAGAAGAAAAAGATGAAGAAGATTGATGATGATTCATCATCATTATCATTACCATCATCATTATGGACATTACCAGTACAGTAGATTGTTCTAAAAGTGGTAATGAAGCTGTCAAACGGATTTAATCATACAAGATATTGAGTAACGGCGATAGAGAGAGGGAGAGAGAGAGAAAAAAAGAGGAGAGCTAAAGAGAGGGAGAAAGAGGGAGAGAAAGAGAGAGACGGAGAGACAGAGAGAGAGAGAGAGAGAGACAAAAAGATAGGGAGGGAGAGAAGATGAAGAGGGGAGGAGGGGAGGACTCAGAGAGAAAGAGAGAGAAAGATTGATCAATTTGGCAGATGGGGGATGGAATGACCAACATTGTATAAGAAGGACGTATTTTATTCTTTGTTATATCTAAATTCCCAATTGACATGAACTTATATGTAAAATGTTTTGATCTCAGGTATGGCGCTAACCGAGCTGTACTTAGACAGGGACATCCACCACACGCCTTCTACTTCATCTTATCAGGAACTTGTGAGTAAAATACTCAGTATGATTATACCTTCTTATAATAATATCTATTCATTTCTAATATTTGAAAATAAATCAGTGGAGAGGATGGATAAGTTCTCATGCCTAGAGCTTTAAAAAAATAAAATAAAAATCCTCATTGTGATTGTATAAACAAAGTTGAGCAAAGGAATCCGCTTTACACTGATCAGAATACATCATCGATGTTCTAAAGATTTTCAACCAACACATCACTTTTTCAGTTTATAGAATATATCCTTCAAATATTTTTGCAGTAGGAGAAATATTTCAATTTTGAAATATTACATGACTATATCAGAGCGAGGAGTATACTTGTTTATTATAGAAAGAATAAAGAAACATGTACTTTCCGGTGTGAGTGTTAAAGGTCGACCTGAAAATGATTCTGAAAATCTTAAAGTGTTAGATTTTTTTAAAAATCTGACATTGATTATCTGAACATTTTTTAAAACTATGTTTATCCAGTGATTGTGACGATCTTTATGATGCATGGACCTAAGGGAAAACCTGCCACTCAGACTGTTGCTTTCTTGAGGAGAGGACAAAGCTTTGGGGTGAGTCAATATTGTTACTTTATTGCATTTTTGTTTTGTGGTTACGATTTTGAATAAACATTCTTCGTAAGTGATCATTCAAGAATTGCATAATCTCAAGGATAGCGTGTAATTAAAAAACCAAAATATAATTGTTACTCTCTTAATTTCTAGGAGTTAAATTTTAAATCCATTTTGAGACTTAAAATATTTCAAGTCTTTAAGACTTAATAAATTGGGAATTCGACTAAAAGTTTTATCGAAACCAGCTTCTAGATATAAATCTTGGAAAGACTTAAACTTCTCGCCAATAAGATGTGCATATTTCCAGTTGCACCTGTTGATGACTGACTGTTGGCATATTTCCAGTTGAACCAGCTGACACCAATTAATTTGCATATTGAATATGGGGTGCGTGCAGATCTATGTTTTTTTAACAATTTTTCTGAATTTACAGCATATTTCTTAATTACTGATGATTTAGGTATATGCAATTCATTTCGAAAATACTACAAATATAAATTACAAGTTATTAGGACATTTCGCTACTTCGTATGAATTCCATTTAATTAAACATGAATAAGGGAAACATTAACTATGAACTAAAATAATTTCAATAAAATAAATTAATTTTTTTTTTTTTTTTTTTTTTTTTTTCAAATTTTTTTTTCAGTTCAGTTCAGTTCAGTTCATTTATTCAATTCATTTCTAAAATGTACAGACAGTTGTACGTGACAAAAAACATACATATTTACAAGTCATGAAATAAAAAGCAATAAATATTATAAGTAGGCCTATTACATTGTAAGAAAATGAATTATGAGAACTTTAAAATAAAGCCAGATTGGCCTTGTGAAAAAAAAAGTCCCCATTTGCTAGAGAGTGATATGGAGGCTTCATAATAATAGTTTCAAATTTGTACAACAAAGGGAAAAGAAACAAGCAATGGATATGAATATATACATGCATAGAATATGAAATACAAAATACCTACATGTAGATGCCAACAGATATAAAGTGCATCCAAGTAATTACCCGATCCCCCCCCCCCCCCCCAAAAAAAAAAAAAAAAAAAAAAAAAACAACAACAACAACCTAAAAACCTAAATTACTTCCTTTTTCAAGTGGATGTTTTCAAATATCAAAGAGTTGCAAACTAAGCATATTTTGAAATAAAATATTGTTTCAATTTTCTTTTAAAGAAAGAAAGAGAGAGAGAGATGCATGAACAAATATAATTGGGAAGTGAGTTCCAGATTGTTGGGAAACTATATCGAACTGACCGTTGTACAAAGGTTTTCCCGACTTTCCATAAATGAAATAAGCTGCTGTTTCGTGTGCCATGGGAATGAATTCCTTTATTTATAGTGAACATTTTAACAATATTTTTGGGGAGGATACTCTTGAAGTAAAAATATCCAAGTAGGATAGTATGATATTGGTATAAATGGAAAATGTTCAAAGTATTCAATTTATGGAAAAGGGGAGCCGAATGAGTAAGATAATGACTACCAGTACATATTCGTATTGCCCTCTTTTGTAATTTGAAAATGACATCTAATTTGGTTTTACTACAATTTCCCCAGACAGTTATACAATATAAGATATGTGATAATATTAAGGCGTTATACAGTGAGAATAAGGCTGAACCAGGAAGACAGCTTCTTAATTTATACATAATACCAATGCATTTAGATATTTTGGTACTTAAATAGTTAATATGTGAATCCCACTTCAAATTTTCATCTATATTGACTCCAAGAAAACAAATAGATTTAGATTTAGTTATTGGTGTAGAATCGATACTTAATGTAAGATCATTGCAGGTTTTAGTCGCATTGGACAGCTTATTATGGAAAGATATAAAACAAGTTTTAGTCAGATTAAGTATTAATTTATTGGCCTTAAACCATTTAGATATGTTATGTAGTTCAACATTAATATTCTCTTGCATATCTTTTAAATCCGGCTGAGTAAAGAACAAAGTGGTATCGTCTGCATACATAATAAAGTCAAATTTGGTAGATGATTTTTCAATATCGTTAACGTATATGAGAAATAATAGGGGACCTAATATAGAACCTTGTGGAACCCCGTGTTTAATTAAACTATGAGTGGAAGAAGCATCATTGAATATGGTAAATTGATAACGACTACATAGATAGTTTTTAAACCATATGAGTGGGAGGCCATGTACACCATAATGCTGTAGTTTACATAATAGAATATCGTGATTAACTATATCAAACGCCTTTGAGAGATCTACAAATACTCCTATTCCAAAATCGTTATTTTTTACTGAAGATACAATTTTATCCTGTAAATCTATAAGAGCATGACAAGTCGAGTGGTTACTTCTAAATCCATATTGACTGTCTGTTAAGATGCTGTTAGCTATTAAGAATGAATACAAACGTTTATACATACATTTTTCCAGTATCTTTGAGAAGCATGGCAATATTGAAATAGGTCTATAGTTTTTGCAGAGATGAGAGTCATTTTTCTTATAAACTGGTACAATTTTAGCAATTTTAAGTTTGTCTGGTACATTACCTGTACTTATAGATAAATTGAATATATAACATAAAGGCTTTACAATCGAGTATATAATCTTTTTTACAATATTACTGTTGATGCCGTCAAAACCACAGGAGTTACTTTTCTTCAGCGATTTAGTAATTTCAAGAATTTCAGATTCAGTAATAGGCTTTAAAAATAACGATTTCGAAAGTGGATCATTTAAATATCCTTTAAATGTATCATTTCGTGCAACAACCTGAGAAGAAGTTAAAATATTTGTGCAGCAATTAATAAAATATGAATTGAATTCATTAGCTATACATTGTGAGTCATCTATTCTTTTGTCGTTGCATAAAATATACTGAGGTGGATTACGTTTGGATTTACAAAGTAGTTTGTTTATGACGGACCAAGTACCCTTGATATCATGCTTGGTTCGATTCAATTTATCACAAAAATATTTCCTTTTCACTTTATGTAATATATTATTAACTTTATTCCTATATGTTTTATACTTTGCTTGATTTGAGGGTGAGCGATCATTAAGAAATTTCTTATACAACTTATTTTTTTTCTTGATATATCGTAAAAGTCCTGGTGTTATCCAAGGTTTACGTATACATGATTTCTTATTGTTACTAGTACATAGAGGTAGATTTCTGTCATATAAAACTAAAAGCTTACTTAAAAACAAGTCATAAGCAGTATTAACATTATTGCACGAATACAATGAAGACCAATCCACTTCGTACAGTTCTCTTTGTAATTTCTTTACACCATCATCTGTTACTGCACGTCTGAAATTAATTGTAGTATGCTGACTCTTTGTCAGCAAATTAGTTTTATCCAACACAAGAAAAATAGGTAAATGGTCTGTTAACTCAACAGAAAAACTGCCACTTTCCAGATTTCTTTCGAATGTATTAATAAAAATGTTATCAATGAGAGATGCAGTATTCATAGTAATACGAGTTGGATATTTGATGACAGGAGTAAGACCAAATGAAAAATTAATGTTTAGGAAATCGTTTGTATTTTCATCAGTTGATTTCAGTAAGTCTATATTAAAATCACCTGTCATAATAATTTCTCTTTTTTCAGTGCTAAGTTTTTCAAGCGTTTCAGAATAAAAATGTATGAATGATTTAATATCTGTGCTAGGCTTTCGATAAAAAACACCAACCGTCAGCCTATCTCTATCTTGTCTAAACAAATCTACACATAAATATTCACAAGTGGAATCACTTTCTACGGAGTGTGTAATTGATTCTCTTCTTTGAAAATTAATGTCATTTTTAATGAAAATACCAACACCTCCGCCTCTACCAGATTTTCTATCAACGTTGACAAACTTGTATCCATCTAAATGAAATGGAATTACTGGTAAACCACATATCCATGTTTCTGATATAGCTATAACTGAAAAACTGTTCTTTATGATAGATAGAAAATTAGAAATGTTCTCAAAATTTGTATGAAGGCTTCTGGCATTTAAGTGAATCATGCTGAATTCGGCACAAGACTGGAAATGTTCATTAAATTCAAAAGGGGTGTAGCTGTTACAAGCAAAATCTGGGTTATTGACATGCAGATCAGGATCAAGATCGTTAAGTGTGTTGTTCATACGAAAGTTCATTCTTACTTATAAGATTACACATTTTGATCGTAGCAATAAAGAAAGAAGAAGAGAGCGCAACTCTACAAAAATAAGTATTACAAACTATTCCGCACCTGAAGCATAGATGGAAATACATGTAAAAATACATGCAACATGCAAAAGAACGAATGTGGGAAGAATTGATATATTTATATTCTTTCATTATAGTCATAAAAGTCAAATTTATTATACGGAAATACAAAAACAACTTAACAAAACAGTTAAGCATAAACAAATACTACATTGATTGAAAATTCCAAGCAATGAATATATATATATAAATATATGTAAAACAGAATTATATACAAATAGTACAAATAAAATAAGCGTTCACTTTGTCAAAGTTTGTTATCGAACGATAAAAAGGGAAGTTTTTCCCTCCAGAAGATTGTTTAGTTCAGATTTAACATTTCACTATTCATTTGGCAGAGATTTCAGGTCATCCTCGTTTCTGATGAGTTTTTTCTTATGGTCCTTACCACTCAGTAGAGCAATTATTCTCCCGTCATTGCTCCAAGCAGCTTCAACATGGGGATGTCCTTTTGCCATCGCTAGGAGCTTTTGATTTTTGGCAGTCAAGTCTTCTACTATTGCTCGCTTGCGACCTTTCAGTTTTCGTCGGTTGAGTATAATCTCCTGGCGCTTCCTGTATGACTTGAATTTCACGATGATACCGCGGTAGGTTTTGGTAGGTGCTGTTGGGTCTTCGATGGCGCCGGGAGCAGGCTCTGGAAGGGGTTCACCTGGCATACCAACTCTGTGGCTTCTTTCGATGTCATCGACTGTTAAGTTGACTTTGAGGATGTCATTGACCATTTTCATAACAATGCTGTCTGTGCTTTCACCCTTTCTCTCTGGGCAGCCAAAAAATCGTAAGCAATTACGGCGGGAATATTGTTCCTGTGCATTGATGTTCACACTGACTGCTTTTAGACGATCAGTATGCTCGTTAACCTTCTTTTTCAGGTCATCTATTTCCTTATCCTTGGCGGTATTTCTGGTCTGCAGATCCATTATATCAGCTTCTTGTATTTCAATTGTTTCCTGCAAGCGGCTGATCTTCTTGTCAATGGAATCTTGTACAAGTGACAAAAAGTTTTTGTTGTGCATTATGTCTTTGATGACCTCTTCTATGAGAACAGTGTTCTCCTTCATCGAAGTAGATCGGGCTCTTGTTGTAGTAGGAGGTTCGCCCATCATGCTGGACAATGGGAGTATATCTAAGGTAGATTTGAAAGTCTTACTATTACTATTGAGGCAGGACAATAGGATGAATGAAGAACTTTGTCTCTAAATCTGTAGACTGGAGTTCGCTGAACTACACCAACTGAACTACACGAATTGCTGACAAGATAAAATTGAAGTCTCAGGCTCACATCAAAATCAGTACATGGTACAGTACAGTTTAGGATGATATGAAGATCGAATCTTTGATATTTATATAACTCACTGATTTCACTCCAAATGGTATCACATTTTGTTCCAAAGTCTTCCGGAGGGATGTATTCCAACAAATTTACACCATTTCACAAAATATCACATAGCAATGAAGAGAAATATGGTGAAAGATCAGAGAGAAAAATTGTAATGTGCTTCTCCAGCTTCTCATATATATATATGAAAAAAAATTCGATTAATTAAATTATGTATAAGTCTACTTATTACCGATGCCTTTACATTGATAATACAGACGTACCAGTATTGAAGTGTTGTTGCCGTTCAATTGGTTGGAAGTTTTACCAAATGGTTCTAATGGCTTAGCTAGACCAGTAAATCTAAAAGACTTGAAATATAAATACAATTGACTTAAACTTTAAATCTTTCAGGGACTTAAAATTTTAAGTCTTAGCTTAGATTTATTTTTGAAATGAATCCAAGAAAGGTTTAAAATAAATATTAAAAGACTTGAAATATAAATCCAATTGACTTAAATTTTAAACCTTTTCAGGGACTTAAAATTTCAAGTCTTAGCTTAGACTTATTTTAAATCCCAAAGGGTTCGTCACTAATATCAGTCTCTGTTAGATTTAAAAGTAAGACTTTAAGATTTAAAAATAAGACTTTCAAATTTAGAGAGTAGTATTGTCACATTTTTAGAACATTCCATGATAGAAATAGTATGCTTATAATATTTAGTATGAGAGAATAAATACATGGAGGTTATTACTTATTCGCTTGCTACTGCTTATTTTCATAACTAGCATTTGTGGCTCCAGGGCTGTGACTTTTCTCCTGTAATGTTACAAGAGTTCAAGAACTTATTACAATGAAACCTGTCTATACAGACCACCTAAGGGAGACACGAAAAGTGGTCTTTATAGGCAGGTGGTCTTCATGTACAGGTTCCTTCTGTACTATATTCAATGAGAAACAATTTAAAGGGAAACAAAGCTGAATGTGATCTTTGTAAACAAAATTTTTTTAAAGATCTTTCTATCACTAAAGCAGGTTTGACTTCATTTTTTTTTTCAGGAGCTAGCCATCTTGAACGAGGCCGTCCGTGCTTCTACTGTTATCACCAAATCACGATGCGAACTTCTTGTCATATCTGTCGAGGTAAGTTTGTATTTTGGCTTTTTCATTATACAGTTAAACTACTCATCAGTGCTCTATATAACCTGTAGGCAATAGCACGGCTACATGTGTTATTAATATATTCCGTTTGAAAAAGAAGCCATTCTTGGAATATAAAGATGTCGAATAGGAATTTGTTATTTTCCTGATATTAAATTTGTTAGGCTTAGATAAACCCTTCAATTTAACGAGAATATTTATTTGTGTATGAAACACAGATGATATCAGATTTATATTTGTATTCCTTTTATATCGATCTCTCCTAATAATGCATATACGACTGGTTCGAAATAAAAGAAATGATACATTAGCTTACTCTGAGATCCTTCCAGATTAAATTTATTTGACTATTTTCAAATTAACTACCTAAAGTATAATGATATAGGGCACTACAGGCAAGAGAATGGTTATCTATGTACACCAATAATTATGATAAAAGAGAATATACAAAGTTTTATATATTTCTTTGCATTTTCAGGATTTCCAGGATATATTCATGGTATCAGGGGGTATTAAGAGTGTGAATGATCCCGATCAACATGCTTTCCTGACGTCACTAAGGTTCCTCACACATTGGCCTATTCACATCATACCTACACATCCCAAGGATTGTCTCTTTCATTTCTTTGCGTAAGTCTCATGATCGGTAAATGCCATTGTAGATAGTAGGAATGATAATGAGAATATCGATGGTAATCATATCCCTAGATTCATTACATGAGCTAAGAATCATTGCAATGCTATTATTGATAACCATCGGTTCCATTTTCTTTTTTTTGTACCGAAAATTTTGAAATTTTGCCGATTGATATTTTGTTCAGTTGAGGGGGGGGGGGGGGGTAAGGTCACCTTTTTTTGGTCACCTTTTCTTATTTTGTATTAAAAGATAAATTCAGGGGGGTTTCCTCCAAAAAACACACATAAAAAAATATTGAGAGGGGGTTTGACCCCCCCCCCCCCTCCCCCCTGCGTACGCGCCTGATCACCATCATTATCATCGACACCATCATCACCACCATCACCACCATCACTATCAACACCACCTTCATTAACAACAAATTCTACCACCATCGTTCTATCATCTTCATTCCCACCAGTATCAACACCATAATGACATACTCTTCACCAAACTATATATGTTACTACTTTACTACACTTTAATCCAGCTGCAGTTGATAATCAAGTGACGATATTGTTCCTTTTGTCTATATTAGGACGGGTGATGTCTTAGTTCAAGATAGCAACCAATCAGATTGGATTTACATCATTAAATCTGTAAGTACAATGATGAACAATTTGGTAACGAAATAAAGATGCGTCAGTTTTTATACCATGCATACAATCACTTTCTTGTTTGCAAGGATGCGAGGTATATTTACCGTTGTATTATGTTGCTTGTTTCACTTTGATTCATTGGGAACAGAAATTCGCGATCTAAAACAATGTTTTAATAATGAAGTCATGAAATGTCATAACCTTTTCATGAGTACCAGAGTTTGGGGTTGTAATGTTTCATTTTGATTATGCTTACCAATAAACATTCATTGATATAAACATTCTATATCAGAAGCGTACGCAGGATTTTTTCAAGGGGGGGGGGGTCCAGTTTTTGAGGAAAAAATTCGCAACGACTCAGTCGGCCGCTGAATAAGCGAGGGGGGGGGGGGGAGTAAGAGCACATTGTTTTTTTTTTTTTTTTTTAATTTTACAAAAATTGAGCGGGGTATTATCCTCCGATACCCACACATTAAACAAATTTCAGGGGGGTTAACCCCCCCCCCCCCGTCTGCGTACGCGCCTGTATTCTATTTGTTAAGTCAAATTAACTTCTTAATTTTCATTTGTTTGACAGGGAAGTTGCTCGGTCCTGAAGAAACTCAAAAGTGTAGCAGAGAATGTACACTCGTCTTACAAGAGGAAAGATGTGTGCATGACATGGAACAAAGACACGACGCTAGGTAAATAAAAAAATTAAATGTTGAACTTTATTAGGTATGTGTAATTTCATTGTATGTCAATCATTAATCTCAAAATGCAGTTGTTTTATCAGTTTTATGATACTGAAAGGATTTTTATCTGCACTATTTATTATTAGCATCGTGTCTCTCTTTATTGAAGACAAAGGAAAAGCTTTCCGAACTAGTATTTGCATAGAAATTATAGGCCTATAATGATGATGTGATTGGAGACAAGCAGTGTGCCTCAATCAGGCCTAAACAAAAAATATGTTGTACTGCCCTTGCGACCGACCCAAAACATTTTGAAATCGACGGTCGGCTTTTTAACAAATTTTATTTTTTTAAGCCCTTTTTTTTAGATAAAAATGTATTAAAGCATTCAAAACTGAGAAATATCAGCCCAAAGAGGGAGTTTTTTTTTTAAAGTATAAAAAAAGGATATTTCCTCTGAACCTCAAAAGAATAATAATAATAAGAAGAAAGGATCAAAACTAACTGGGTCAATTTTGACACTTGACAGCCTATGGTCGGTTTTGGCACCTAAAGGGCAATACAACATTTTTTTTTTAGGCCTCATGTACATGTACTATGCGACGTTTTGCAGTTTACTATTAGGCCCCTATATAGAAGTGAATATTAATTAATATATTAATATAGTAATGATCAGAAATTCTTTTTCTCTTGTTATAAGTTACAAGCATAATGCCTGATCAAAACAAGTCTCCGAACAGAAAGAAAGTAAAGAAGAACAACAACAAAATGGACACGCCTAGTTCTGAGACCAGTCGGAGGAGTTCAACAACAGCCAGTAGCGGTGTATCCATCAAGGGGTATGGTAGTGAAACTAGCTCTATCATTCCACCAGTCATCAGATTAAAGGTTAGAAAAGTTTCGTTTAATTAGTTTGTTTGTTTTGTTTACATGATGTGTTTTGATTTTGTATACCAAAAATCTTGAAAAAGAAAAAGAAACTGACAAAAACAAAAACAAACAAACAAACATCGGTTCAGTCTAAGGCTGGTCTTGAACTGTTCAGCATGTTCAAGATAGGAAGTTTGTTTTATTAATCTACCAATGTTGAGTATGGTTCAGATAGTTCTTCGGAGTAAATTAAGTGACGTTAACTTCCCATTTACGTGCATTAGGTCATACGCTTAACCATTCCATCATGGTATAAATCATATACATGTACCTGATTCTCTTTTTATCACAGAGTCAAGGGGTTTATCTGAAGACAGGAGCAGTCGGAGAGGATATATACAGCACGATAGAGGATGATGACAGTGACTCGGGTAAGTAACTGATTTAATGCATTCATGAATGGCGTTTAAATTCTATACTTCATATTCTAAGAGAAGGCTGCATATTCCTTTTGCATTTCTCACCGAAATGATGACACGACTCAGAGACTGATTTTTTAAATGAGATTATATATATATATATATATATATATATATATATATATATATATATATATATATATTCTTATTTTTTAATTTCTTTTTAAAACACAGTCATACCGTCCTGCTGGACTCGCGGTCTTCACGTGCCAAATGCATGATCCTTAAGCACTTTTATGCCATTTACCAAAAATAGACTCTATGATTATGTAGTTTTAATGAGTTGCACCTCTCCTGGGGCACATACTCACAACCCTCTACACTTTTTTTGTTTATCCTTCCTTCTTCTATTGCTTGTAGATGTAGAGAAGGAAGAGCTTGGTGAAGATGGTCTTCCGGTTAACTTTGTCAACCAGCGCCGTACCTTTCATACAGATCTAGATGTAGCTAAGAAAACTGTAAGTATTGACTTTGAAAACCTATTTGCTATATATTTCTCTCACTATTTTCATCATTTGCAGCACTATTTTTCACCATTTATCAATTATACATTTTAAACTATACACACACACCAGTTATAGTTGATGCATTGCAAATTATTTAAACAATGAATTGAATAATGATTATGTATCTCATTGGTTCCTGGTATGAAGAAATCATATAAATCTTCATCAAAATTAGTCTGTGTAGTTATTGGCTATTCAATTACCAACTTAGCGACTTCATAGCCATTTTCGGTTAGGATTTCATTATCATGAAGCAGATGAAGCATACTTTTTGTTGTATACAATTGCATAGGAATAGGTAAACGAAGACTTATTTGGCAAAAAACAGCTACCTGTCAAAAAATTATTTTACTTTGTCCGACATGTAAGAAAATCCAAAGAATAACCTAATTCTTCATGAACTTCATGAACGTATTTTCGCTATATTATGTTTTTGACAGAATGATCAAACGACTGATGCCGATAAGGACCCAATGTTTGTCACGATCCAGCTACTACTAAAAGGAGGAGTCTTTGTAAGTCATCATCATCTAACATTTATAAAGAGATAATGAAATTAACAGAGCAGAAATAAAACAGTTGTTCCGGTTTATGATTAAAATTGTAAAATTGCTTTAGTTTCGGTCGTTATCAGTCGAATCCGTTGAGATGAGCTTATCATTAATATACTGACCCAAATTTCACCATATTTGTCATTATTATCATTCGTTGTTAAACATTATCTTTTTACAAGTCACACGTTTAAGGAAAAATATCAGCTATGTTTCTTTGGCAATGACTTTGCTCCTTGTACTTTAGGATTTGCCTTTTTAATTCCTATCTGAAATATCTACAGTGTATGTTTATATTTACCAGCTGTGTTATATCGATTCTTGAGTTCACCATCACGATCATAATTTGTTTCAAGTCTCATATCAACAAGGGCGTGAATAACATCGTCTTTCATGTTTAGAAAGAGCTTCTATCTTATATCTATATTTTATATATCTCCTATATTTCACTCAGGGTGTGAATAACATTGTATTTCCCGACCAACCTAGTCTTAGTCTGGTCAGCAACGGAGCTGAATGTATTATGATCAGAAAGAGCTTCTATCTTGAACATGCAACGGAAGACACACTCAGTTTGCTCAGGAAAAATGTGAGTATTATTCTGATGTTTTCTCCAGCTCTGTTTCTCCCTCTTTTCGTTCTCTCTCTCTCTCTCTCTCTCTCTCTCTCTCTCTCTCTCTATCTGGTTATCTCTCCCCTCCCCTCTCTCTTTCTCTCCTATCTCCCTCCTCCACCCCTCCTCCTACTCTCTTCAATTTCCCCAACATGTTAGCTCTGAAATTACACCATTGATGGACATTTTAAGATTTTTTTCAAAAAATGTAAAAAACTAGTTTTCATTGATGGCCTTGTGGTATTGCCTGGGCATTGTTACAGGTTGAAAACCCCCGTTTTAATTTGTGTATTCTATTCATATGAAGATCTTGATTTGTGAAGTTGAAAAAACACAAGAAGCAAATTTTTAAAAGAAATTTCTCGCATGAAGCTTCTTAATTTTCGTATTGTTTATCTTGTTTTTGTTGCTAGGAATTCCCCTACCCCACTGAGGAACAGTTACAGGAGAAGTTACAGAAGCACATGAACTGGAATGCTTTCAAGGATCACACCGTCAAATCAGTGGTGTTCCAATCTAGAGCTCATAAAGCTCAGCAACTCACATCAGGAAATAGATAGATAGGAGGGTGTGGCACTTTGGTAGCTGAGCCCCGCCCATAGGACTCAGCAACTCACATCATTACAGTCATGTAGATAGATATAATGGAAGGGTGTGGCACATTTGTAACTGAGCCACATCCATAAAACTCATCAAAATTTAATAGTACATAGGAAGACAAGGCCAGTGCATACATTGGTAGCTGAGCCCGCCCATAAGACTCGAGAGTTCAGAACAGGCAATGCATTGATCTGTGTGTGACGCGGTGAGAGCCGAGTCATGCCTGTGATATTATCATGCCCATTGATCTAATCTGAATGATGGAATGAATCCATTAATTTCAAAGAATTTATAAAGTATTTAATGTAATTTGGTATTTAATTAAATAGGTTTTATTCACAATTGCAACTTGTATTTATAATGTATTTTAATCTTTGTAAAACATGTATTATTCAGTCTTTGTACTGCAAAACATGTTCAAATAAACCTTTATTTAATTGAATTGATCAGAGGCATATATAAACTTTGAATAAAGTTGACAATTGCTCAATCTTTAAGTCATTCTTAGTCATCCATCGAGGCTCTTTACACTGATCACATACAATAAACAAAGCAAACATATTCAGCAAAGTAAATTAGTGAAGTATACATTTAATGTCTTACATTTGGATCATATTATACAATATAACTAAACACTATAAAACAAAAAAACATTTAAATCATATCATGATATCAATAGGAAATATCATTTTCTTGTAGGAATACTTTGCCAATATTAAAAATGCAACATTTTGTCCCCAAACATAGTTTCAAACCAATAGCTTAGATACAATAATACTCTTTCTCCAATGTTTGTTCTCTTACAAATTTAACTTATTTTGCAGATGGTTCTAATATACATATATTGTTATGCTATTAACATTGCTTCGCAGCATTATAAAAGTGTGGACAACATATAATGAAGTTAGACTCTGGATTAAGAATGAGGATGAATTTAAATGCTAAACCTATTATTATTTATGATTCTAATCACCCTGACACCTTTATACCCCGATTACTACAAATTTACACATACAGTCATTTCCTGAAATGCAAGTAATATATTTCACAATCAGACTCAGAGTCGTCAGAATAGTACTATGGTGCAAAACGCTTTCAGCATTTCCTTTGAATGGTCAATTACAAATACTGTGAAGATATCTACATCATATGAGCTTCATTCCAACCCACTACATAAGAGATGAGATATCATAAATAAATACTTTTCAGCAGGTGAATAAAATTGATATTAGTTTTATAAGTAATGCAATGGATATATTCAGCATGATGCATGATGCTATGTGTATGTGATGATCGTATGTGGTGATGTGAAGTCTAACCAAGGAGTTGGGAGCAACTCTAACCATGAAATGCAGCTCATATTTCACTATGTAACATGAAAGTTTGACTTTCATTCATATACTGCATGAAACATATACAACAAGACCTCACTTGAAAACGGTCCATGCTATAAGCTCTCATTATGAAAGGTTACAGCTCTGTGTACTCTATTGAATTGGAGCCGTGATATCCAGATTGAGATATAATAGTACAACTACAAGGCTATGTCATTGGTAAGGAGGAGGTTTTTGTTTTTAAATTGAAGTTCCACTGTATTAACACTAACAAAATCCACAAATGGCAAGTCAAAATGAGAAATGAAACTCTCTCTTTTGTTTCTTTAACTAGCAGTTTGAAAGCAAAGAAAGAAATAGACAATACGACTTTAACAGATTGTGATTACCTGTATGTGCTTAAAAAAACAGACAACAACCTTCAATTATGATTGCATGTACAGGGAATGCATCAATAAATGAACATTATTTTCATGACAAGTTTGATCCGAAATGTTCATCATCTTGGGCATTGGGGCAAATGCACGTTATCTTGTCCCATATGTTATCAATGATATCTAAGATTCATGTTCATCTGATGATTATTGATAGCGAACTGTAGCTTGGATCAGACCAAAATCAGATAAAATAATACTTTTGTGAATCTGTATTTATAATTCTATAATACGAGGTAACAAATGGGAGACAAAATTGACAATTTTTTGTTTGACTTGCCAAGTTATGAATGAGTGAAACAAATGAAATGTGTAACACGCAGATGTTTTGATGTAGCAAAGAAAGGACCAAAAATGGCTAAGGCTTACATCAAAGGTGACTTGCTTAGAAGTTACTTGTAGGAGACCAACACATTTGCCAAATAAGATGCACTCTTTGCCGGATAAATAAAACTTTGAGCAAGAGTTGTTTCCTTTTAGACCTCAACAATGTGTTCAACCTTTACAGGTCATTTTGTCAGCTGCTTGCAAGAAAGCTGTTCCTATCATTTGCAATACATAGCTTTTAAGATCTTCTTGCAGATGATGATTTTCATCTCTGTGAAAGTAGTCTTTGGATGGTAAAACACATTAATTCTTTATTCGGCACACAAATAATCTCCTTGTGCCACAGTGTATTCATCATGGGATACAAATATCAAATGCTTCAAGATTGTTCCAGTGCAAGACTAATCTACACTAGTTTTGATATGGTCGTCATAGAGCTTATCAAGACCGGAAATTGGTAATTTTGCAGAGCCATTGTGTTGTACGAAAAGCAATCCTTTTGTCAATTGGTGCCTATTGTTTGTGCAAAAGTACATGCGTGGCAAACGGGTGACATTGCAGAGAGACATAGAATGCAGTCAAAGAGTTAAATTACAACATTTTGTGACAATAATATTGTATTCTGTAACCTTTGGTTTGCAAAGAGAACTATTGCTTTTCTCAACGGTAACATTGTCTCGACACATTGTAAATGTATGTAAAATTCATGATGCTGTACACTGCATGCAATGCATTAAACCTTAAGAAGCTTATTCATCAATGGCCTATGCATGCATCTATACATGACAATATTTAGGCCCTAAATTGGTACATAGGGGCCGATAAACCTGCCCGTATTCAGTGTTTACAGCTATTTGTTATTGTACAACTCACTCCTAGATCCTAATCAAATGATTGGTCATGCTCGCTTTCTCATGAAAAAGCATGCAGTTTTTTTCCAGTCCTATTGCACGCTTTTGTTTTAGTGCGTGTACATGATGCGCAGTAGTGGGCGTAGCGGTTAGGGCGCGTATACTGCGTGTAGGCCTATTCTTGAGCAGCACTATGCGTAAACGCGTATAGAAGTAAGTGCGCTTATTTATGTGTACGCACTAAATTGAGCCTATTTAACTTGAGAGATCGTATAATGAACTCATGCGCATGCATCATTTGTATATTATCTACTAGGGATGATGTTATCTGCTCTAGAAACAATTGCTTCTGGCTTTATTTTGTCAAACATGTAAGATAGGTATTAGTCTTGTGATTAGGCTTCCCGTCACCTTTAGGGTTAGGGTTAGGGTTTGGTTATAGAATTGAATGCAGGGTGGAATTTAGGAATTCGACTAGAGCAGGAAAATGGCCACGAGCAACTCTTGTCAGTGGAGATGTGTCACATCACCCTACTGCACTACAGGACTGTGAAACATTTTTTCTACACAAAGCTTCTGAAGTGCTGTAGCATGCAGTATCAGGACATAGATATATCACCAATGTATATTATTGTAAAGCTCATGCAGAGCTATTATCTTAGTAATGAAAACATGCCTCCTGTTAGCTGACATTCATTCATGGTAGTACATGTACAATATATATTTATGCAATTATTATTTCATCTTATTTATAAATAATAGTAGCAGCAATAAAAAATAATAAATTACTGTCAGTGTGATGGCATTTTGTCTACTTCTCCTAGTTCTGTGAAGGGTAGGTCGTTGAGTGTATATTGCATCTTGAAGCGGAGACGAATCTTCTCCTGAAATAGAAACAACAACATAACAAAAAGTTTGATAAAGTTTTACTCAAAAAATCATACCCAAAACTAGAAGTAAGGCTTTAGGTGAAGCATTTCTTGAAAGGGCTTCAAACTACTAAGTCTGCACAGTATTTTGAATTTTCTGACGCTGATTATTTTATTTGTGAGCAACCACCTACTAAGTTTATATGTTTAAAGAAAACTACATTGTGCTCAATGTGAATTGTATTCAAGATAATATTACTATTGGGAGTACAATAATGAAAGTTGAGACGTAATGCTTATACAAGAACATTACTTTCAATTCCACACAAAAGGCAACTTTTTAAAGTGCATTAGAACCTAATTTAATAACCTTACTTAATAACCTTCAACAGCAAAAATTTAGAATCTCTCAAGGCCAAATTGGTAATACCGTTTATTTTCTACGCCTCATTAGAAAAGTTCATAACATTAGCTTGAAGGCAAAAGATAACCCTCCCTTCAAAATAAGAACAGTTATCAACAAGATGTTTTCATCGTCTTCCATGAATTTGTGGCAGTGGCACCTTACCTTATTTGGGTTAGCAAGTAGCATGACTTGGGTGATAGCTGATGGTGGAAGAATAGGGTTGTATGCTGGTAGGTCTGTGGCTGAGGGGGGCTGCAGTTTCACTCTCATCGTCTGGATAGAAACATACAAGAATGACAAGATTATGCACATGGTAATATATATACTGCACAACCTTTAAAGACATGTGTGGAAAGAATGGTACTGAGAGCTGACAGTAATGCAGGTTCCATGGCAAATGCTCCTCCAATACTTTCTACATGGTTTATTACATACACTCTTTGAACTCCTAACTTCAAACGAGGACCGAGCACTATACCGAACCCTAACCCTAACCCTGTGATAAAAGCTAATCATAACCCTGATCTTCATCTTTGACAAACAAAACCTGAAGGAAATGTCCCCATGAGAAAAAAAGTGCCATGATGAACGGTCTGTATCATCGATTTATACAAGGCATCAAAATGTACACTTACAGAAAACAGATAAAAGAGGATTAAAAACTACAAAATGCAACAGATTTACAAGATAATCTGAATAACAAACATGCTGATTGTAAAATTAATATATCTTTGATAATACAAGATATTTTCTGACTTTTTTTGAATTACAGATCTTTATTTACTGGGTGTAAGCCACAAACAGGGTTTAAACAATTTAAATTTCTCCCAGGAAGCATTACATTTATAAAAGTTATTGTCCTAATGGCGGACTAATGAATATTAATAAGTCAGAATGAATCAGGAGAGCTTGGGTATTTGTTTCTAGTTCATCGTGACTGTGCCATGGACCAGTGATGGCCTGGTGGTAGAGTCGCTGCCCGGAATGCAGTAGATGCAGGTTCAAATCCCGCTGGTTCCAAGATTTTCTGACTTGTTTTGAAATTACAGATAAAATCAATCTTTATTTACTGGGTATAAGCCACACACAAAAATATTTAAAAGTAGTTAAAGGTAGTTGACTTGAATGTGAACGTACTTTAGGTACAGCAGCCAGGAATGTCAGGTTCTTGATGGGTGATGTGTTAGTACTCATAGTAGATACCACAACAACCAACACGTCAGGTCGCGGAGAATCTTTGGCAAAGTGAAATATCGTCTTCACATTGTTCTTCTCGTATGCCGTCACGGGTGGCGTTGAACCTGGAGAGATAGAGAGTGAAAGGAAAGGGAGAAAGAGAGATCAAGAGAGATCAAAATAAATGATTGGCTTGGTATGGTATGATTGTCTTAACAACTACTACTTTATAAAGAATACTTGTCTTCAATCTCATGACAGTCCTAACTGACATTTTTATATTTTAAGCCATTGCCTACAAGAACTGTGCAGTCTCTTGTGTTGTGCCTATGGAAATGAGAGAATTTAGTAGTCAAAGGTGTTAAAAATGCATGCTGAAAAGTCTGGCTTAAAGACGACACGAAGCTGGGTAATGTCAACAGGAGCAATTAAAAAAATCCTTTGAAATAATACCTCCCATGGTTAGGCTGACACAGTAAAAACTGTCTGAGTGGCCATATTCAATAAGGTTAAAGATAAACTTTAGTACTGGTAATGCGATTGCATTGTGAAAGAAAAGGTGTGGAAAGGATCAGAAACAGTTGATCATGTAGCATGTAAGTATTGGTGTGTACTGCAAGGTTCTGGAGTCATCAAAATCATAATAAATTTGACCGGGTCTTGGTAAAGTAACAAGCACCGTACACAGAAAGCTATATATGGGACAACACACATGGTGTGGGGGCTAGTACTACCTTGATTTCCTTGTCTTTCTATGCTCATTACTCAGCCAGTATACATTTTCTTCCAAAATTGTTTGGCACATGTCATTTATTTGTATCTTGAACATTCAGTGTAAGTTTCATTTGATTCTGTGAGAATTAATTTTCTTTTTTTTTTACCAGAACTGGAGTTTTTCTTTAACCTACTGACTACTGAATTCTCTCATCCCATAGATAGGCCTGATACAGGAGCCACCCAGTCCTCATAGGCAACCACTTAACCGGTCCCAGACAAACATTTCACAAATGGTACCAGCTTAAATGCAGAGAGGGAATCTTCAAGTACAAGTCTGTATGTACCATTCCATAACTTCCAATTCAAAACGGGGAAATTATCAATAATCATATTTTTCTTCAGACTTGCACTGAAGAAGAGGAAAGTGAAAGAAGACACTAACCTGGTTGTACTGACTCCAATGGAACAAAGACATCAGCTAGTGATAGAACAGTCTGAGTTGTAGGTTGAGTTGTTGGTTGGGGTGTTGGTGTAGCTGCTGGTACTGATGCCTGGGCTTGAGGGGTAATGGTAGGAGTAATGGGGAGTACCTCAGGGTTCTTTGTTGGGGCCTTGATCTGAGGAGAACCATCTAAGAACAGGAGCTGGTCATCTGCTACAGCAGGAGTTCTATAATTGAAATAAATAATAACACAAGTAGTAGCTTAAAAGGTAATGTAGTATAACATGGATATCATTGTTATTTGCACTCTACATTAATGATGTCATCATAGTCATAAATACACACAATGTGTGCACTATCTCTACTTCCTCAGGAGCATTCCTACCACATAGTCATCATGACAGCAAAATGGCTAAGATATCAAGAAAGCATACATTCCAAATTATCTCTGAAGTTCTTCTTTAACAAAGTATAGAAGTATGGAGTTGTTATTCACTCATCTTGAGCCATAAACTTTCTATACTACTTCAGAAATTGTTTAAATTTTCTCGTAAGTGCAAATATTTACGTTATACAGTGCATTTATCTTTACACTGGAACAAATACAAGAATTGAGTCTTACTCTTCTTTTGTTTTTGGCTTGATGAGCCCCCTTCCTAAAGACTCTAAATCAGCGAAGGCATTAGATGAAATGGCTGGGTTATTGGAAGATGACGATGATGATGTTGAAGCCGGTGTTTGCGAGATACTGTCAGATAAGACAAAAAAGTAAACAAAATCATGAATACAAATGCATTACAAATGAGTGCATCCAGTATTATGAACACTCAAGAAATATGAAAAACAAAATCACTTTCATCATAAACAAAACAGCATTATGAGATGTACATTTTTTTAAACAGTACTAATGAAACAAAAGTCATGAGGAGAAAGTAGTAATAAAACTGTAGATGAACCTTATGAACATTATGAAAGATTCATATAAGCTGGACTATAACAAATGAGGAAAGATTGCATGTCCTTCTTTGCAGACAAGCATCTATTTCAATTTCGTAGCAGACACAAATGTCACATGTATGACCATACATATCTCAGTTTTCTAGCATGTAAAATCACAAATACTTAATTCAGCAGACTAAATGCACCGTGAAATATGAGCTTTGTTCTTTTCCTTGTGTAATAGGAAAAAAAAAAGAAGAGAATTAGCAAGGGATAGCAAAATAAGAAAGCAGAAAAAAAGTTTGATGAGAGTGAATGATCTACCTTCCTGCTGCTTTAGGTTGTGTGGGGAATACAGGTGTCACTTGATTGGATCCCATGGCAACTTGCTGCTGCTGCGGCATCTGTTGCATCATGGGATACCCAGGTTGCATTCCCATCATGCCCATAGAGGACGCTCTAATTTGAGCCATCTGTTGCTGTTGCATCATAAGCTGCTGCTGTTGTGGTGTTGGATACATTGGCATCCGCGCAGGCTGTAAGAGAGCAACAATATGAATCGTGAAACTGGACTAGCATTATTACTAATTAGCATGATACAAAGCAAAGGGGTAGCATGATAAAGATGAAGAGCACAGACAATAACAGGAACCATGTGCTATTATATAACCAGGGGTGAGAGTGAGCACAACAACAACAACAACAAAAACAAAAAATAATTCTTCCCTCAACAATGCCCCCCTTGAGTAAAAAAAAAAGAAGAGGACTCGGGGAAAAAAAATGTTATCTAACAACATTTCCCCCTTTTGAGTAAGAAAATTGGGAAATAATTGGGAAAATATGGAAGAATAGAGAAATTAAGGGAAAATCAGGAAAATTGGGTAAAGTCGGGAAGAAAGAAAAAAAATTGGGTAAAAAAAAAAAAAAAATCAGGAAGAAATTTTTTAAAAATCGGGAAACCGATTTAAACGGGGTAATTATCAGGCCTGTATAACAATGTCTACAATACACTTTTATCGTGATCATTTTATAGGCTCACAGACTCATTTCTGTTTGAAGCTTTTCAAAAACCAAACAAACATACAACAGTGGCATAACTACCGGTATATAAGATGGAGTACAGTATGCAGATAGCTAGGCTCAACAGAGTAGCAGTGAGAAATTTGGAGGGGGGGGGGGGGGGGACACAGGAACAGTGAGAGAACGTATAAGATCATGATAATAATATCAAATATTTAGGAGTGCTAAAAACAACAAGTACCATACCATTTGCTGAGCTTGTTTGGTATTGAATGCAGGGAATGCCTGTGTTGTAGAGGGTACTGATGGAGCGACAGGACCAGGACCTAGGAGCTTATCAAGGTCTGAAGCACTCGTTGGTTGCACCACTTTATTAGCTGGCTGCTCTGATGACAAACCTACAGCAGTAAGAAAATAAAAATCAAGGGAAGAATCGGTTACAACAAGAGACAAACAGGTAAAGTATAGGTATTGTGAAAACAACTAGAAATCATGAATTATATACCTGTACCTGTATAATATCTGCTGAGAGCCAGAAAGGAATTATTCTCTAAATAAAATGAAGCAATGCCCTTCTAGTTCTAAGCACACAATACCTACCGTACCTGGAAATGAGGGTGCATTTACTCTTTACTCCTGTATATCATGACCTGTACTAATTCTATAGCATTTGCACTTCATGATGACTGAAATAAAACTCAATAAGAAGGATTACAAATACATTTTGGGGGATATAATATTTCCTCTGAAGATTAATAACAATCTATGCAAGCAAACAAACCAAGGGAAGCTATAGAGCAATGACAAGTTGTGAAGAAAGTATAAAGCTGATCCATCGATCTCTTATTCTAAACATCTTACCTAATGAAGATAGTTCCGATGCTAAAAGTTGTGTTGAATCTTGTTCAGCATCTTGTTGGGAGGGATCAGGAGGAGCAGAGGCAGCACCTTGTTGTTTGACTGGACTTGAACCAGCAAAGTCTATTAATTTACTACCTACGAAACATTAATGGAAAGAAAAAATGACAACAGTGAAAACAACAACGAAATTGACAGTGTCTCCTTGTACAGCTGACCATATGTCTGTCACTCAACAATATTTGTGGTGTTGCAATATCTAAGCTTGGCTTATACATCTAGAGCCCATTGTAAGATAGCTCAAGTATATACAACTGAGATAACATAATTCAAACATATTGGCCTGAATTCACTATGGAGGTTAGATTTCACCCATGGTTTAAACTCTCATTTACATAACCTATTTACATAAATAAGTGCAAAATAAGCGCAACACAAGTCAGAGGTCCAATATTAGCTGCGCGCAAGGCAAGGTACACTAGTTCAATCAGGTTTTCTGATTTTACTAAATCTTACTCAATAGACCAAATAGATCAACAGATGTATCAAGGAAGTATTTTGCTAAAATCTCAGAACTCCTTCACTCATCCCATTAAGTTTCAAAATATCCAATTACAGGGAAATGTTAAGGAACATACACAAATCTTAAAGCCTGTCTGTACTAGTTTGGCCAGGAGGGATTAGACTACCCAGCTTGGTCACTGACAGGTGGCTATCTCATCAACTCAGCTCTCAATTAACATTTTAAAAAGAGGATCATGGGGGACCAACAGGCATTGTTTTCTATATAGAGGGAGCAAGTAGCTACAAGTAGTGCAGTGGGACTTTAAGCTGCAATAACACACATATTTTCAAATTAGGAATATCAGGAAGAAACTTACTATCTAGTAAATTTGATGCTGCTCCTCCTCCTTCTGCTCCCGATGAACTAGTACTTAGATCCTCGATTCCAAACTTCTCCTTGTATACCTCCATCACCTTGACAACTGCATCATTAGTCTCCAGAATATCAGCTGTATTTAAAGTCAATAATAATAATAATAATAATAGTGAACATTTATAATGCGCCATGTCTGTCAAAAATGACACTCCTGGCGCAGTTGTGTGGAAATTGTATAATTGTGGGCAGGATGGAAAGTTTAAGCAATTGGTCAAGACAGGATACAGGTGATAAAGTTTTGTGACCACCTGTAAAAAAGGACCACCTGTCCTCACGACCACCCTGTGTATCTCTCTTGGGTAGTATTTCTACACAGGTTCGACTGAAGATGGTTTCAAAAATGAAATCAATACAACGTAACATTCCACCAGAGCAAATCAGCATCCATGCATATCCAGTTCTGAGGTAACTGTGATTTTACTCTGTCTCTGACAGGCAAATTTGTTTTATTATTGTTATTTTGATTATTAAATGTTTAGCGACACCTGTACCTGGGAGGCGAAAAGCGAACTAATTCACTGTAGGCCTAACCCTTGAGTGTCTCTTCCCAATATAACTGATTGGAAGTGCGCAGATGGACATCTACGCAGGAGTTTCCCCAAATAGTGCAGAGGGTTACTATTGTGCAAAAGTGGTGACTCTCTTCTATACAGGCTCTCCATTTTATAACGTCCTTTCCAAGGAACAGAGTGTTGTTCACTGTAATATAGCCTTCATCTATGAAAAAGTTTGTAATAATCTAATATGAGACAGTCTATGTATGTTCATGAATAATTTTTTCCTCTCTCTTCTTTATTTTGAAAAAATAACCTAAACAATGCGTTATGAAAGAGGTTCCGGTAGAAGTCATTGTGAATACTTAAACAATCATACATGAAAATAACTTCAAAGAATCATGAAATATGATAATCATCAACAACTCACCAATGCAATCATCTTTCTCATCAGCATCACTCGCCAGTCTAAACAAACTTGGTCTCATTCTTTCACATGTGAGATACAGCTCCTGTATAGATCATTCAAATCAAATGATTTTTTTTTTAGGAAAAGATCAGTAAAGGAAGCAAACAATGAAATTTGACAGCAATAGTCCATCCTTAATGGTACAACGGTCCCACATATATCTGGTTTACTTGGACCAACAGAAAGGCCAAAAAAGATGAGACCTTTCTGAAAATACAGACTAAATTGCATCACGGGACAACATAGTGAGGACATTAAATCTTGACAGCTCTTGAACTACATACATTTTGGAACAATATTTACAAAGAAAATATAAAAACATAACAAAATTTAGAGTAATGCTTTCTATAACACAAATGGTTATCATTATTTTTTGTCTCACCTGTAGTACATGAAAGCAGATTCTATAAAAAGGACTTCATGTTAGTCATCTGGAGTAATGTATCAACCAAATACATGTTAGCCAATACCATGAGCTAACCCTCAATTTCCAGAGCATTTCTAACTTTCAAGCTATTTCACCTACTTGGTTTGTTTTCTCGCAATCCCGAATCACTTTCTACTTTCTGTTTATTTCTATACATTCACATTTCATTCTGTATACTGTACATGTTCAAAAGATGAGTTCAAACCCTCTAAAAAGAGACACAGTCAGATTGAATATAATTCAATGAAGTCAAGTTTGACTGATACTTTAATGTGTTTTTACCTTCATCAGCTCTCTTTCCTCAGGGCTTGTATAGCCTTCTCTATAATGAGTTAACATCTCATTGAGTAGTTTGACATTGTTGTTACAGCTCTCTAGCTCGTTGGTCCTTCTAGAAACCTTCTCCAGCCGTTTCTCATCCTCTTTGACCATGTTCTTGATGAGACGGTTCGCTGCTTGCAGATCTTCAGGATGCTTGCTCTTCAGAAGCCTTGCTAACAACTAAAGATCAAATAAAAGATCATTCAAACATCAGAAGTCCAATCAACTTAATAATAATAATAATATTCTGCTTTTATATAGCGCTTAATGTCTTTAAGCCCTTTACAGAAAAGTGTGCTATTACCCTGGTCATTGGATTCAATACTTGCCCACACACACTGTGCACAAGCAAGTACAGGTTAATATCTTGACAAAGGATATTAGTGCCGTGTCGGGATTCAAACCCTCAACCTTCGCATCTCCGGTCAAGCGCCTTAAACCACTCGGCCAGGACACACTGACTGAAAGGGCTGTTAATTGCTTCAAAATTAACAGAAGTTGGAATACTCAACCACTGGGCCACAATATATTTCTCTGACAGGTGGCTATCTCATTAACTCAGCTCTCAACTTACATAAGAAAAAGAGGATCATGGGGGACTAACATGCACCATTTGGGGAAGTTTTCTATATAGAGAGAGCAAGTAGCTACAAGTAAGACAGTGGGGCTTTAAAGCAGACATCGATGATTGTCTTAAAGGCCCACTGCACTACTTGTAGCTACTTGCGCCCTCTATATAACAAACAATGCCTAATTGGTGACCATTGGTCCCCCATGATCCTCTTTTTCTTATGTTAAGTGAGAGCTGAGTTGATGAGATAACCACCTGTCCAGTGACCTTGTAGGGCGGCCTAATCCCTCCTGTAAACTATGGCAGATAAGCTTTAATTACCTTTGATTTCTCTTCATCTTCAAACTCAGCCATCTTTGCTTTAGGAGGGGGAACAGAAGGGAATAAATCTTCATCAAGATATGTTGGATCTTCTTTTACCAGACCTGAATGAAAGAGAAATACCAAAGCAAGAATTAGGACACAAGATATCTAAACTGAAAATTAACATCAACACTTAGTTTCTCATGATTTACCTTGCATTAAAAAAAAAAGTGATTGAAGCCCAATACACAAGTTTAGTTTCCCTCTATGAAATGAATTAGGTTTCATTTCATTTCTTTATCGCGTCCATATAGGATAATTGTTTATATGCACATCAACAATCTTGCTTCAACATATGAACATAGGAACAACATATAATTGACATTCATAGGGCCCTGTTTTAGTATACATTTGATATAATATACATGGTCATGATGAATATACATTTAAATACTCTTTCTTCTTCTTCTTCTTCTTCTCTCTTTCTTCTTACATACCCTCCATTTAGGTTGTAGATAGTCTTAATCGACAAACCACATCCCAATAAGTTGATGAAAAATTACTGATATATAATCTCTCCTAGAGGCCCTATATAATTAACTAAATACAATTTCATAGAGTTAGCACCCTTATAGCTATAGCCTACAAAGGATTTAGTTGACTAGAGGATTATTATTTGGCATATCCTAGTGAGACACTCTTTGTCATTAAATTTGTTTGTTGCTTTCAAATAAAAGTGATATCATATGGTGATCATGAAAACAATTAAAAATATCATGTGAATTATAAAAAAAAGTTGATATTCTACATATTCTACACTACAATTTGTTATTTCTCTTCATTACAGAGGATTAAATCTTGAAAACCAACCTTGTTTTTTCAGCATATCATAAGCCTCCACAATCTTGCCTTCATGAGGAAGACCCTTTTGCCAGGAGTACATCAGTTCTATTGTTTTCTTCTTCACCTTCTCAGTCGTCTTATTACCAAGATACTGCAGGAGCAATCAAAAATAACACCATTGTCTCATAGAAAGATAAACATTGTAAATACTATCAGTGCATGGGCAGATAAAGGTAATTTTTCCCAATATGTAAAACCCATCAAGACGAATAGGCCTACTGGTATTGTGCTCATGAAAGTTATGTAATCACTAATCAGTATTCATTTATGCACCAACAGTACATTGATCTGATACGCAGGTTGAAATAGTCTTCTAAAGTGGCAAGGATTAATAAAGCACCTCCATCACTTCGGCAGTGATTATTCTAAAATGCACAAGTAGGACTATTCCATCGTGTAAAAGATCTGTGGATATTTTGGGGTCATGCGTTCCGAAGCTATTTAAGAACTGGCTTATTCACAAATCTTCTTGTTCCTTTTTTTTGCTATTAAAAGAAAGACAACAACACAAGTATATGAAGTGATGATAACAAATACTACACTAACTTAAGTATGTGATGACTAGACAATTTGAAAAGCAGTGGAGGCTTTCTCGCTGCTAATTCCACAATAAGTCCTCTCTCTCTTTTAAATACATGTTTTTACTTGTTCTAACTGATTTTGAATGCTTTATATTTCTTGTGTTAGCTAAGTGTAATACTTGTAATCATCTAACTGAGAAATTGCTTTGAGAGCTGCCTTAAAGGGACCTGGTAACTTTGTCTCAGATTCTGAAACAAAATCCTGGATTTAGCTCATGCTGCAATCATAATTATAAACCTTTAGGTCAGTCAGGAACCCCAAGACTTTTACAAGCCGATCTCCTGTCTGATTATCAAGATATTTATGATTCGAAATCGAAAACAAATTTTACGTTTTCCTAACAGTTTTCATAACACGACAGTCTATTGGGGAAAACGAGTATTGTAAAACCGGTCACTCAAAGATTTTTACTTTTTTGAGTCACTTCATGATATTTTGAATCGCAATTTTTTCAGGGTTTCATTATTAGGGCCACGCATCTCAGAACATTGTTAAACAGTGCCTTTAAACGTTTCTTTAGGTGCTAATATAACTACAGCAACTGCTTTGAACATACCTTTGGTGAGATAAGTTTGATCATCTCATTGAGGAATCTGAACTTGCCCAGTTCTCTGTGGAAGAGCTCTCCACAGTTCTTGACGCATGCCTCTATGACCGTCAGAGCTTGAAGCGCTTCTCTCTCCTGTGGGGACTGGATCTTATGACCAAGCAGCCGACACGAAAGCAAAGCTCTAGATACACAACAAAAGAAATGTAAAAATGGTGATGCCTAAGATGCTGTATATTAAACTGAATTATGAATTTTATTTCATTACTGAGTCTGAATTATGAATTGAATTTGCATTTCGTGTTATCTATGTTCAAGACAAATGTACTATTCTGTATCCATTTGTATCTTATTGATGTTTATAATCTATAAGTTTTGTATCGACATGCAAACAAAGCAATTTCCAATATTGGACAATAAAATTTGAATTGAATGAATTGAATTGAATTGTATATATCCAAACGTTACAATGAACTAAAACTATTCAACAAGAAGTTCATCAGTGCACTTTTATATAATAGTTTTTAAATATTTACACTTAACATGGTTTAAATTACTATGAAGGCCATTTTCAACTGAAAATATCTATGAACAGATAATAGCTCTACTATTCTTTCATAATAACATGATCATTCTTGTATGACGTGTATGACGTATGACAAAAAAGGTACTTTATGCCTGAAAAAATATATTGATTCCAGAGTCCTATACAGGAATTGATAACTGTATTAAGATTGAACTATTTACACTTCTAACTCTGAATCGACTCTATCACAGAAGTTCTTTTATGAAAGGATAACAGTCATAATGGTTTTGATGTTGCTAAATGACTAACTTTTATGAAGAAAAGGTACATTGAGCCTTTGAAATCAATAATCCATTTACCAGAGTACCATACCATGATACAGTAAATGTTAATTCAGGGCCCCATAGAAGACCACTACTTATTGGTGAACGGGCTATCCTGACAAAAGATTAGAAATAAATAAATAAATACTAATATTGATGTAATGATGCATGTACTCACCCTTCTAACTCTGAGTTGACTCTGTCACAGAAGTTCATGATGTACTCCCAGTCATCATCCCTATTAGAAGGATTGGTTGCTTTATCTGTTTCAGAGATTGAAAGTATGTGAGACAATTATTCACAAATGAATCTAAAAAGTCGCTGGTGAACCAGATACCCTGTTGAAGGGCAGCTGGTGATCTTCCTCCTTTGAAGCTCTCACAGAAGATTGAGAATGTGCCTTCGCCTAACTTAAGAAGTCGCTACAGTCCAATCCTCCATACATGTATACATGCATGTATTGTACAACGCTATCTAAGATTTTATAAGATAACCTTGTATAGATCTGCAATGAGCTTTACCTGGGGGAATTTCTTCAACAGATATTGAGTAAATAATTACCCTGGATTGATCCAGAGTATATTATTATGGGGAGGAGAAAAGAGACCATTTGAAGTACAACAATTATTTTTATCATAGAAACCTAACATTTGTGACAGAGTATATTTCAAAAGACCTAGAAACAAGTCACCTGACAAATGCAACAAAATTAGTGTCAAAAGGCGCGCCCATAGGGGGTTCCCTCAATTCAGCCAACTCTGTGAGTGCGTCTTTGTAATATATTAATCTAATTGCTTTAATTGTAAAATAAGTATCGAATTGACAACGTGTAAACATTTACACCAACATCGCAACTCTCGTGACTTCCCATTTTCACAAGAGGTCAGCGTTTATTTAATGTTAACCTCATCTCCACTAATTATCATCAGAAATAAGGTACACATCAGTTTTACTCTGGTATCAAAATGTCAAATTACAGTTCAGTTTTCTAATTACTTAACCGATTTTAAAGTGAGAAGAAAGAATCTTGAGACTTGAGTCCACTAGTTCTAGCGAACTCCGAAGTCTGCGCCTGTGTGCAATGTTCGATGGGTGCGGGAAGGGGTGATTTCAGACGCATTTTAGGGTTTTGTTTACCTGCCTCTTCACACAGGGGTAAGGATTGGTGCCAATTAAGGCTTTGTGATAATCTGATATCGATATCATTCATATTATCTCATAATTATATTATCACCAAGGCTAGCCCAAATTACTTTTTAAACGATTATAAAAACACACAATCAGTATGACAGATCCATCACTGATCCAACTTCAAGTTCAGGGTCACTCATATCTCGGTTGAGACAAAACCTATAGTGTAGCACCAAGCAGATGCATCACTTTATTAGATGTGCATCATGCAGTATCGCATTGATTTACAAAATAAAGAAAAATTACCATGCTCATCTTCTTGTGATCGATCGATACCTGCTCACATGATAATTTAAACATGTTTAAAAAAGAAACTTAATTCTTCATTCTGTTCATTGCTTTTACAAACCTAGATCTGTAGATCGAGATCTGACATATCATACAAAACCTATATGAGCTACAGCATTATAATGGCAGATAATTTCCAAAACAAAAATGGTCAATGACCCTACACTGCACTGCACTGCACTCCCCCCAATAAATGGGACAGAGCTGTCTGAGACTGAGAGAGAGAGAAAACAATGATGAATGAGGGGGCGTTGGCAAAGTGAAGCATCAATTGCCTCATACTGCCATATAATACACATAAATTGAATTTTCACACATCAGAATGATTGCAAATCTCAATTGAATGTCACACCCAATAGCAATATTTAGCATGATAAGAGGAAATCACTTACTAAGCAACGTTTCTAAGGTTTCCCAGTCGTCTCCTTCCGCCATGTTGAACTCAATTGAGAATATAATGCAATGAACGAAAGAGGGCGCTATCTGTAATTTCATTACGATAGGAGCATTTGCCTAACTGAGCTGAATGAGCATTGACTGCATGACTCGGTGGACGGTCGCAGAAGAAAAACGTTGAAAATTACACTTTTGTTGACGGTGAATTTTGATTTATATTGTATGGTCACATTCAGCAACTTGTGAATTCAGCGGTACTCCAAGTAAATTTCAGAAATGGTGTTAGATGTGATGCCTCTATGCGCGTGTAGCTGCCACAGAATATCTGCCTTGTTGACAATGCTTTTCTTCATTTGGCTTGGAGAAAGTGTCGTCTGCTACGCTTTAGAAAATTCTTATGAAAGATTGTCAAACGGTGAGCTGTTGAATATAGCCTTAATTATGTGTTCTAGTTATGTCATGATAAATTAATTTGCTTGTAATTGTGAATTGGAAAATGTAGTGAACTGTATTACTTATGCTATTTATGAATTATGGCAATTTATTAAGCTACATTTTATACTTACTTTTAATTATTAATTCGATCTTCTTCTTCCTCCTCATCCTTCTTACTAATCATAGTATTATCATTGTTGTTATTATTATTATTATTATTATTATTATGATCAATATAACAGAATATAATATTACCATCATTATCATCGTTTGTTTCAAATGAAAATCAATAGAATCCCTGTGGAGGGAAAAAAAAAAATCATTATGCATCGACATCATGGCCTGTTGTAAATTTGCCATTATTTTTGTTTGCACCTGCTTAACTAGGCCTCTAGAGTCACAAACATTCTCTTTACTGAATACTGTGCGTGCCACATATCTTATTGTAAAGCTATAGCCAAAGCCTGCATGTTTTAAGTAAATTAACTTAGGATAATAATAATAATAGCTCACATTTATAATGCGCCTAATACTTTGTTTCTAGGCGCGGAACATATTATTACCCCGGTCATCAGATTCAGGCTTACGATGGTTGGTTTAAGTTTATGATTCATGATAATGATGGCTTCTTGTATAGCACCATGCAGCGGCCAGTGTCCTCCTCTCATGGGCACTGATGGCATCCAGAAAAGAGCTGAACTTTGAACTTTAAATTTTTTTAATTTTTTTTTTATAGGTGTGCCTTCCAGTGAAGTACCATGTTTTCTCTCAACCTCTGATGTGATATTATCCAGGAAGAGTGCAAATCAAGGATTTCACAGGTAGACTGAAACTATATGTTGTGCAATTATAAGATATAGAGGCTTACATGTATATGTTTCACATTTGCATAGTGCAGAATATAATTTGTATATTGATCTGAATTATACTGCAAAGTATTGCAAAGTTTGACAAACTTAATTTAGCTTTAACGATACCTATTTAATTATATAGATGATGATGATGATGATGATATGATTGATAACAATAGTAGTAATATTAATAATAATTTATTTAATAATGATAAAGATAAAGTTGTTGATTTTGAATTCACTTTTATCTGAAAGCTATTCATACAATTTTCTTCTTTTTATATGTTTTCTCTGTCAGGAGTGTTCTAACCAATATGAGTGCTGTTGTTGAGTCTTCCTGTGACCAGTGTAGGTTTATGCTCCTAGAACACATGCCTGAAGGGATGTATGTAGATCCTTATCGACTCAAAACATTGCAGGAATTTGGCGCTCCAGCAGTGAGTATATTTCATTGACATTATATATGTGTGTCTGTTTATGAATCAAAATAATCTGTGTTGATCGACAACCAAAAGCTTTTCAACATTTTTTGATGTGCCAAATTATAGGCTAATGATTAAATAATAAATGGCTTACTGAATTTGCTCAATCCCACTGGTTCCAGTAGTATTGTGTTAAAACAGGCACAAAATTCAAATGTTTAATTTGTAGGTCAGTATGAAATACCAACCTTGTTTCTTCTGTATTTTTACATTTTATTCTCTGACATTTCATCATGCATTCAACTATTCACCCGTGACCAAATTAACATAATTCTTTGTGAAATGCAGTTCTGTTTCAATCACCCATCACTAAGTTACATCTTTATCCTATTGTTTCCCTTTTAGGTATTAACCCTTGATGAGATAGATGTAGAGAAGCCTGAGCATCTCTCTCCCAACCACACAATAGCTATCTATACACCTCACATCAAACCATCTACCAGTGATCACATGACTGGTCACATGACTGGTCACATGACTGCATTCATCGATCTACCAGCTCATCTCAGGTACCATGCACCATCCTATGACCCGGAAGTGAATCATGCAGAGGTCTATCTGACACCTCCTGAGCTCTTCATGCACTGCACAGGTAGGTGGGGTAGGACTTTGAGCTGACTAGAGTTAATATATACAGTAGTTCAATGTGCTCGGGAGACAATTACTCAGTAGTCCGTTTCTAAATCCTTATCTAACTCTTTAACACAAAACTTGGACTTGATGTGGTACCTAACCCTAAACCTAATGCAAACTTGATCGTTACTCAAGCTTTATTACCTCATCTGTTCTGAATATCATCATAACTTGTTCCAACAGTCTTTGAAAAGTAGTATTGATAGTAAAGCGAGCTAGTCTAACTAACACAGACACTGCATGATCAGAAAATATAATTTATTTAAACAACAGCAAACATACATATAGTTGTCAAGAGTAACTATTGAAAACTTGCACCATGATTGCATGGTGTTACTAGATTCAGTAAATTTATATTTTTATATTTTTATAATTCTTTTAATATTTCTATTTTCTAGTGAGTTAGTAGAAATTATCCCATACACGAAAGTGTATACCGGTACATTTTTTAAAGCTCTCCTTTTTGCGTTTTATACAAATTTTAAAGTGAAACATTTTTATACATTGCTGATGATATTGATTATTCTGCATTTTCATTGTTTGGTTGTATGGATGTTTGTTTTGATTATATTTCTATGCCGAACAAACAAAAAAGTGATTTATTGATTGAAAGGTAATTGTGTTCATTAACAAGGTTGTCCTTTCTTCTTTTACTCTTCTCATGTAAATGTATCATCCAGTGTGCCCTTCAGATGCTTGTTCTAATGACACAGGATTGATCCAAGCACCATGCACAGCAGCTAATCACACACTCTGCGCATGGACACCACTGGATTATACCATGGTGAGTGCATGGGTTTGTATTGATCCCAGCATCTTACCGTATCTCATTTGACCCTTGTGAAATCTCTGTTACTATATTTTCATCTCAAAGATTTACCTTTTAATAATCTTTCAAGTTTTTCTTTTATTGTAACCTTTAACCATCAGTTCTCTCCCTACCTTTCTGTCTCTTCTCTCTCGCTCTCTCCTTTCTATCCTATCAGTCTTTCTCTCTCTCTCTCTCTCTCCCTCATCGATCATTGTTCTTTTCTTCCCATGCTCGCACATTCCCAAATACTTGTATCATCTTTCTAATAGTATTCTGTGTATCTAACTCTCTACCGTCTTTTCTTTCAATCTAAATCTATGTACATGTTTTGTATAAAGAATATTCTGCCCCAAAATCTTCTTAAGATGTAGTAGAGATAATGTTTTAGTATTCTTTTATTGAATTCTTCTTATCTAGACTAATCTTGGTGTATCTCCTTTCCTCTCCTTCTTTACACAGGAAACATATGAAGAACTTGACTTCAGAGTACCAGTAGGACAGGAAAGGCATAGCTTAACAGTGACTGTAGTAACTCTCTTAGCTATCACCATAGCAATGATTGCTCTTCTTGTTGCTATGACAATGAACAAGCAGATCAAGGGAATGAAGCAAAGATGATACCGACTAGCAATAACTTCAGCACCACATGTCTAATAATTGGACGGTGGGCAATGTAGTGACAATGAAATCACATGATGAATTGTCAGCAGTTGCAGTCCAGTGTAATGTTTGAATTGGACTTGGAAGATTTCCAAAATGTATATTGAATAATAAAAGTGCAGAGGACCTCGTGATACCTTGTGATATCAAACTCATCAGAAATAACCTTGTACTGAAAATGTTGCTGTAACCGAATGAATATAAAGGACCGGGACAGCAAAACAAATCCTTGCTGCAAGGGTTTGATGTCTAACAGCATTTCTTTTATAGTGCGGTTCTACCTACACATTGTGAATGTGTCACTTATTGAATGCTAAAGAAATATTTTTAAGGCTGAAGTGCAGTAGACATTCAAGTTATTCATGGTTGTAATTTTAAGACATATATGCAAAGTTAAGTAAAAGAGTGATATCAATCTCGGGTAAATTGGCATCGATTATAAATTTTTTTCTTCTTCAATGTATTCAAACTTAATTCTTGACAGACAGTTGGTTTGAGCCTTCATCCAAATTGCAAGAATGAATTACATATTGTTCTGAAGAGGTAAGTAAGTTTAGGGGACCTGTAACCATTCATATACCTACCTGTAATAGTTCTTATTTCAATGGAAGAACACCAGGACATGATTGAACAAAGCTCAATTCATACTTATGACTACATGGAAAGAGAGAGAAAACAAAACAAGTTCTGAACTTATGTTTATTATTTATAAAAGATAGCAAATTTTAATTTGTTGTGTTTTTTCAAAACATTTTATATCATGAAAATATTCACATTACATAATCATAGAAAAGCACACATTCAAACTGTCCAGATCACAGGGGCCTAGTGTAATATGATATAGTATACTATATGCATAACTCCACTTGTAAAGAGTTTTGTAACATGTGGATTTACAGTTACCTGAAGCTTTACAAAGTATTATATGTAATCATTTGCATTAACATTTAAGTAGTAAGATCAAATGTATCTATTGCCATCAGTTTTTCAAAAATATACACCAACGGTTGTCACAATCAACATGTGCATTGATCTGTTCTAAGGTATCATTCAAAGAAAAAGTGGAATATGTTGATCAAAATAATTTTATAAAAGGAACAACAACAGATATAATTCAATATTTTCTAAAAATGTTAGATTGGGAAATGAAGATGCCTCTTTATGTGTATACAATTATAAATATGAGAGTTATGATACATCTACTTTCAAAAAGTAGGTCACAATGCTATCATCAGGATACAATAGGAAAACAAGTATAGTATAAAAATAAGCCTACAGGTACTGTATAATATAAAAAATAGTGATACTAAGTTAATTTTGTCATGAAATCTTTATATAAACACATGTTTTACAAAATAAACCTACTTTTTTTAATTGTATTAATACCATAACCTATACAAAACTAGTTAGTAATAAAGCAATCAAAGGTTTAAAGCATAAAATCTCCATGAAAGACTTATCAAACTCAGAATCACTCATACTGTTAATGTATGAAATACTGCCTGACCAAAAGGAAAGATTGTAATATTTCAATTGCTAAAGAAACATTTTCTTTACAATAAACGAGGCACAGTTACTGTTGTAGGACATGCAGTAGTTCATGTTCCATCCTGTTCCATCCTGTATGCAAGCATGGAACATAACTATATAATAATACTTATAATAGTGGGTTCTTGTATAGGGCTCATCTCACATTTTGTTCTTTTCTCAGTTTTATACTTCATGGTTTCAGTTTACCTACTTGACATTTTATGCAATAGTTTTTAATTCCTCATATTAATGTTCAGTATCGTGTCATGACCTAGTGTCATCATACATATTAATTTGATTTCCTCCTTGTGCTTTGTTTTTGTCAGCTGGTTTGTTTATGAAATTTTATACATTTTAATTACCTTCATGCTATATTTTGCAGGTCTTCTGGGTGCACCAATGAGTTGGTCGGGAAGAGGGACCATTACGATTACAGTGATTAAGTTTGCTTTTCTCTTCCCCGGCAGCCAACTGATGCACTCAGAGGACCTCCAGGAAGATTGTGCATTTATAATTGACATTCTCTTAATGTTTGTTTAATTATATTTACATTGTTATATTTTTTGTGAATTGCCGAATTAATATAATAAATAAATATATAAATAAATCTATGACACTCCTAGTGCTCCACAATGAGAATACATGAATATTTTTTTCATTAATAGCCACTGTGCTTCATCAAAGGGTGATGTGGTTTTCAATCAGTCCTTCAAACTCTACTGTGCCATCAAGTTTACAATCATATTCAGGAGTCAAAAAGATTTCAGGAGTCAAAAAGATTTCAGGATATAAGTACTTCATTTTGGTTCCTTATTTTCATTCATTATTCATCTTGTACAATCAGTGTTTTGTTTCAATTCATGAGCTTATTTAGAATTAAAGAACACTAGCTTCTCTCTCACAAACTGTTGATCCATCCAGGTGGATGCTGAAGATTGGAAGGTTTGGAGAAAGGCCATCAAGGAATGTAACATCCAACCCCACAGCTTGAGAAAATGGATGGTAAAAATCAAGGCAGCTCAAGCCATTCATAGAATTGAAAGGGTTTAAATGGAATGATTCAAATCAACGAAACAAGGACTGATGATGCAGACAAATGTAGCTAGGCCTTCACATCACCATTGTTATCAGGTTCAAGATCCTCCCCAGTGTTCTCTGCTAGACTCCAGATGGCATCTTGAACCGAGTCAAACATTCGAAGCTGGTAAATATCTCCTTTATTCAGCTGCTCCTTGATTGAAGGCTAAGCAAAGACAGAACAAAACACACATCAAGAAATGAGGATGAATGAACTAAAAGAAATTCATTAAATCAGCGTAGAGAAGAGCGAATGAGTAAACATGGAAATATTAACCACTTTTTAAGATCAGGAAATTAATGGTATTGATGGCTAAGTTTTTATTTGTACACTGCAATGCTACACATAAATTCACATTCATAACAAAAAAACTATCAACAAATTGAACTTTCAATATTAATGATATCTTAAACTTAGGAAAACTATGAATGAAATATCCTCCATGGATGTAACTTGATGATTGATCAAAATAGAGAATAGGTTTAAACTCACCAAGACATTGGCGAAAGCAGCCCTAACTCCAGCTCTTCTCAGGTCTACCATGAGATCAGACATGCCCTGGACCACTGTGTAGTCTATCATATTAACACGAGAGAAGTCCAGGACTAGTTTGGTAGGATGGTCTACAGAGGAGCTAAGTTCTGTGATCTGCTCACTGATGTAATCGATGGAAGGATAACGGATGCTACTGTCTACTGTTACCACGGCAACGGACTCCGCCCCGACCTGAGTGTGCAAACAAGAGTGAAACACTATCCAATATACGCTGACATTCTTTGATTGAATCTATTGTACCTTTAGGAGATGCAAAAGGTACTATCCTTTTTTTCTTTTTATTTCAAACTTATAGCTCCGCTGAATAGACCCATTTAAATATGTTCAAATTAATGGATTTTTCTTTCCTGAGAACCTAGTCAGTTAGGGTTAAGAGTCGCAGGTATTCGATAAACCTGCTGATAATGAATGAACTACAATACTACAGTTTTAATTAAAGAGCAAGTATGTAATATACCCCAAAACTTATCCTCAAGTTTTGATAAACTTTTACTCATTCACTGCTTTTCTGTGGACTCGGCCATTAATTCTTTGTTTACTAAAATAACAGACCAATAATCTCTTCATTTTCAGAAAAGAAAGAACACACACTTCTCGCTTCAAATGCAGTTTTTATTCGACAGTATACTAGATTGAATGATGACTGACCTGTAGTTGTTGTGAGTGTGATGCTGATGAAAGCTCAAGATCATTAATCTGTTGTGACGATGAGTCTATCTTGATAGATGGTCTAGCTACAGGGAAGAGTAAGATCACTAGATCTACCCCTATACCAATCAGCGTTCCATAGGCTACATCTAGGCCTAGTGATGCCACCAGAGTTACCAGGTATGGAACCAGGTCCAACTCTAAGCATTGGGATAAGAAGATGCATAGGCTTCAAGTTACACATCCATTCATTGTGCTTTGGGTAAACATTATTGCTAAATGGCTGTTTTTACCCTGCTAAACCTTGAAGGATACCAAATTCTATGTTTTGGATAAATGAATGAAATATGATGTAACCAGGGCGACAAAGCAAATATTATTCCAAACTTTAATCAAACCAAACACCTGATGTTACAAATTCCAAATTATTTCCTTTACACAAAATAATACAAAATTACAAATTATGTTCTAGGCTTTTATTGGTATATCAAAATATCCACTTTCCCCTACCACTACCATAAATCTGAACTTCCCAGGCTTCCAGCTAATAAAGATGTTTTGTATTTGTGATACCAGCAAACCACAAAGCTGCCTACTGAATTTATCTTATAATTCAAAACTTGAACAGAGTAATTGGAAAACTTCTTAAATTGAAGAGATAATGATAGACTCACTTCTAATTGTCCATAGTCTTTTGATGATTGGAAGCTGAATGAGTTTAATAAGAGCTACAATGATGACTGCACCAAGCGTGGCTTCGGGGATCAATCTGAAGAGGGGTGTCAGGAAGGCTAGGGCAAGCATCACCACAGCACCGGTAAAGATACCAGCAGCAGGGGTACGAACACCACTCTGAAAGTTTACAGCGGTCCTATAGAGGATAGATGATGGACAGGGTAATAATAGGAGAGGTGTTAGGAATGCAATGGCTAACATCACTACAGCCCGGGAAAACATACTCGTAAGCGTATGAACACTGCTCTGTAAGATCAAAGCAGTATTACTAAAAGTAAGAAATAAACAAACAAACAAAACATTTGAAAAGTGCATTGTCTCTAATACATGTACAAGGCCCTTATTGCAATTTATGAAAAAGATGTGCGCAATTTATGAAAAAGATGTGCACAATGAGATTGAGTATAGCGTATCAGAAGTAGTTAAACTAATTCTTTTCTTCTATTCCTCCTCCAAATTCATCTCCAATTTCCTTTTCTTCTTTCACTTCCTTCTCCCTGTAATTTTACTTCCTCCTATTGCTCCCATCAATATCACTTCGTCTTCTGGAGGAGGAGGCGCGATGGCTCAGTCGGTAGAGCCGTGGTCTTGTAATCCGGCGACCCGGGTTCGAAGCCAAGGCGATGCGCTAGTGCCCTTTGGTAAGGCATTAATCCTCATTACTAGGTCCCTCGAAGAGGACCTAATGCGATCGGTCCTTCTGTTGCTTACTAACAAACATAAGCTTGCTTTCTTATCAGTCGCGTAAAATAATCACCAATACACTAATAATTCTATTCATAATCTCAATAACAAAAATTCTGATCATTATTACCAGAATTTGATTTTGCAATTTTTTTGTTGATGTATTATAAACAAAAATCTCAAACACTTTAGTGGGCACTTACCGAGAGAAACTACCTGTTACTGGATATGCTTGCACAAAAGAGCCGGCAATATTGCACACACCTATCAAAGAAGAAAGAATATCACGTAACACCAATTTATTCTAGATTTACAATAACAATAACATTAAACATTCTGTTGAAATAGAACAAGTACCTTATCCATGAAAGTCATGATATTTAGGCTCCTGAATATGATTTGACTTTGATTTAAAAAAAACTTTTCTTGCACTCCAGCCCCAGATATTATCATCTTTATACATAGCTTAAAATACATTAGCAAGACCTCCTGATAACAGCACACAGGGCTTTAACACTGAACAGGATTCCTCAGAATACTCTAAACACCACTGCAACAAAAACTATACCATCTATAAATCAACAAATTAAAGACTTACCTATTGCTACTAGTTCTTGGTTTGGTTCAATTTTGTAGTTACTTTGACGAGCTGTAAAAAAGAAAAAAAAAATAGCTGATTAACTGCTGAAAGATGAAGCATCCATACACTTGAACAATACATGTATTACAGCATCAATAAAATTAATAAGAAAGTTATTTTTAAAATGTTGTAATCTGATCTGGTATTGTTTTATAAATATCAGAGAAAATATTTCATTTCATATATTTCTCTCATATAAAGCAATGCAAGCACAATCAATTTGTTCATACACAGACTTTCTAGACTTTCAAAAGCAGATAACATATTCTTCTTTTAAGAAAAAAAGCAACATAAAATTCATAGAGAATAAAAGACTTAATACACAATCATTACAACATTTGTACTGTATTGAGGTCATGAAATAAGAGGTAAAACAACTGGTGAGAAATGTCTGCACTGACAAATAAAAAATCAAACAAACAGCTTACCAAATCCTTTTCCAATGACGATAGATTCAAAATATCCAATAATTGGTACTAAAGCAATGCCAATATTGAAAACCTGTAGAGAAAAAAAATGAGAAGGAATTAATTGAAACATGACTAGATGAATCATTTAAGTTAGATTGAACAAATTGTGCTAATTATACTAGAGGAAGAAAAATGCCTATAATATCTCAAACCATGGAGGACAGCACATTTAAAAATATAGGAGAGGGAGACTTATTTCAGAAGTAAATAATTGAAATGATCAACACAGAGTCACAAGTATTTTCTATTTTTCATTTTATATTATTCAAACAACTTATGAGAAGACTTAGTATTCCTGACATAATTATCTTTCAGAATTAAGATATTGACAGTTTCTCCTGATAAGGAGTTTGTTTGCCCAAATTCTACATGTATCCTTTGAACCCAGCAGACATGAGACACAAGGTAAAACACTTGTTACCATAGCAGCAGTCAGGTACATGATTAAAACAAATCCTCACATTCTCATCTTAGCCAATCCATCTACATTATTCAACGACACACATGTAAATCAATGAAAAGCCACTTACCCCTAATATATTTGGTAGATGGAAGTCTGGAGGTTTGAATGCAGGAAGTCCAGTGCTGTTTATGTGACCTGTCACGGTGATGACATCAGCATGACCCGAGGACTCTAATGCTAGAGCTACTAGCATACCACATATTACAACTATGGCATTACGGGCTGCAGAGGATTAAAAAGTGTAATTATTATTCTACTACATAGATAAGACATGGATCGTTCAGCTTTCTTCAGAAGTCCCCATGTGACAACATCATACTTTCTTAAAACATTTGACTGCCACAGAAGTTACTTATAGCCAACAAAAATGTTGATATCAAATCTACCATGTTTGCACAGGTCTATAAAAGCTTTTCATTTGATTCTCGAAATTCAAAACAGATTCATAAATTGTGATAATAATACAATAAAATGAGTACACTGTACTCCTAAAGCATCATTTCTATGAACAAAGAAATTAATAACCATAGTTAGAAACCAATATCATACAATAAGACATGAGAGTTAAAGAGAGAGATTGATACCTGTTCCCATGAACCATAAGAACTTCCATAAAACTTTGGTTGCCATGGAAGCATCTTTCCAACCTTTCTTCTCCCAAACGACGGTGTCTTTTTGAATCAGCTGATGATATAAAAGATTTGGAGAATACATCAAATGAGAAGGATCTAAAACAAATTACACGTGTAAAAAATGTTTAATATATATTACCTTTTACCTATTAATTATTTTGATAGATAATATAAATGTCCAATAATGTTGACACAATGAATTTCTGCATCATAAACTGTACAATGAATTCTGTAGGATTTCTCTGGCATATAGGGCATACACACAGAATTCAATCCCGCTGAAGAAAGAGGTAAATTAGTAAAATCATGAAATCTTGAATCTATTCAAAGCATTTTGTTATCTGTGACCTTAGTTTTATGCTCATATATACAGCTTCCACTTAGATAATTATATCATGGTACAAAAATCAGAGGAAAAAAATTTGCTTCATCACGTCATCACTGAAATACTTCCATCAAATTTCGGTCTAAGAGATGATTTTCAATAATACTTAAAGATTCTAGTAAAAGTGAAGACAAACTGGTTGATTGACTTACAGTAAGTAGAACTAGAGCAACTATTGTGATAACTCCAAGAAGGACATCCCAAGGACTACAGAAAAGAAACATGAAACATTAATAAATCTAATTTCTTTCCTTTAAGTATGTTTACAGATTTATTTCTAATCCTGCTTCTCAATAATTAATTGATATAACTATCAGGATTTACAAATTAATGATGTGCTACAATGCTTTCTTCATATTCACTGTCCAGAAAATGCAATGCAATGTGGGTAGCTGCTTACCTATCTCAATAGAAATATGAAAGTTCAATACAGTGTAGTATCAACGTAGGCAGACAAATTAACAATAACAAACTGTGTGCACCAAACATGAACTACTGGTACATGTACATGGTATCATAAAGGAATGATCATTCAGGTCTCTCATTATTTCACTATAAAATTAAACAAATATTTCAGGTGGATACTTACTTTGAATCAGGAATGTGTTTGAAGGTATTATAAACATCTTCAGCAAAGCTTCCCGATGAGAAATGTATACCCAGTATATGTTTAACTTGTCCAAATGCAATGGTGATGGCCGATGCTGTAGTGAAGCCTGCCACCACTGATGCTGAGATAAAACCAGTTAGGGTTCCTAGCATAAAAAGAAGATCATTATCAATAGATGAAGGAAATTGTCAGGAGCTCTCTTTATTTATAATAATGGATATAAATATAAAAAGTGAACGCACAAGAAACAGACATACAACAACAACAACAAAATAATTAACAAACAATGAAATATTTTTTGTGTTGGAGAGGTGTGTCTTTCTCACTTCACGAACAAAATCAATAGATGGTCAAGATTTGTATATTTATTTTGCTGTAATTTTGGGTTTGAATATAGAAATGAAAAAGGAAAAGAACATATATCAAGAGTTGGCAAATGATGCATTTTTGTTCTTGTAGTTTGTGGATGTTGGATGTTGGATACAGAAGCATAATTTTGAAAAGTTGATATGGAAAGGGAAATCCTATTTAACACCTAGTTTCAGACCTATCAAATTTGAATTTAAACCAACAATAATAAAATGCTAAAGGTGAATCGATTCTTACCTAGATGAAATATGCCCATGATGAGCTGTATGACGCCACACAGGAATGCTAGTAAGATGGCATAGGAGGGCTCATGGATGCCAGTATGTTGATCAGGACCTTGTTTGCCATAAGAGGAGACCAGAAGAGACATGATGGCTGTAGGTCCTATGGTCACGTCTTTAGCTCCTCCAAGAATACAGTAGACAAAGCAACCCATGTACGACGAATACAACCCATACTAGAACATAACAATATGCATCACTCCATTATAATCTAAAGTTATTTGAGATTTACACCATAAATACTGTGAGATAAAAATAATTTAGAAGCACTTTCTTAATTACCTTACTTACTTTAACTTTCAGTAGAAATCACAGGAATCTTTATGATATGGGCTCATCAAATTGGCTGAAGCGGTAATGTCTCTGTGCTGAAGTGGGGGGAAACTTTCCCATTTGTTCCCATAAACAAAATGATTAAAATCTAAATTTCTCAAAAATATATGACTCAGGATAGTAATACCGGTATGCTATTTTGAGTAGTGTCTCAAGGGAGAAAAACAAAGATGAATGATAATTTTACACACGACAAACATTCATAACTTTCTTATTATTGTTCCGGTTTAGTTCAAATTTTTGCCTTTCTGTTTATCTCAATTTCTACTGTCATACAAAAGAATTTATTAATAGGGATGGATTGCCCTTTAACTTTAGACACAAGGTAACTGAGGCTCTCAAAGCCGAGATTAAAAGTTTTCTCACCAATCCGACCATTACCCCAATGGTTAACTGAATGACCAATTAAAAACCTGAGACTATAATATATCCAATGTTCTCCATACCTGGATGGGGAGTTTAGCAACACTGGCATAAGCTAAGCTTTGTGGGATGACCATCAATCCGACCGTTAATCCAGCCACGATATCGCTGACCAAGTAACCAAGAGAGTACCCAGGCAGCCATTTGGTGATCGGGAAACGATTCTTCCAGCTCTCCACTGAACAATAGTTCCTTGCTGCCTTCTTTATAGGGACACAATCCATGATTTCAGTCAATCACTTTGGTGTATGTTTGGTTTAGATCCAAGCCATCAACATTCTTCAGCAAATTTTGATAACTATTTCATTCATATCAAAGCACATTTGAAGGTGATCATATCACAGGCCTGACTGTTGCTTACTCCACCTGACCTCGAGCCTGTATTCGAAACAAAAAATAAGATAAAATCAGCTTTTGTATGTCACTGACAGCCCATCTGTAAACTCATTCAAATTCAACCTCGAAAAGCATAGAGCTCATTATGACTTGTCCAACCCATATGAAATGTTTCTGTACTGTTACCTTTAACCAAGATTCTGGAAGAATGCTGTGTTCTCAGCAGTCTGGCTTTCAGTTTTATATTGTATTATCAGATGCTCGGACATAGGCGCAATCCCCAGTACACACAGAATTCAATCCCGCTGGAGAGGGGCAAATTAGTAATTATACTTCAAGCCCAACATCAAGGTAAATCAAGGTAAATCAAATAAACAGTGAACAGTTGCATGTACCATATATAGCAACAGTGGTCAGTGGATCTAGATTTCAGTACTATACTTACACAGTACTGAGTTTGCATTTGATCTTTTGAATGATTTTAAAACTCAACTCAAGTTCGCTGAATAAGGGAGTATAGTCATTCATTCTTTGAATCACATCAAGGTTATCTCATCAGTTACCAATACTTTTTTCCCTGAGGGCCCAGCAATCATATTATTATCCCATGGTTTACCAAGGCAATAGGCTACACAGGCAGACAACGTTGTTGTTGTTGTTGTTTTTTTGTTGTTGTTTTTTTTTTTTTGGGGGGGGGGGTTAACTCTTATTTTTTTTCTCTACTTTGAATTAAATATTTTTCTTCAAAATTCTCTTTCAAATCTTTTACAATATATATATGTAGGGCTTCATACATGTAGTTGCCAAATGTGATTGGATGGAAAAGATTAATCTTCTTACTTGTTAAAGGTTTCCGACAAATATTCTAGACCAATCAGCTTGATTTTGAAATAGGACAGAGAGGGATAAATTCCGCACTGGAAAGTGAACGCGCTGTATGCGTAGTGTAATTCGTTGCTGGGATACAGAGTCTCAAACACGTGTTATCGATTATGTTTCCTGCTTCAAATTGTGCAAGTACGTGCATTGCTATGGAAGGGTTGGTGTCAAAATTCACTTGAAAATCTGTCTTTCGAGGCCTTTTACGACGCGAATACTTAAAATTATTTTCGCATATTCTGGAAAATACAAGAAAAAAATATAGACAATAGAAAACCGTTCCACCAGCCTTGTATACTTGAGTACTCGCACTGTTGACATCTACTCGAGTACGATTTCTCATACTCGAATACTCACCACTCAGAAATTGGGACCAAATGTCCGAATTTCTGTTTGGACTTGGAGGAAAATGGATTAGTTTGTCATCTATGGTTTTTAAAACAGCATTGTTTACTGTTATCATTATTATTATTAGAGAGTTTTCAGAGACGGACCTGGGATACTGCTGCCGTAGTATGGTGGCGGCAAAAATATTAGAAAAATAAAAATATAAATAATATAGATCTATTAGATATTTTTTTTTTATTATTTGAGTATTCGCCTGTAAGACTGGGAGTGTACTCGAGTACCTCATTAGGCTCATTACATGGTTATGCACAGCCTTAGTCTAGGCAAAGTCTTAGTTTTTCATATCATAGACTAGACCGAAAGCTTCAGTCTCTCTAATCGTCGGTTGTTCCACTGAGACTACGTCTTGCTCCACTAGACCTCCGATTATTGGGGAATGACAACAAATGTCAGTTTTATTAAAGAAATGACCCAAATCAGATGGTTATTGCTGTCTAATCATAGACATACTGGTGATTATGATAGTCATAATTGATATGAATACCTTGAATACCTTGAATACCAAAGCTTCTGGAAGAAAGCCGTCTCCAGCTGCCAAGCTTCCAGGTCTAACTTCAAGGGGGGGGGGGGGGATGTCCCAGCTTCCGGGTCTTGCACCACCATGAACTCGTACTCGCAGTCGTACTGGCTACTACTTCACTCATTCTCATACTAAATAATTTATCAATTGTTATTGATAACGTGCATTATCTTTTTTTGTTTTTGTTATGTTTGATTATTCAATATAAATGTCAGCATTTCACATTCTCTCCCCCCCCCCCCCCCCCCCCCCCCCCCCCTCTCTTCTATTTTTTTCTTTTTCTTTACACCTAATACCATTTTCCCCTAGGTCTATATACATATAACTTTCTTCTTTCTCTGTTTTTTTCTCTGTTTTGTTGTTTTTCTCGTTCCAGTTTGCTTTTTTCCTCTTGATCCCTTTGTATATATTTTCATCCTCTCCTTTTCACATTTCAAGCTATCCCTTTTGTAAATATTTCCCCCATATTTAATCATGTGTAGTTTTTGATAACTTTGAAACATTTTTAAAAGTGAAACATTAATGGATTATGTTATATGGGGACCTTGCTCTTACAAGCCTAGACCGAAAGCTTCAGTCTCTATAATCGTCGGTTGTTCCACTGAGACTACGTCTGGCTCCACTAGACCTCCGGTTATAGAGACTGAACGACTGCCTATGCCAGCCTGTGTTGAACTTATTCCGCTAGATTTTAGCCGCTAGGCCCCTCCCACAAACTTGCCACGGCCGTATTTTTATGCCCCCAAAATCCCCCAAAATGTCATTTTACCTCGTTCATTTCCAATTTTAAATTAGACCTAGGCTATAATACATCGGTTCCACTTACTAACTTGATTGATATAATCCGTTTAATGGTCCCTTTTAAGGAAATTATCGGTCAAAATCGACATCCATGTTGAAAATCTTGCAAGCCGTTCGCTGCCGTCAATCTCATCCCTTCTAGTCTATGCCGAAGGCAAAATGATTATGAAGGAAATACTGTGCGCCATCTACACGTTCGTAATGGCGTTATCACAGTTTTTCCTTCATAATCATTTCGCCTTCGACCAGTGAGGTCATCCACAGCAATCCGCCCTGAAAACGCCACCCCGCAACTTGATCCCCAGCCCTGGAACACCCCGCTGCAAAAAAACGCACAGAGCAGTAAATTAATAGATAAGGATGGAAAAACTGAAGTAAAACTAGAAGCCCTCCCTCGAGGTAACCTAGTAACATTAATGAGTGATGAGCAAATAATCTCTTTCATTACGCAACTTGTTCTCACTTTTACGGATGGAAAATCCGAGAAGGAGATTTCATCCTTAGTGAAAGTGGCAGCTGAGAGACTGCTCAAACAAAGAGTAAAACATGACGCTAAAGATGTACTGGTATAGCATAGTAATGATGATGACAGCGCTAACCATATTACAATGGAACGCGCAGGGACTTCTTAATCACGGTCCTGAACTTATAAAATACTTAGATTCATATAAAGATGCAAAGTACCATTTAATTTGTGTTCAGGAAACATGGTTCAATGATGATAGAATATTGCAAATCCCTGAATATACATGTTTTATTAGAAACAGGGAAAATCAATCTAAAGGAGGGTGTGCCATTTATGTACATGATTCCATCAACTATGAATATCCTGTCAATGACGAAGAATTCGAAATACAACATATTAAAGTTCATGTTGCTGGATCAAAAATCTCCATAATCAATTTCTATAACCCTTGCAAAAAATTAAACGAGATTGTTTTGAACAGGATGATTAACAAACTAGAATACAATCTATTCCTTATAGTTGGGGATTTCAACTCACATAATCCTGTGTGGGGTAGTGCAAAGATAGACCAAAATGGGCACACAATTGAAAATTTCACACATGACAATAACTTTATAATTTTAAACGACGGAAGAGGAACCAGAATAGATCCACGCACTGGGAAAATGTCATGTTTGGATCTTAGCATCACCTCCCCCAAACTATCTTGCCTATGCTCGTGGGAAGTTTTACGGCACACCCTTGGTAGTGACCATTTTCCCATCTCCACCCAGATATTATTGGACCGAGCAGGGAAAGTAAACAGCAACAGCGAGAAGATAAATGAGGAAACAACTTGGTCTTTTAAAAATTTTGATTGGAACACTTTTGCCGAAAAATGTGAACATAAAATTGAACATAGTGGCAACTATTCCGACCCTACGAAAATGTATAAATGTTTTATGAAAAGTTTGTCAGAGACTATTAAAGAAATAATGCCCCAGAGGGGAAAGAAAAAACATGACCCTGTACCTTGGTGGACAAAAGACTGTACACAAAGTATCAAAGAAAGAAACAGGGCTAATAATAGATTAAAAAGACACATTTCAATAGAAAATCTAAATACATATTTGAAGAAAAAATCAGAGGTACAAAAAACTCTACGCCAAGCAGAACGAAATTACTGGCAAGAATTTTGCTCAAGACTCAACCGCTTTGTACCAGAATCAGCGGTATGGTCTACCATTAAACGGTTAAAGGGGGTATCTGTCAAAAAAACAAAAAACATGTCAGTCCTGATAGAAAATGAAAAAGAAATCACATGTAACAGTGAAAAGACTGAGGCTTTCTCTAAGTTCTTCCAATCAATTAGTAATGTTAAAGAATGTCCAGAAATAAAAGAAAACAAAAATGTTGAGCAACAAGTCACGAAATCACTGAAGCGGGGAATGGAGCATATCTTGAATGAACCATTCACTCTTTTTGAATTGCAAAAAACTCTAAACACATGTAAACAATCAGCTCCTGGAAAAGACAAGATCCCTTATCAGGTTTACCAAAAACTTCCTCAGAAAGCAAAACAATATATGCTAAAGGTCATGAACTTGATATGGGATACGGGTAGCATACCTCCCAGTCTGAAACACTCTATCCTAATACCTGTGTTAAAACAGAATAAAGACCCCCGAAAGGTATCGTCGTACCGACCCATAGCACTTTCCTCATGTTTTGCCAAGATACTAGAACGGATTGTGAAGAATAGACTCCAATGGTATGTAGAAAAGAACAATATACTTCCTCCCCTCATGACTGGCTTTCGTAGTAAACGTGGGGTCACGGATAACATTGTACTTTTAGAGAATGCCATCCAAAGAAGCATTAATGTTGGTGAATATACTTTAGCAATCTTTCTCGATATTGAAAAGGCATATGACAGACTTTGTATCAAAGGCCTTATTTACAAACTATCAGTACATGGTATTACAGGTAATATGCTCGAGTTTCTCTATAACTATCTGAAAGAGCGGACTTTCCAAGTAAAGATTGGTAAAGAAGAATCAAAATTATATGAAATGTACAACAGCCTCCCCCAGGGGAGTGTCTTAAGTCCTATATTGTATAATATCATGATGAGTGATATTCCAACAGATGAATTAATCACCACATCTATTTATGCTGATGACTGTGTCATCTGGATGTCAGGTAATAACATAGAAATTATTTCAAACAGAATACAGTGCTATCTGAACACATTGAGTGAATGGTTTACTAAATGGGGCTTTCGCCTTTCACAGAGTAAATCCTTTCCAGTGTTATTTACTAAAAACAATAAAGCAAAATACCCAGAACTGAAATTAAACAACGACGCACTTTTATTTCAATCAAAGAAGCATTTCCTAGGACTTATATTTGACAAAAGACTTTCATGGAAGACGCACATAGATGCCGTAGTCCTTAGATGTAAAAAGAAACTGAACATTCTTAGGTGCCTTACTGGGACTACATGGGGAAGCTCCTCGAAATCCCTGCTAATGGTATATAGAGCATTGATAAGATCGTTATTAGATTTTGGTTGTGAAGCCTATGACAGTGCGGCTCAAAGTATAAAGAAATCACTTGACTCCATTCAATATCAAGCCTTGAGAATTTGTGCGGGAGCTCTTCCTCTTACATCATTAGATTCACTACAAGTTGAACTAGGTGAAATGCCCTTAGACTTAAGAAGACAGATGCTGGCGGACAGATTCAGACAAAAGATTGAAATGCATCGAGATCACCCTGTCATATTAAACGTTAAGCCCAGCTGGCAAATGGAACTTTTGAAGCTCCAAAAGAATAACAAGCCATTTGGATGCAGAACAGAACTAATGAAACATTGTACTATCGAACCTTACACTATACCTAGTTTCCCCCCTTGGAAAATTAATGCTCCAAAAGTGTCGATAGAATTAAGCGAAATAGTGAACAAACATGAAAACCCATCTTATTTACGTCAACGCAGTTTAGAATTGATCAGTACCAAATGGCCAATACAACTACACATCTATACAGATGGGTCAAAGGTTCCAAGTTTTGGAATAAGTTCTGCTTCTTTTTATGTACCAGCATTCTCCTTTCAACAAGCCAAACGATTGGCGGATCACACCTCATCTTTCAGAGCCGAATTGGCTGCAATTGTCCTTGCGCTTAATTGGCTAGAGAACATTAATGTGTATGTTGGCATTGTTATTTTTTGTGATTCCGTAAGCGCCCTGCTCGCCATAAAGGATGAAAAAGATATTACATTTGTAACTGAAATTATTACATTAAGTACAAAATTATCGTATCAAGGAAAACACATACACTTAGAATGGATTCCTAGCCATTGTGGTGTACACGGAAATGAAATGGCAGATTTTTATGCAAAATCTGCTTTACAAAATAACATTGAAATTTGTAATAAATTATCCTTTTCTGAAATAAAGAGTATTATTACCAGCAAGTATATAAAACTCTGGCAAGACAGATGGAATAATTCTGATAGATCTCTTAGACATATACTGCCTACAGTAAATCAACCATATGAATGTAAGTTGAACAGATTTGAAGAAAGTATTCTCCATAGATTAAGAATAGGAGTGATAGGTTTGAACTTAGATCTCTTCAGATTGAATATACACTCGACAGGCCATTGCAATAACTGCATAGGACGTACTGAAACTGTAAACCACTTTCTCACTGAATGCCCAAAGTACATAATAGAAAGAGCTATGTTACTCGTAGAAACTGATTTAACACATCCACAGGAAATCATGACACTACTTAAACTTTCAGAAATAGTTAAACAAAAAGCAATAGTTCGCTTCGTTTTAAGAACAAAGCGGCTGTATCAAAACAATTAAATTATTGTTGAGTTTTTTTTTTTTTTTTTTTTTTTTTTTTTTTTCTTCTTATCTTCTCTTTTCCTTTTTCTTGCACCAATAAAGCCCACAATACTTGTAACTAATTTGACCATTTACTTTTCTAACAATTCGGTGATCACCTCCAACATCACATGCTAGCTGGCACCCCCTCACCTATGCCGGAGTGACCTAGGTTAAAACCGAAAGTCTGCGAAATATACCTCAAAGACTGGTAAGATGGCATTTTGAAAAGGGTGGGGGTAAGTGCGAAGTACACATGTGCATACGTGAGGTGATATTTGAACGCGCACGTGCGCGTAAACACAAGTACGTACGTTTAGTTTTAGTTTATAGGCGTTTTCTATTTACAACTTGCTAGGCCGTCGTCTCTTTCCAAAATTATTAATTTATTGAATTTTCTCTCTAAAAAAAGTTATAGAGTCTAAAAAGAAAAAAAGAGGAAGGAAAGAGGATGGAGGGAGAAAGAATCCTAAAAATAGTCATTTATGACATGAAATTGTACATATATGATTATATAAATAATTCATAAAATAGTGTGTGGCAAAAATAGTCAACTGTGACTGATTGCCAAACAAAAACAAATCAAGAAGAAGAAGACGGCAGCGAACGGCTTGCAAGATTTTCAACATGGATGTCGATTTTGACCGATAATTTCCTTAAAAGGGACCATTAAACGGATTATATCAATGAAGTTAGTAAGTGGAACCGATGTATTATAGCCTAGGCCTAATTTAAAGTTGGAAATGAACAAGGTAAAATGACATTTTGGGGGATTTTGGGGGCCATAACAATACGGCCGTGGCAAGTTTGTGGGAGGGGCCTAGCGGCTAAAATCTAGCGGAATAAGTTCAACATAGGCTGGCATAGGCGATCGTTCTGTCTCTATAACCGGAGGTCTAGTGGAGCCAGACGTAGTCTCAGTGGAACAACCGACGATTAGAGAGACTGAAGCTTTCGGTCTATTACAAGCCCAGCTTTTCTAAGGTCTCCACTTTCTTTCATTTGGATTAGAATCTATATATCGACTTAAAATTGCATTTAAATTGTTTTTTCTTAGATCTAGATCTATGCTGTTTTTTTGTTCTATTATTATATGTAAAAATGTTGTGAAAGAAAGAAATAAAATGAACCTTGAACCTTGAACCTTACTAGATATAGACCTAGTCTAGACTGTCTAGTTCTCATAGGGTCTAGACCTTATAGACTAGATCTAGATCTACTCATATAGAGTCTACTCATCATAGGCTACTCACACTTCAAAATAAAAATCATAACTTCCTTAATTACCTATCCGATTTTACTCAAATTTTTGTTTGCTTTGCTCTTGTTTTTCTGCAAATTATTTTGGGATTGGTCTTACTGATTACTCTGTCTTTTAGTAGCCGAGCTGAGCTGAGCGGCCCGGGCGCTGTCAACCGGTTGCACCGCCACATCGAGGCCAGGCCGAGGTAAATGCGGAGGCAGACTCACAGTGCCGACGATCTCCGACCTGAGCGGAGGAAGGATACAAGAGAGAGAGAGGTGCTTGCCAAAACGAGTCACTCGATCTTGCTCTTGGTGACTTGTCTGTCACTTGCCACGAATAATGTCGATGACGATGGCAATGCCATGAAAAAAATGAATGTTCTACACGAATTTCTCATTTTCTTTAACCGTTTGATTTGAGCTCAAATTTTTTACTTACCTTTTTTCAGCTGGCTGTCTGTGAGTGTGACATCGGATTCAATAACAGTAAGTCGGGAAGTGCAGTGCACTGACGTTTCTTGTTGAGTGACCATGTGATCTTGCTTGTATCATGTGACTTGTAGTATGCATGTGGTACGGAAGTGTAGTGTGAGGTGATCATCATATTCCCAGGCCAAGGCCAACAACAGACACCAAACATGGCGAATCCAACTACTCCGTCTATCTTTTCTTACGACACTTTAGTACACGCAGTGTCAGGGGCAACTGTAAGTAATAAAAGGATTCATGTAACTTAATGAGAAAATGATATTTTAACTTTTTAATTTTACTTTTACTTGACAATGACATGTGCATGTGTCCGCGGCCGCGTCCGTTTTCCTGGAGCCACGCGCGTAGCTAGGATTATTTGTGGGGGGGGGGGGGGAGGGGGCGGTAGGGAGCACGCGAAGAGGGGGGGGGGGGTGCAGGGAGGGGTAGTTTCATATTACGTTTCATTAAATTATTAGAGAAAGAAGGCGATTCGTTGTACTGTTCTCGACTCTAGTCTTAATAATCCTTGTTTGAATTCAGTTGCCCTCCGGCCCCCTCCCGCGCAAATGTAGAAGCTTTGACGTTTCATTAACTTATTAGAGAAAGAAGACTAGATCTAGCTCTTATTTTATCCTTGTCAGAATTTTCAAAAAGGCGTCTGCTCCTTTTTCTTCCTCTTTTTTTTCTCTTCTCTCTCCTTTTTTTGGCCAGCATTTTTTTTTTTTTTTTGGGGGGGGGGGGGGGGGGGTTGACTGGCTACGCCCCTGTCTGGAGCTGTGCCCACCAGGCAGTCTGTAAATTGTTGTTGTGTGACTGAGCTGTGAGTACAAGTGAGTAGTCGTGATGCTCTGTTAAATCAAAGAGATACGTTTAATAATATTATTGGCAGTCGATGCATTGCGAGGCCAAGGATGCCTTGCCTTGGAAGCAGGCGCGGATCTAGACCGAAAGCTTCAGTCTCTATAATCGTCGGTTGTTCCACTGAGACTACGTCTGGCTCCACTAGACCTCCGGTTATAGAGACTGAACGACTGCCTATGCCAGCCTGTGTTGAACTTATTCCGCTAGATTTTAGCCGCTAGGCCCCTCCACAAACTTGCCACGGCCGTATTGTTATGCCCCCAAAATCCCCAAAATGTCATTTTACCTCGTTCATTTCCAATTTTGAATCAGGCCTAGGCTATAATACATCGATTCCACTTACTAACTTTATTGATATAATCCGTTTAATGGTCCCTTTTAAGGAAATTATCGGTCAAAATCGACATCCATGATGAAAATCTTGCAAGCCGTGTTAAACTCTCGCTGCCGTCAATCTTATCCCTTCTAGTCTACGCCGAAGGCAAAATGATTATGAAGGAAAAACTGTGCGCCATCTACACGTTCGTAATGGCGTTATCACAGATTTTCCTTCATAATCATTTTGCCTTCGGCGTAGACTAGAAGGGATGAGATTGACGGCAGCGAGAGTTTAACACGGCTTGCAAGATTTTCATCATGGATGTCGATTTTGACCGATAATTTCCTTAAAAGGGACCATTAAACGGATTATATCAATAAAGTTAGTAAGTGGAATCGATGTATTATAGCCTAGGCCTGATTCAAAATTGGAAATGAACGAGGTAAAATGACATTTTGGGGGATTTTGGGGGCATAACAATACGGCCGTGGCAAGTTTGTGGGAGGGGCCTAGCGGCTAAAATCTAGCGGAATAAGTTCAACACAGGCTGGCATAGGCAGTCGTTCAGTCTCTATAACCGGAGGTCTAGTGGAGCCAGACGTAGTCTCAGTGGAACAACCGACGATTATAGAGACTGAAGCTTTCGGTCTAGCGCGGATCCAGGATTTTCCAATAGGGGGGGCCGGAAATTTGAAATTCGCGCAGACCGTTATTTAAACTTACCAATACTGACAAGGTCATATTAGAAGCACTGTACTTTAATAGTGTACTGGTACCTACAAACGGGCACAATTATTTTGGAAAGGCCGGGACATGCTCACGTCACATCTCTTGTCCGATATCAACATTCCCCATTTTCAAGTTATGCTCGCGCGCAATTTTTTTGACATTTCCATCAGTGGGGGCTGAAGCCTCTTGCCCCAATATCTATTTCCTGGTTTAATAATTTGGCGAGTGAGCGGAAATTTGAGCTTATGTATGTTGTGAAAAGTGTTAATTGTCACCAAAATATACGAGATAAGATATAACAAATGCATATTGGTAATTTTTAAATTTTCGGGGAAAGAGAGGCTGCAACACCATCCCGCATTAACTGCAGGTGTTTTGAAATCAAATCAGACTCCCCAAAAAAGTATTAACCAAAACGCATGAATCCAGTTTCAAAAATCCAAAAAAAATGTCAGCTTCAGAGGGGGGCACATCACCCCTCAGACTCCCTCTAAAAGTATTAACCAAATCGCATGAATCTAGGTAAAAAAAAAAATCAGCTTCAGAGCTAGAGAGGAACCCCCCCCCCCCCGCCACACACACACACACACACACCACTACACGTTTATGGCGTCAAACGTGGACCAAGTTTAGTACTTGTGTGTATGTGCATGGGTAATCGCCAGCTACCGCGGACCACTCCATAGAAAACTACATCCAACCGCGGACGTACCTGCTATGGGATGATAGCAGGTAGCGCGCCTTTCCCGCGCAGTCATCGAAGGGGGCGCTGTGACATTTCGCAATACACATAGGACTGATCCACTTGATGTTACCTACACGCTGTGATATCTAATATTCAAACGCCCCCTACGTCGTAAATTTGATAACGGCGGAACCGGTATCGCAACCGTGGACGGTCCCCCATTGCAGGTACGTCCGCGGTTTGAGTTAGTTTTCTATGGATTGGTCCGCGGTTGATGGCGTTTACCCACGCACACACACACACACACACACACCCCCTGTGCGCGCAAGCGTGAAATTAACGCTGGCGCTAATGCGTAAGCAGGGGCGGCGGAGCTATTTCCAAAGTGGAAAGCACCAACAAAAAAGGGCACCTACAAAGCAAAATCTCAAAGCGAAAATATACATTTTTTCAGACATTGGTATACCCTTTCATTGTGATCCCATTATCAGGGACGATTTCAATATTTGTTTTTCTTTATATATCATACAAGTTATTGCTTAGGCATCACACTTTCGGCTGAGTGTGATTGTCTGAATATTCATTTGCGAGCAAGCAAAGCGAGCGAGAAAAAAATGTAAGATCTGTGAGGTCGCAGAGTGAAAAATTACATCTTATAAAGAGGAAAAAACCAAATCATGATGGGGTTTTAAGCATCACTGAAGACTGAAAAAACATTTGTTTTAAAGTGACATATAATTGTATCATCGATAAATGCGAGCGAGCGAGCGAGCTTTAGGGGAAATTACTCTTAGTCGCTTTAAATTAGGTGCAAGACTAATGATGAGCAGGTTAGGAGGGCACGGGTACTTTTCAAAGTAAAACGAGCATCTCTCAGATTTGAATAGGGGCAATTTACGGAGGTGAAGAGCGCACTGAAGTGAAAAGAATTAACTTCTCATATATGAAAATGGTCATTTACCAGAGATGAAAAGGGACACTTTTATTTTGAAGGGCCTCATTTTTCTAAATAGCCCTTATCAGATAGGAAAGGGGGCACATGTGTTGATGAAATGTGCGCTTATCCGAGTTAAAAAGGGGAAGGGGCACTTCTTTACAAAGTAAAAGTGGCCCTTGGGGGGGGGGGGGGGGGGGGTACTTGAAGAGTGGGGCGAACTTTGCCCCCTACCCCTGCCACCCGCCCCATCATCTGAAAATCCAAAATGATGTTGTAGGGGCCGGGCGCGGCTTTATCATGAGTGCTTTTATGTGAACCTCTTTTTTTATAAATATATTATGCTGGATTCCGACCCAGATTGCACACTCTAAAATGATAGTATGATCATCCCCAATACGCTTGTAGTTTACGTATGCACCCCTTCCTCCTAATTCGTCACTGCCATTTACGTATGGCCGGCCGGCGTATTTTTAATTTACACGCTAGCGAGGGGAATTTCTCGATTAATTCCAATGAAACCGCTTAAAATTCCAATTTACATCCAGGAGAAAGTTTGCTTAACTTTTTCTTGAAACACTTGAACGGTTATGGAAACTGTGTTTCTAATCTCCAAATATTAATATTATTTTGCATCAAATATAAACCATTGATTTCTACTGTGATATGTAAAGGCACGAACTTACGTTAATACATACACATATTTTTTTTGTAACCAAGAAGGTGCACCATGGTAATACATTTTAACAAACACATCAACATGTTACCTAGACAACTCATCACCATAGCCATTGTAAAACCATATATTAATGATACATGTAAAATATAGATTGAAGCGATTCTCGTCGATTGGCTGTATCCTGAGTAGTGCTGTAACATCACGGATATCTCCAATTCCGTTTAAACCGCCAGTCAAAACCGGAAGGTTTTCGGTTAAACGATTTAAAAAAAAAAAAAAAAAAAAAAAAAAAAAAAAAAAAAAATCGTTTTTTTGTTTTGTTTTTTTGTTTTGTTTTGTTTTTGCTGGCTCTGTCGGCAGCAAGCCAGGTCCGTGTGAAAGAGCGGGAAGGCGCCGATTTGTGCTTGCGAACTTGTCACAAATAATAGTAACAATGTCATTTTTAGAAGAATGTGTAAGATCATTAATGTAAATTAAAAACAGTAGAGGACCTAGGATAGAACCTTGTGGTACGCCTTGTGTAAAAATTGGATGAATATTATTATAAACTACATATTGAGATCTATTACAAAGATACTTTCAAACCAAGATGACAGACAAATTGGAGTGTTGTTCTAGTTTCAGAGTGGTGAGTCAACACACAGATTACTGAGCTGGGAGACATTGCCAGGCATAGTGCCAGGTGGAGGGGCATAAATCTAAACTTTAAAAAAAAAAAAGAAAAAAAAAAAAAAAGAAAAAAGAAAAAAAAAAAAAAAAAGAAAACGGGAAAACAAAACCGTCCAATTGAAAACGGAATCCGCCATGGGCGGTCGGATACCGGACGGTTAAACGTTTGACTACAGCACTAATCCTGAGTGTGATTTATATAATGGATTTTGAGTAACATTTGCATCTACCTGTAGTTGAAGAATAGATACAGTGTATAACATCAATTAAGTTGGAGTTCAATTGGAAGGAAGTAACAAGGAATATTGAAGCAAAGGAGACTGGGAGATGAGGAAAGCAGGAAGTTAGAAATTGAGAGATTACTCGCGTGATAGCCTTGCATTAATGAATCCTTTATATAATGTTGTCTTGAGAGAAAGTAGACGATTTTTTTTTTTTAATTGGAGATTAGTGCAAGTATTAGATATATTGGAAATAGAATTAATGAGAAAGTTATTTTTTATCGAGATCAATACATGGGGGGGGGGGCACCATCAAAATAGAGCACTTTCTGGAATATAAGGTGCGCCTACAAAGGGAAACATCAAAATGTAAATCTACCATATTAAGACATTGATAGACGTACGCGTAACGCATGTCACACACAGAAAAATGAGAAGAAAAGAAATAATAATTTTTTTTTAAAAGAAGATAGAGGGAGAGAAAGAAAGAAAGAAAGAAAAAAGGAAGAACATGAAACTTAACTTTACACTTAGGCCTACATATTACATTTCCGACTGAGTTGGCTCGACATGTGCTTAAGTAGTCTGCGGACGAAAGTACAACAATACGAAAACAGAAGTTATATGAAATTGTCTTTAAGAGAGAAAGAGAGGTTAAATTCTAAAATGAAATGAAAGGGGTTATGTGACTCTCAAGGAGGAAATTACAATTTCTATCGCTCATGACGACTATTTGGAATTTCCTAAATTTTTTTAAAGTTCAAGAACTTCCTGGGGCTCCGCCCCATGCAAGACTCCCGGCAACAACAAATTATTTACACAATTTCTTGCTGTCTGCTGCCTCGAGATCACTGGAGCGAAGAAAGGTAACATATAGCAAGAATCCCTATTCAGTGAAGGATTTATCCCTTTTATTATTAAAGACTCCTGTCAAAGGCTCTCCCCCTGCAAAATTGGAGAGAGTTTTATGTAGTTTAAGCTTCTAACAACCACGCCCGTGGACCTTTTATTATTTACACAAAGGTAAAAGTGTATAGCAAGAATCCCTTATTCAGTGAAGGATTCATCCTTTTTATGCAGATGCTTCTTCTACCATTCTTGACCAGAAGTGCGTTTCAAACTCAATGATATGGGCATCATCCCATTGAATGTTGTGTCCAGTGTTACAGGTTGTTTTGTTTATTGCTGCCTAATCTGAGGGCTATGTTGTGCTCTTTAAAAAGAGGACACAATAGGGGTAGGCGCAATTTAAATATCAAGGAATGTATTAGAGTTTATTTCTAAAATGAAATGAAAGGGGTATTTGACTTTCAAGAGCGATAAAAACTCTAATCCATCCCTTGAAATTTAAATTGCACTGCCCCCATTCAGTGTACCATTTTCAAAGAGCACAAAAAGGCTTCAGATTGAAGATTCCATCTCATAAAATTGTCTATAAGAGAGAAAGAGAGTTTATTTCGAGAGAAAAAATGAAATGAAAGGGCTATTTGACAAGAGCCCTTTCATTTCATTTTAGAAATAACCTCTCTTCCTCTCTTATAGACAATTTTCTCTCTTGAAAGTCAATCACCCTTTCATTTCATTTTAGAAATAACCTCTTTTTTTCTCCTAAAGACAATTTCTCTCTTGAAAAGGCTCTGCCAGACCCCTCAAGCTCTGCCATGTTGTATGGATCCATTAGAAAGCAACATAAGCCCACTCAATAATTGATATATATTAAAACGTCATAGCGATTCATCCAAATAAGAAATCCACGTAAGAGGCATTTTGAAAGTTTTAAGAAAATTCTTTAAATTCCAGGATATTGGGTGTTGTTTTTCAGGAAACTCTATTTAAACGAGTGGAAGCACTGGCGGTTCTGTTTTTTTTAAACTGTAACAATTCTCCTTGGATCAGATATAGACCAAAAACAAGCCTCATTATCTTCAGTATACAAGTGTCATTTCGGACCTTACAGCTTTCATAGAAATCGCTTCTGGACCATCAAAGAAAAAGTTTGAGAACCCCTGGTCTACGCATTATACACATCAGGACCAACTTGACAACTTGACAAAAATTTGAGAGGGGTTCGACCCCCCCCCCCCTGCGTACGCGCCTGCATGTGCATCCCTTCCTCCTTATTCCCTTGTCCATCGTTACCGTCACTACCATTTGAGTAGGGCGGCCCCCTCCTTAATAACGACTCCCAAGCCATCAAGAATGACCCCATAATTTATAGATTACCATTCTGCCGTTCTTTGGAGGGGCTGGGCGCGGCCTTTTCAGAAGTGTTTCTACACTAACCTTTTCATGCACTCCGGCTTAACATAAACAAGCATGCTAAGATTGTTTTGAAAAGATTTTTTCGACTCGGTTTTGCATAACCTAAAAATAAGAATACGGCCAGTCACCCCTCCCCCCCCCCCCTCCCCTCAATGCATCCGCCTTCACGCGCCCCCTTCCCCTTGTCTTTCCCTTATTCGTCGTGACTGTCACTAATTTTTAGTGCCATTTCGTTGTCTTTCTTTTCCCCGGCTCCTCTCTTCTTTTTCTTTCCTCTTTTTTGAACTCTCTCTCTTTTCTTTACTTTTTTGTTCTCTTTTCTTTTATCTTCTCCTTTTTCCCCCTTTTTTTTTCTTCTTTTTTTCTTCCTCTTTTTTCCTTCTCAATTTTTTTGCCTCGCCAATAGGGGGGGGCCGCGGCCGTTTCGGCCCACCCCTGGATCCGCCACTGCATGTAGTCTACATGTACTATGATGTAAGACGTTGCAAGTGGTTTAATATGACTGTATTGTTTGTATCAGGTGCATTGTCATTTGATTCGTCTTGCCTGATAATTATTTTGATGTAACTTGTAAAACTATAAGGGACTTTAGTCTTAAGCTTTCTTCCATGTGATAATTTAAGTCTGCAGTCAAATCTTTTCCTTCTTCATCTTCTGCTGATACTTGATAGTAGAGGTTGAAGAAGGTCGAAAAAGAAGACTGAAGGTGAGGACAAAGCTGAAGAATGCAAAAGAAGGATAAAAAGATAATGGTCTAGACAGATATGATTTACCATTTTTGTCAAACAACAATAATCTTTATTTGTTTAGTTCATGACTAATTTGTAGATTTTAGAAGACTTTTAACAAAACATGAACAAAATATAATTAATTTCCATCCATGATCCATCCACCCATTTTACCCAGTTTAGTGTACTTCATCACAGCTACTGTGCATTGCCCATTTATTTTCTTCTTTTTTTTAAATAGGGGAACACATTAAATGTATCACCCATGAAAATGTCTGTTTTATCATTAAACTGTAAGTGTAAAGAGAGGTGTATTTATACACACAAAAAATGATATCATACACATAATCATACATGATGACTAAATTACCAAACAGACACTCTCTAAATTGCTATTTATTAGTGAATTCAACTTTTAAGTTCACAAACCTTCAAAAAATAAAGTAATTTTTCTGTTTTTTTCTCTCTTTTGTGATTGTTTATTTTATTTCACTCATGCCAAATTTCTATGAAGGGTTAAGGTTTGAGACGGTCTACATTATGAAGCCCTGAAAGGATTTAGGGCAAAATACAGTGCTCTTATTTTGATTATAGCCAGCAGCAGACATAGCCCCTTGAATATATTCATGAGCTTTGCCTAGAATATGATAGCCAAATGCTTTAGTTTAGATTAATCACTATTTACAGTAGCTTTTGTTGTTGTTGTAATGTTTTATTTGACTCTCTTTTCATTTTATCTTATACTTACAGGGCAGCACAATAGCGATGTCAGTTTTCTACCCTTTGGAAACGGCAAGATCAAGGTTACAAAGTAAGAATAATAATACTAGTAACACTTATTGTAAATACATGTCCCTAGGCCTTGCCGACTATGTGCCGACAAAGAACTGTGGAAGATGTTACCCTAGGTTTAGCTCCAGCAACTTTTTATTAGCACAGTGCTTTTCCAACATATCCAGGTACTACTTACATGTACATGGTTTATTTTTATTTCATTATTAGTCTTGTTTTGTCAGGATGGCTTCATTAGTAATAACTCTGCTTTACAAGAAGGGTAATGCAGATAATGCCTTACCAAAGATGGAGTGACACTGGCAGGGATCAAACCTTATACCTTTTTTATGTAACATGTGTGACATACTGACATTTGGAAATGTTCATTAAATTTGTTGAAAGTCAATACATATACAGTTACATGTATTTTCTTATTTGAGATTGACTGCATGTGTATGAAACAACAAGTCTTGCCCAAGAAAAAAAAAGGAGATGATATTGGTTAACAAACAGAAAATCTAGTGGTCAATAAACAATAATTGATTATATTATAATTATCCATAAGAATGCCATTGAAGTATCATATCCTGTACAGGTAACAAAGTCATTTTAACTTTGATGAATAACAGCAATATGCATTTATGTTTGATAAATTATCCTTTTCTTTTCTCTTGCATAATTAGTTGATGAGAACAGAACAGCTAAACACACACCGTATGTTGTTGCTGAGATAGTGCAAGATGAGGGAGTGTAAGTAGTTATTGTAATCAGTTTCGATAGGGTCACTCTGGGAGATGTTGAAATAAGATAGTTTTGTATATTTTTTAATAATAAGATGAATCATATTTAGGATCAAGGATGATTGTAGAGGACAAGGCACATTCTCACAACCTGAAGATGAAAAACATGACTTTTAAAGTGTGAGCAAATATTTCAGAGAGAATTGAGAGATTCATATTAGGATATTCTTTTTGTGGCGTATTGCCTGACTCAGTGAACTCCTGAATACCTGATCAGACTACAAGTTTTTAAACCCAAAACAGAATTTTTACATGATGAACATGTTACTTTACTTGAATTGAGCTAAGATAACACACGAGGTATATATTGCATTAAATTCTTGTAATGGATCATATATGCATCGGTTTGTATCATGGTATGATGTTCTGTTTGCTTGATATCAATTCAAGAGGTTAAGAATTAATTTCCTATATTGCTTGATAATTTTCTTGTATCATTATTTGCTATATGTATTATACTTTTTGATCCACAGAGCCTCATTGTACAGAGGATGGTACCCAGTGATATCAAGTTTATGGTGCTCCAACTTCGTCTACTTCTACACCTTCAATGGACTCAAGGTGGCGCTAGGTGACATCATGAAATCAAAGAAGGCTGTCAGGGATCTACTAATAGGAATATCAGCTGGTAATAATCAAAAGCAGACATGTCTTCCGATTTCTTTTAATCTCACATCTAAATGATTTTGTTTTATGCAAATTTTAGTTTTGTGTAGAATAACATGTTCCTGTTTATAGGTATACATGTAGGTGTTGTAGTCTAGTGGATGAGTCATCTGACTGAAGATCACAAGGTAAGGGGTTCGAGTCCTGCCGCAGCACTAATGGGTACCCGGTAGGATACTAAAGTTAAGGTGGTTGGATGAGCAAGTGTGCGCTTGTAAAATGGCGACTGGCTGGAATGCTCCCCAGGGGGTGGAGAATGTGCATACATTGTGTGCGGGTATGTCTGAATTTGATGACCAGGGTAATATATCTTATATATTAGACACATTGTTGTATTAGGTGCTACATAAAAGGAAAATATTATTATTATTTTATTTTATTGTAAATTTGATAACAACTATTAACAAAAAGATGTGTTTGCATTGCAGGTTTTCAATTAAAAAATTGCTTTTTACATCTCATGAAGCCCCATCTACAACGCTATCATTGCTCATCAATCAATACGAGTATCATATTTGACTGCATGCTTTAATTTGATTGTCTGTTGTTAGGTGTGGTCAATGTCCTAGCTACTACTCCCATGTGGGTCGTCAATACTCGTCTCAAGATGCAGGGAGTTCAATTCAAGACGAAGCACTTCAGGGAGTCCAAACATCCCAAGTACAGTGGCATTATGGGTAAGCATGGTTAGGTAGCTTCGCTAAGATGTAGGGCTCAAAATGACTCGTCCGAAATACAAAGGGCCTAACAGTTAGTGGTGTTTGTTGATTGATAGTTCTGTTTCTACATATCTGAAAGAAAGTTTAGGTAACATTAAACCTAATCAATATATTTACCAGCTTCATATCCTAATGATGTGGTTCTACCCCTGTGATAAAATTATGATTTTCAATAATTGTGCCACTAGAGGTTATAGCTCAGTCGGTAGAGCAGTGGTCTCGTAATCCAATGACCTGGGTTCAAAATCAAGGCGATGCGCTAGTGCCCTTTGGTAAGGCATTATGCCTCGTTACCAGGTCCCTCGGAGAGGACCTATAGCAGTCAGGTAAAATAACCACCACCATATTTCGCTTCACTTCCTAATGGGGGTGAAACGAGGTATGTCTATCTTTAATACACAATTAATATGTGCTTGTAAAACAAAAACTAATAGCACCTGGAATATGTCACGGATTTGGTTTACATAAAGTGGTGTTTTGACAGAAATATTTAATGTATTAATGTCTCTCTTACTCCTCTCTCTCTCTCTCTCTCTCCCTCTCACTCTCACTCTTTTTTATGAGTGTCTTTCTACTTCTTCATTCTTTCACTATCCTTTCTCTCTCTCTCTGTCTTCATCTCCCTTTCTTTCTCTTGCTCCCTCTACCTCTATCTGTCTCTGCCTACCTCTGTTTGTGACCTCTGTTTATTTGTACCTCTCAATCTTTCTATGTAGATGCCTTTGAGAAGATCATAGATCAAGAGGGTGTACAAGCACTATGGAGTGGTACCATCTCCTCTCTCATGCTCGTTATCAATCCTGCTATTCATTTTGCTGTCTATGAGGCTCTTAAGAGATACCATAGCAGAATCTTCGACAGAAAGGTAATAATTTGCAATCTTTTGTTTACTTCATTAAACCTTTGATCATTTGACGATCAGTCATGTATTACATTATTGGACATTATTAGGGTACCGGTATTACTGATATGCGGAGAGCTGAATTAAGTTTGGTATTTTTTTAATTTTTTTTTCAATTCCTATTCAATATTCTATACAATGTATGTTTATCTTCTTCTTTTTTTATTCTCAGGTTTAATTGAACCAAGAGATAATATGATTTTGTTTTTATTGGGGGGGGGGGGGGGGGACAAATCTTAACTCATGAATCCACACTAATAAGGATCAATCATTCAAAATCTGTAAAAACTGACTGGACTATCTTTGTAGTATATGGGATCGTTAGTGCTTTTTATACAACGCCTACTAAGATTCTTGCAACCTCATTGGTCAATTCTTGATCACATGACATGCGCTAAAAGTACCATTGAACAGCATCATTCTCCAGCCGTGCAATTCCGTTTGATCCTTTCGCACCATTGCACTCTGACGTCACTAACAATGTACAATGTAGGCCCAGAAAAACTGTTTTAAGCCCATTAACGTCCGAGGTGTTGTATAAAACAAATAGTGAATGGCCTTTATTCGTGCAATGGAACAAGATTTTGCATTCGGTGAATGATGAGACGTTCTATTTAACTCGGCTGCGCCTCGTTGAATATAGCGTCTCTTATCTTTCACCTCGTGCAAAATCCTTGTTACTTGTTACTTGTACAGATAATCCCGATGGCAGCTATCATACAGCTAAACTGGGATGTCCGTGCAACGTGCTGGCATAGTGACAGTGCATGAAGTAATTCAAAACAGTGAATGATGTCTATTATTTACAATAAAACGGTGGACGTGCAAGTAAAAACCGAAACGTGGAGTCTACAGTAGCTTGGACCCAACAGGAGGAGGCAACGCTCTGATGATAGGTAGAGCAGCCTTCTGGAAGATGGTCACTGTTGGAGATGTTACTGCAGCAGCTGATAGGTGGTTCCACGTCCAGATGGTGCGAGGATAGAAGGAGTACTTAAAGCTATCAATGGAAGCTGGGGGTACTGCATACTTCAGAGGGTGATCATTTCTGCCCAGATATGTAGCTGGGATGATGTGAGTGGGAAAAGGCATGTTGAGTTGATGATGGTGCATCTTGTAAAACAAAGTGGACTGTGCAAGAAGCCTGCGGTTGTGAAGGGTATCCCATCCCAGTTTGTCGACAAGTGCTGTGACTGATGTTATTCTCCGGTAGTCTTGGTATACAAAACGGGCGGCAGCTCGCTGTACTTTCTCAAGACTTTGTATTGATGTCAGAGTCCGAGGGTTCCAAGCTTCACTGCCATACTCAAGTTGAGGACGAACAAGCATTGTGTAGGCTTTGGATTTGATGTTCTTGGTGCACGGTGATAGAGTTCTGCGTAGGAGGCCAAGGGTTCTATTGCCTTTCTGGGTGGCAAGTTTACATTGGGTGTTCCATTTAAGGTCATGGGTAATCGTGACACCAAGATACTTGTATTGTTTTACTCGAGGAATTGACTCATTTAGTAGCGTGTAGTCCACTGTGACGGGGTGCTTCTTGTTTGTGATTGACAATGTAGCACACTTCTTGATGTTGAATCCCATCAGCCATTTAGTAGACCAGTCTGCAAGAACATGGAGATCTTCTTGCAGTATATGAGTGTCAGAGGGAGAGTCGATACGCCGATAGATGACACTGTCATCTGCAAATAGACGCATTGTGGACTTGATGTTGAGTTTGATGTCATTGATGTACAGCAGGAAAAGTACGGGGCCGATGACAGAACCCTGCGGTACTCCTGAAGTAACAGGCATCCATGCTGAGCGAGCACCATTGACGACGACAGCTTGATGTCTATTCGCTAGGAGTGACATAGTCCAGCGGAGAGAGTCTCCCCTGATTCCGTAGTAATGTAGTTTGGATCTAAGGTGTGGATGTGGTACGCGATCAAACGCTTTTTGGAAGTCGAGAAAGATGGTATCAGTTTGGCCTCTAGATTGAAGAGAGGATGACCAATCATCGGTAGCTGTGACAAGTTGTGTTGTTGTCGAAAGATTCTGTCTGAAACCATGCTGTTCATCAATGAGTATGTTGTTAGCTGCAAGATGTTTAGAAATGTGGCTAAGCATAATATGTTCCATCACCTTAATGCAGATACACGTCAGCGATATAGGTCTGTAGTTACCTGGGCAACATTTATCTCCTGCCTTATAAATAGGGGCTACAAGTGCACGTTTCCAGTCTAAAGGCACTTCTCCGGTATTGTAACTCTGTTGAAACAGAAATGACAATGCAGGGGCTATTTCGTGTGCTAGCATCTTCAGAATTCTTGGATGTATCTCATCTGGGCCACTGGCTTTGGATGGATTCAGTTGAAGCAGTTGCTTAACTACACCAGACCGGTGGATGTGGAGATGCCCTATGTCATTGTATAGGGAGGGCCGGTTTATGCAAACTTGATCCACGTTGCTCTTGGTGAAGGTAGAATGAAAGTAATTATTCAAACATTCAGCCTTGTCCTTGTTTGTGATATGGAGCTTGTTATCATTTCTCAAGGGTGGTATACCAAAGTTTTCAGATCTACGCTGTTTTACATATGACCAGAAAGCCTTGGGGTTCGCATATAGGCTCTCACCTATTATGTTGCAGACGTAATTGTGATGAGCTTGGCGGACACGTTTGGTCAGTTCGTTTTCGAAGCCTTCCAATTGGATGCACTAGGCTGACTTTGTGCCTTCTTGAACAAACGATCCCGCTTCCTCATTTGCCTTTTGAGGGAAATGGTGATCCATGGCAAGTTGCGTCTGGCTCTTGACATCTTGGATGGGATGAATTCATCCTTGCACTTGTTGATGAGTGATGTGATACAGGTCCAGTTTTCATCAACTGACTTCAGCTCTGGTGAAGATGATAGAAAATCCATTGAGAATTTCGCAACAGCCTTGCGGAGTTTCTGAAGATCAGCTTTGTGGAATTGGTAGATTTTTCTTGGCGGAATGCGGCAAGTTCTTGGATTCCCCGAGATCGAAAAAGCAACGATGTTATGGTCCGATATTCCTGGATCGACACAGACATCGGACACCAGTGTTGGATTTGACGCAAGAAGAAGATCAAGTGTATTCTCAGATACAGGGCGGGTTACTTCATTAACAAACTGGAGAAGAGAGTTCTCTAGCAGGATATCAAGGAGGAGTTGGTGGATGCTAGTGCGATTGCTGTTTTTAACAATGCATTCCTTCCAATCGATATCTGGTAGGTTAAAGTCCCCGCCGATAATAATATTTGGATGATTGCGTCGGTGTCTAGACATCAATGTGGCAATTGAGTTGCGTAGTTCTTCGAGTCCTTGTTCTCGGCCAGAAGGAGGGCGGTAATAGCTTGCAAAGAAGAGAGGCTTGGCATTTGTGAATTGAAGGTGACACCATACTAGCTCGCAGTCTGTGTCAAACTCTGGACAATTTGACACGATGAGGGAGTTGTGAACACCATTGTACTCATGGCCATTCACTATTTGTATATCATCTCGCAGTATTTCATCAACATTTTGTCACTCACTTTCTTGTTTCATGCAGGAACCCTCTGTTCTTCAATTCTTCTTGATTGGTGCTCTGGCTAAGACCATGGCTACACTGTGTACATACCCACTGCAGGTCGTCCAATCAAAGCTCAGGGTGAGTGTCGTGTGATCATTTGATGCACATAATAAAGTATAAGGAAGATAACCAACAGTCCTTTTCAGGACTACAAACCCTCAAGAAAGTTTATCGAGAGTCCTTTTCAAGACTCCTCAATCCTCCCTCTCTCTCACATGGTGCACCCGCAAGCCTACTGTATAATAAAGTATATGTTTAACAAGTATCTATTTAACAATTTCTTTCAAACACCTGTTGTTGAAATCAAAGCGTAATGTATGACATTCTGAGCAACAAATTACGTATATTTAATTAGTATAGTCAAGGAGTTAATATGAACACAATTTATTTATTAGTCATTCAAAATATAATGTCACTTTGATGTATATTTGATTTTAACCCAGAATTCATCATCAACACATATTCTGTATTTTTTAATATCCACATTTCAGTATGGTAAGGAGAAAGAGACACACAAGGGAAGCATGATCAGGAATATAGGAGCTGTCCTCACACACATTATAGCGTGAGTATTTCCCTTGGAAGTAAATTACTTGTTGCAGAATCCATAACTAAAAGACACAGTCACAGCATGTCTTCCGACATATCAAAGTGCAAACATTTATGCAAAAAATGTACAGATTTCTATTTTGATTTCTCCGTAAAAGACACATATTCACTTGTCTCTTTTGGTCTTGGCTGTCCGCCTCTGTCTTTGTGTCTGTAGTCTGTACCTATGTTTTTCTCCTCTCTCCCTTTCTCTCCGTCCCCAGGTCTGGATATATGCAGGTGTTTATCTCTCTCTCTCTCCCCCTCTTCTTTGCCCTCCTCTCTCTCTCTCTCTCTCTCTCTCTCTCTCTCTCTCTATATTTCCCTCTTCTTTGCACTCCTCTCTCTCTCTTTCTCTCTTCCCTCTTTGTCCTCTCTCTCTCTCTCTCTCTTTCTTTCTGCCTCCTACATCCATCACTTTTTCTGATACACATGCATTTCATAGCCACTTGCATTGAGGAAAGTAACATTGTTTCACATGAAATTACTAACTCTCGGCTGACATCTCCTTCTCTGGTTGCTTGTGTTTCAGAACTCAAGGAAAGTGGGGGCTGTACAAAGGACTAGAAGCCAAGCTCCTACAGACAGTACTCACCGCTGCTCTTATGTTCCTCTGCTATGAGAAGATATCCAGATTTATCTTCGTCATCTTGAGAGCAAACGGTGTTAAAAGATGATCTTTATAATGGTATCTTCTGTTATTGTACTGGTGAATAGAAATCATGTGGAACTGTCCAATAGGAGCTTAGGTGGGCCATACATGAATGCCTTTTATTTCCAATGTTCAGGCCTAGAAGTAATCCTTTGGACTTTCATTTTTATATTTTTAGCTGGTTTTAATGCTGCCTTCATAAGGCCTGAATTCTCAAATTATTAGTATATAACTATTATCATTTGTTTTATAATCTACTTTACTACATCTAATTTAGAATGGTGAATGTGTATGCAATGGATCTGGTTTGATTTTATGGACACTGAAGTACATAACATCGTGTGTGATTACTTGTGTTGAATACAGGTATAATGTCAATGTTAAATTGAGATATTGAAAGTGATCTCAAAAGAATCTTCACACCACATCAAATATAAAAAGGACTTGGGTTGAGTTTCTAATTAATCAGATTTCTTAGTTGATCTTTGCAAATTTGCAAAAATGACAGGTAGTCCTGGTTTTACAATAAGGTGATAAGATATTCTAAAAGTACCATGAAATGCGTGCTATGTATAAAGTCTCAAAAACAGAACCTCATAAAATGTTGACTTGCCATGTAAGTGACAGGGTAATGTACTATTAGTTGGTTCAGACAGAGTGCAATACTGAATACAATTCAGGCCTCAGCTAATGTTTTCCGAGTTATTTCACTTTTCTATGAAGACCTTGTTTTTACATGTATGTCAGATTTTGTGTGTAGCTCCTTGCATCCTGATAATCCTTTGCATTTATTTCATACACCAAATTTAAGTAATATGTCGTGAAATAATTGTTAAGGTATAGATATATGACATTGCAAACTTACGCAAGTTTATTTGCTCTCTTGTTCTTAGGGTAAATGTATTGATATTGTTTTGATTTGCCTCAGATATTCTGTTCATTTGCTTTGAACTAAGTAACTTCAGAGATGATAGAATAACTATGCATCTACAGTTGAAATATGCTTTTGATCCAGATTTAACAAAAGTGTTTAAGATGACTAGAAAGTTGACCAAATTATGCAAATGTATTCCAGATTGTAGAGCTATCACCAATTAACACTGCACCAGCTAGAAACCAGCGAGATTAGGGCGACGTTCCCGGTTTTGAGTTTTTTGGGTGACGGTCGTGGTTTTGAGGAGAAGAAAAAAGAGAGAAATCCGACCGACCCAGGTTCTGGCACCTGAAGGGAAATACAACACCTTTTTTTAGGCCTTATTGTACACACTTAACATCGAATAAAACATCAACAATATACACCACCATCTTATGGGCAGATTTTCTTGATGTATTGAGAACCGTATAAAACTGCATCATGGCTATAGCTTGGGTATTAATGATGTTATGCCTTAAAGCCCCACTGTCCTACTTGTAGCTACTTGCTCCCTCTATATAGAAAACTTCCCCAATCGGTGCCTGTTGATCCCCATTTCTTATGTTAGTTGAGAGCTGAGTTAATGAGATAGCCACCTGTCAGTGACCTCGCTGTGTGGTCTAATCCCCTCTGGCCCAGTAGTATTGACGGTCTTTAAATAACCGATACTTTAAACATCCTTGGGGTGAACATTATAAATACAGGTATTATCAAGTTATGTACATAAATGTACATCATTATGATGCCTTTTTTGTTTATATTTGTACATCTTGATGAATTATGTATATGTAACTTAGGATTTTGTATTGTATATTAACCTAAGAAATAAATTAATATTCTTTATTTGATAATACACATAAAGTTATTGGCTTTTTCTGTCATATATGTTTCATTACTTCTTTAAATCTCTATTTTGCATTGTATGAATGCAGTGTTTACAGGGTTATAGACCTGGGACCGTTTCACCGCAAACCTTTTTTTTCAATGACAAATGACAAAAATCAGTGACAAATCTGCTGATAACCCAATCAGAAGCAAGGATTTCACTAGCTTATAACAAAACTTTCATTTGTCAATGATGACAAGTTTTGAGAAATGGGGCCCTAAATGGAAGACATAAGACTTGAATGAATACAGAATATGACTATGAATATTGGAATCTCAACAAAACTTAACAAAAGTGTGACTTTTTTTTTACATTTACTTACATCATGACATCATTATATTTAATTCCACACTGCACTACCTATAGCTGCTTGTGCCCTCTATATAGCAAACAATGCCAGATTGGTGACAATCGGTCCCCCATGATCCTCTTTTTCTAATAATTGAGAGCCGATTCAAGGAGATAGCCACTCGTCACTGACCATGCACAGAGCTCTAATCCCTCCTGGCCAAACTAGTGCAGTGGGGGCTTTAAGTAAAATCTTCTACATCTAATACTTTCAATCTGTTTGCATAAAATTGTATTCTGCTTTAACAGACTTGATCCAACTTATTTTCAAGTCTGCACTTAGTCTTCCATTGGCATCAGTACAATTTCTAGGGTCTGAAATGCAACCTGTCCCTATCACATGAGACAATATTACTGTCTTAAAATATTGAGTGTGATTTTGAAAAATGTGATTCCACAGTAGTATCTGTAAGTTTTTCAAGCACATACCCATTTAAGTTTATCAATGCTAAGCATGATCACAAAAAATGACTCATGAACTTGGTCTCTTTTTTTTTAAATTTCAAAATAAAATAATTTATTCAGAAAAAAATACAGGATCATAAACATGTTTAGAAACATACCAAATCATTTAGATCTTAATTCTTTTTCATATTATCAATTCTCCATAACAAATCAAGCACACAATATGGCATCTTCAATATTTTGGTAACTGTTGTAACAACGAAAAGAAGGAGAGATCATTTTCAAAGAGAAATCATTCCAAAGCTCACTTAAATCCACATGTGCAACGATAAGACAAGCTTCAAAGACAAAGGAAAACAAAAGCCATTTTAGATATCAGATTGTAACCAAGAATAATCATTTGTTAAATACATGCACTTCACTTTAAGATAAGCTACATCTTAAAGCAATCTGATGACAGTTGTTGAGGATTCACCTCCTTAAGAACTTTTCATTGGTTTTCTAGTATGTAAAATGAATAAAACGTCCGGAGAGACATAACTGAAATTACAATCCATATACTGAACTGAATCATCAAGTAAAAGCGATAAAATTATCTAGCTCTAGCTCTAACCTGATGTTACAAAATGGAGACAAATGATGAGGTGGGAATGCCCGTATCACTATAACCTTGTACAGAGGTTTAATTTTGTAATCTGAGGTACTATGCATCTTGAATACATTATATGCTGTGATTTGTTTGTGCAGGTTGGAGTTAACAAAGCTACACTCCTGAGTCCTGTGCATACATCATTTTCATCTGTAATTACTGCCATCAAAACTGGCTCTCATTTTATGTTTTACATCACAGAATGATAGTAACCAATCCTATGAAAACAATGATTACTGCTAGACTTGATGACAATGATATATTGATACACTGGATAATGTGTTGGTTAGTCCTTCTGACAGTAACATTTACCCTAGATGCAGGCTATGATTGAGGTATGGTTAAATTAAATATGAAACATATACACTGTTCTTTATACACAACAGTTAAAGAGAAGGTTGAGTTCTGGGAAGAGGTGAAAAATAATTTGTGAGTGTTACTCATTCTTATTATGCAAGTGCGGAAGAACATCAGATAAGACATGTTTCCTGAAAAGCATGGCTCTTCAAATGCCTTCATATTCTAAATATGCATGTAACATCGTAAAAATCGGGGGCTGGCTTTTTACGCCACGTTTTCGTGTAGTCCCATATACATCTTTCTGTGTGCAGTGTTTGCAACTTTACCAAGACTTGGCCAAATTTCTTATCTTTTTGATGATTCCAGAACCTTGCAATACACACAAATTCTTATATGCTAGATGATCAACCTTTTCTGGTCGGTTCCACACCGTTTCTTTCACAATGCAATCGCATGACCAGAACTCAACTTCATCTTTAATGTTTATTATTTAAAGTAGTCCCCTGAAGAATCAATTGAATTGATGCAAAATCATTGCGAAGGGGAAGCCTTACTGATCAAATATAACAACTTTCCTCTTCTATGTTTGGGGCCCGCAGTTATCATCTTTCAAAAATGTTAATTTTGAGATCCAGATTTTCTGCCTTCAGCGGTCCTCCATATAATAGAGCGTCAAGATTTGTGACCTCCCTTTCGAGACACAGCTAGCCACAAAATTGCATTTTACGCCTTTCCATGATATCTATTTGATTTTTCAGCAAATTATTCATGTTCTTCAAGAGAAAATCTTTCCATCCATATATGATTTGTCCATAATTATCAGCTGTCGTAAATTTTCTTTGGGTGACTACTTTAACAGTCCATCACTACAAAATAAAAATACATAATTGGTTAGTTTCTGTTCATAGGGTGGCAGAAATTTGTTTTCAAAAGACAAAAGAACATCTTATAAACAACAGCATTCAGGAAGTAACTTTTCCCTCACATTTCAAACATTGGTATATAATAATTCTACATAGCTCATCCAAGCAACATTCAAGGCAAAATAGTCTATATTTTGTGCCGTGATATTCAAAATTATACCTGATGTTTATACATGCATGACATGTAAAGATTATAGACAATAGCTCTGCTGCCAAAATTTCATACACATCAGATACCGGTAGTCCAAGTACAAATACACAAAGTGTAAGTTCTGTTAATTGGATTATATATATATTTGAATAACATCTTTATAACAATGACTTTCATGAGGTATCTGCTTTACCTTACATGTAAAACATAGACCTGTCACTCCAAGTAACATTCAAGGCAAAATAGTCAATATTTTATGCCGTGACATTCAAAAGTATAAACCTTATGTTCACATTTTCATAATGAAAGCACCTGTGACATTCTGCTTCCAAAAATCACTTTTATAAGAGCAGAACTTAGACAAAAATGATGAAGAAAATGAAATTTGTATGCTTTTAACTGTACATGTATATTCACTTTTTCAGTTGGGCCAACTCCATGCACTCCAAAAATGCTTTAAAAAATGTCTCTTATTGCTATGACTAAGAACAGCACTCTCATTAAAATAAGAAATCACATTGGAAATCTTCAACTCAGATATTGTTACACAAACTGAAATGTCTTTCAAATAGTTTATTTATATGTAAATATATTATTTATATTTATAAGTTATCATTCACTGCTTCATGCACCTACAATTAATGTCTGAATCAACTTTTAAAAGATATCCAAACAACAAGAAATGAACCTTTCCTCTTCAATACAACATAATACAATATATTACAATATAATTTTCTCTCTGACAGAGGTGTCAATACCTCTACAATGGCAAGAATTGAAATCAGAAAATCACAAAGATAAGGGTAGCTAATATCAATCTCAACTTGAATGTGCATCATTTATTAAAGGATGTAGAGCATCTCATTCATCCAATCTTAGTATTATCCCTGATGTCGTCTTGATCCTGAAATAAAAACAGATAAATGTGACATAATTAAGGCATGTCTCCAATAAGGGTATGCCTTAATTCACCTGAATGACTCCTACATTTAAAAATCACAACATACTTTGCACTCTTTTCATGTGTCCTTTTTCAAAAGATATCACAGTAAGAACGCTTTTGACAAATAATAGTAAATAAGAATAACAATTGGTTTAATAAGTTGTTTTATCGTAAAAATAGAAAAGTTCTGAATACTTGCACTACCTCAGCTTTAGCCATATCATGATAGGAATTCTGTCATATATTAAACTGTAAAGACTATGTGTGCAGACCGCTCATCAAAATGAAGGCTTAGTCACTTCTGATGAGTGACATAATAATCTGGATTTATATATGATATCATATCACGCTTGACATCGAAGAATCAACATGCTCTACAGTTGCAATTACACACGTTATTTCATACATGCACAACTTGAAAGCATATATGGTAAAGCCCTTCTTAAGACAAGCATTAAAACACAGTGGCATTGTAAATATGAAAATTGGGTTTGGGATTTAATGCCAACTCATGCCCATGGGTAAACTGTAATCCTCAATTGGCTTAATTGTCTCTCGGTCTTAGATAGAACATGCACTAAAGGGATAGGTCCCCTATAGTTTCTTACCTACAAGCAGAATTAATATTCACTCAAATCTGTCTATCAAGGACACCAAGGGAAATTTAAAAAGTTGGTACTGTAGACAGGTTATCTTTCTTGACAGTTCTTCAAGGCATGTTTTAATCCTACAGGAAGGCAATATATTTGACCTATAAACACATGTGGCCTTTATATAGAGGTGGCCATGCACTAAGACATGTTTGACTGACGCGATGTACTATACTCACTTGGTGACCAGTTCAGCCCCTATGACATCATGTATATGGTACATCATACTCAGTTTCTTGACTGCCTGTAGCTTCCTCTCCTCCAACTCCTGTCAATCAAACATAATACAAAGATCCACTCTGGTCAAGCTATAGTCCACGCTACTTAGTCCTCTACGTACGTCACACACCACATCTAACATCATTGCATTAACTTGACCCAGTGAATACTGAATACTCTTAATCCTATAGGCTTAATACAGCTAGGACCACCCAAATATGACATTTTATGTCACAATTTATGTTTAGAACTTTGTGACGAACCGGACACAAAATAACCACATGTCCCTTGGGCTATGGCAAAATATTCACACTATCACGCTATCTTTATATCATCACAACTAGTGAATGTGAGAGGGCACTGGGAGACTGCATGTTGCCATGGTAACTTGTAGGGTTTGGATAAGGAAAACCCACATCAACAATAGATATGGGGAGCACTGATAATATGATACCAGTTGTATACATGAAATGCTGTTTCCAAACTTCCTCCTTGGAACTTGGAAGCACAAAGAAATTAGTATTTATTTCAGAACACTTTTGTAATGTTTTCTTATTCTGGCATTGAAACATAACACATATCAACAGTTGACACTTTTGATACATAAGATGTTAAAGCTTACACACAGACCTTCTGCAGTATTTCTCTATATTTGGCTTTCTTGATAGCTCTCAGAACAGACTGTCTACCTGTAGACAAATAAAACAAGGGACAAAAAAAGAAAAAAAAATCAACACTTATCTACAGAGGGAGGACAAGTATGTTACTTAAACCCCTTTCTAACTGGCCTGATTTTCATCGGATGCATCCGGACGCATCCGATGAAACTGCCAGTATGAATGCTACAGAGGAGAAAAAGATGATAGAATAGCAGATGAAAAGAAGAGAAATAGGCGATTAATCTCATCAGTGTGACACCGATGAAACAGCCACTGAATGCGTTTGGGAGAAAACAGTGATTAAAATGGTCAAAGGTCGCAGTGTACGCATGCTTTATCGTAACCAGCTGTGTTTGTTGACTTATGGTTGAACATGCTGCATGCTAGCTATATATAGATGGAGCGCGGGCTTAATAATTACGAAATAATTCTTCACTTCCGGCAAGGGCTCGCCACAGCGAGTGAATTTCATTGGCAATATGAAAGCGATAGCAGGGAAAACGGCGGTTTCACCTTTGTTTACATAGGGAAAATTTAATTGGTATTTTCATCGGTGTGACTCCGATAGAAGCCAGTTTGAAAGCAGTGCACTCGTGATTTTACATTATTAGCACGGATGGGTATAAAACACTCTTGGTACTTGGTTGGGTAATCCCTTTGTCAGCTCACTCAGGAAGCTATACTGGGACTAAAAACATTCATTACAGCTAGTGAATGATCATTCTAAAGGAAAGCCTGAAAAGAAATTTCTCTGATTTTTTTTAATGACTTTTCTCAGATTGAACTCACAAGGAGAGTAACAAGCAATGTTCTGTTTTGTTTTTTTTGTTTAGTACTTTTCAAATCAATTCCCCACACTTCGTAAAATAAAACCTACACTGTATACAAAAGAAAAGAAAATGAGAAAAGTCTAGAAACCTTTAGAAAAGTTTTTCATGAAGATTCCAGCTCCTGGGATAGACAGCCACCATGACCCGACATCTCGTACTGTAAGCATCCCAGCTATCACTAGCATTCTACAATGACAGGACGCATAACCTTAAAGTCATTTCAAAATCTCAACATTCTATGCATGCTGTACTGTGCCACAATATTCAAGCCAATGTCTTTACCGAGACAATGAAGAATAATTATGAAAAACATTAATGCAAAGGAACCACAATAGCAAGAGTTTTTGTTTTTGCATTCATATGTTCACAGGGGTTTTGATCTTGAGGATACATGTCACCGGACTGTTGATCACATGGTTCACGGTTTGAGTGCCACCGCGGCACTAATGTCCTTTGGTAAGATATCTACTAATCTACATTTGCCACACTCCACCCAGGTGTAGTTCATGGGTACCTGGTAGGAGTTTATTCCTTGAAAGGTTTTAGCCAGGTGGGGGTCAACCATTTATGAGAATGATGTCTGATGATCTCATGTAAAGTAACCTGTCATATACATGAAGATTTATCATTCATCCAGACACCAAATGTCTCTCTCATTAACACCCAAACTGAGATATTCCTGACTTACGTTATTTCTTTGTCCTTGAATCCATGGACATCACAGAGTGTTTGACGGGAGAAAGTAATGTTGTTCATCTTCTCTAAGATCTCTGGTATGAATCTATCGATGAGAGCCGAGACTCCTTGTTGGGTTGCTATCTTACGGACATGAGAAATATAATCAGCTGTGAAGACAATACAGAACTCATCCCCATCCTTGCCATACCTGAAGATTTTGATTTCTTTCTTATCTCGAAGTTGATCCTGTATAAAAGAGAAGTAATGAAAGTAATTTAATCCTCTGCATGTTTTGTTTGCACCATTAATTATAATTTTTAGAAAATTGAGATATACTCTGGACCATTACAGGTAACATTAGTCTCATACATGTTTGTCTATGAAAAAGTTGGACGTATAAAGCAGAAAAAAGGTAGAAGTGATCTTCGTAAATTAATTAGAAGGCCTAATATATCAGATTAATAAAATGCTTTCAAAGAGAATTAAGAGGGGGGGAGAGTACCGATTGTCATGATAAAAAGGCAGGTACCGTACATTGGCAAGGTACTTTGGCATCAGAAAAATGGCAGTGCTTCTAAGGATATACTGACAAAATACGACTATAAATCTTTGAAGAAGAAAAAAAAAGGCAGCTCCACTTTAATGTACAAGTTTATTAAGTGGGAAAAAATGTTCACTCTCACCACTTCTCTGTCTACTTGAGTTTTGTTTTGGATTACACTGTAGAGTTGATGCTTCAGCAAGATTGGAGGAATTCTACCCTCAAACCGATGAACGTCAAAGAGACTTCTGAGGTATGTTAATGCTGCTTTGGTGTCTGATGGCAAATCTAATACAAGATGAAATAAGACAAAACATTATGCTACAAATCTTATTCTGTTCAACATTAGGTACACATCCAGTGACATGATACAAATCTACATACCGTCACCTTCTTAAAATAATGGCCAAAGTCATATTTTCATGATTTGAGAAAAAACAGAGAAATATGAACTAAACATTATATAGACTCTAGTCTAGACTAGTATACAAATAATACACAGCAGTGAGGGCATTAGTAAGAATTACCCATACAAGGTACCTTTGGAAAAGTCAAACACGCCCGAGGCGATAGCCGAGGGCGTGTTAGACTTTTTCAAAGGTACTGAGTGTGGGTAATTATACTAATGCCCGAACAAAATGATGTGTATTATTTGTTTTATAAAATTATAACATGGATCCTTGTTATTTGATCAATCACCCTCAGTCATCTCAAACTCAAAGGCCCGAATTCACAAAGGAGATTTAAATCTAACCCATGGTTTAAATTCACATTTACATAACCTATGGTTTAAAATAAGCGCAAATTGAGGCGTACCTTGCCTTGCGCGCATCTAATTATAGACCTCTGACTTGTGTCACGCTTATTTTGCGCTAATTCTAGCTAGATGTGGTAATGACCGGTCATTACGGTATTAGGGTCTACCCAAATTACACGTTAGGCAAAATAAATGCCTGCGCCTGGTCACGTGTACGCTTTCAACCAATCATTTGATTACGATCTACGTCATCATCATCTTATAAACAGAAATAACTGTCTGATATGGGTCATTTCTTTAATAAACTGACGTTTGTTGATAATCGGAGGTCTAGTGGAGCCAGACGTAGTCTCAGTGGAACAACCGACGATATAGAGAGACTGCATGAAGCTTTAGAGATATGAGTGTGAGGTATTGTGAATGGATATTTGAGAGCGTGTTCACTCGTCACACAACATAACTCTTATTTTTATTTTAGCTACGAGGAAGCAAGGTTGCACTGACAATAAAATACATGAAAGAAAGTATTCCCTTTTCGTTAATTTATTGGGTACTGAAACAAAGCTGACAATGCACTTGCAAAGTGCAGTCAAGCAAATATAGCAGACTTGAAAATGTGAATATTGCACGTAGTTACATTATGATTAAGGATGAGAATGAACATGAATAAATGTGATGTACATAATGAATGAAAGCTTACGACAATAGAAGAAATGAAGTCGTAAGTCCAATGAAGATGGAAGAGAGTTCAGAACGAAGGAAGGGGCTCACGCGATGAATGTTGCGGAGGCTTGAAGGCGGAGATGCAGCTTCGTTGTCGTGGCTGAAGAGCGGTGAAGGATCTCGACGCTGACGCTCGTGATAAAGATGTGGTTGAAGCTCTCAGGCGAGAAGAGAAGAGAAGAGAAGAGATGTGGCGCTCGACGACGAAGCAGTGAATCGCTTGATGTCGGAGGCAAGTAGAAATGTAGACATGCAAAGCCGGCACTGGTGCTGAGTAGTAATAGTTGCTCGTTTGATGCGCCGGACTTTGATGAAGAAATGTTTAGATGAGCTGCGGTGAAATGATGAGCTCGTGAGTGGAAAGAGCTACCGGAACGAAGAAACTGGCAGCTCCCAGCGGAGAGTCAGGCGCCATGTCGGTGCTGACTATAACGTTCCACTGGGAGACTGCAGCCCGATGAACACGGCAGAAAAAGAGTTGTAGAATGAAGCCTGGAGAGGAAATTATGGAGACGTCGTGACTCGACCAATTAAGGTGAAAGCGGGAGTGAAGAAAAACCTCGTGGAGTTGAAAATACGCGGGGTGAACAGTGCGGAACCACGATGCTCGATTGGAGGAATGAACACACGTGGTCCGAATAATGAATATAAATAAGTAGCATGATGGAAAAATACAGGAGACATGAATGTACGGTGAAAGTAGGGCGAATGTAAGTAGGGCGAATGTAAGAGCCGCTACATTACTCCCCTGCCAGAATTGAAGCTGTGTATGCAATACACAGATAAAAGGCGATAAAGATATAAATTCGAGCAAAGTACAAAACGTCACAAGAATCAATGGCTGATAAAAATGTAAAAGTGCATGTATTGTATAATATAGTGTATGCAGTAATTTACAACAGCCTAAGAAATGTACAAGCATGGCATGTTGAAAGAATGTAATACAACAAGCATGGTATGCGAACGGCTGTTTAGTTGCCAAAAATAGAACAGTGAGTATTGACATGGTATATGCATCGAATAAACGTGTATAAATGCAAGAGCATAAAAAACATTCAATACATAATCCAGAATGAAGACATTTTATAAAACATTGCTATATAAGACCAAAAAGTCTGGGAATAATAAAATCGTACAACCAAGCTTCAAAGTAAACGAGGGGTCACCACTTTAGGGAATTTAATCACCTAAATAAAAGAAATAGAAATAGATTTCTTTCCTACCTTGTCTCGTAGAAACACCTGTTGAGTACAGATACTTAGAACATATATTATATCACAAGTAGTAGTTCAAATATTGCACAGCACCCGTAGAAAGAATATGTAAGACCATGTACAAAGTAATGACGCTTCTTCGCGAATTAAGTAAAGAAGAAGAAACTTATAATCTCTATAAAGTAATAAGGCCTCAGAACCGAGTAGAGAAACAAGCGAAGAAATAGGACAAGAATTAAGATGAAGCTGAATTAGCTTTGCTGTTGATCGATCGACTCTCTAGAATAGGTGTGCTCTATATGAACAGCTCAGGAGAAGTGATGAAAATAGGTGTGGCAAATAAAGCAAGCAAGTGTAATGTCCCTGTACAGTATAAGCTATTACCAGTACATTAGGTGGTTGCACATCCCAACCCATAGGGTATGGAATGTGCTTGCCAGAGTAAGTATTTGTGGCACTCTAGTAATGCAACAGGTGTCACTAAAGAAATGAGTGACAATGGAATAAAAGGCTAGACTTCAAGCCACACAATAAAGACAAGACAATAATATTTACAAATGCAAAGTTCTCCAAAGGTCAAGTCACTACAAAGCTTTTATTGGTCACAATCATGACTTTAAATCTCAAATTAAATAATTTCGGGGAATAATAATAGACATGCAACTTGCAACAAGTACTACAAGTACAACAACAACAAAACAAACGGCTTAGGCCTACTGCAGAAACAAAGTAACACAAACACTAGATTAAATTGTTAAAATAGAAAATACGAAACCGCGATGTCAAATCAGACGTACCACTCAGGTCTTCATCGCCCGAAACAGCCCCGTCGGTCAACTGCTGACGTTCGGCAGATTCAGCGGCTAAGATATTGACTGTCCTGGGTCGCTTATTCTTGAATAAACTGGGCATAAATGCACGTTTCATCCTGCTCGTTCTTATCACATCATTCAAATATATCTTTTATCTTACAGTGCTTTTCATACACTATGACTTGTCTTGACATTCTCGTAATGGAGAGGAGCTGTTCAGTAGCTGTAATTTCGCTGTAGCTACTATGTACTACAGTACCTACGTACGCTACCTCGCGCGCGCCGCGGGCCGAGCTCCGTGTACGGTATGGTATAGACTAGCTAGTAGTACCAGGCGCGGATCCAGGATTTCTTAGGGGGGGGGGGGGGGGGGGGGCCCAAATTTGAAATTATGGGTCCCAAAAAAATATGCAACGATTCAGCCAACCGCTGAAAAAGTGGGGAGGGGGGGGGAGGGGGTAGGGGGTGGGGAGGGGGGGGGGGTGGTAAGAGGACACTTTTCTGGGGGGGGGGGGTCCCAAAAAAATCGCAACGATTCAGACAGCCACTGAATAAGCGGGGGGGGTGAAGAGGACATATTTTTTAGGTCATCTATAAGGATTTTTTATTATTATTTTATTTATTTTTTTATTTAAAAAAAAAAAAAAAAAAAGGGGGGGGGGAGGGTTCCCAAAAAACATACACAAAACATACACATAAAAAAAAACTCAAGGGGGGGGGGGTAACCTCCCCCCCCCCCCCCTGCGTACGCGCCTGTGCGAGCCAAATATCGGTACGTAATGGTGACCAGCATTGACGTAATGGGGGGGGGGGTGCAGGAAGGGGCGATTTTCCCCCTCCCCCCTCCGCAAAGCTAGCGCCGAAGCTTTGACGTTTCATTAAATTATTAGAGAAAGTAGACGATTTGTTAAACCGTGCTCGACTCTTAATCTTTATCTGAATTCGGTTTACCCCTTTCGCGCAAAGCGCGGAAGTTTTGACGTTTCATTAGACAGCAGACGATTCGTTGTACCGTTTTCGACTCTTAATAAGTCCTATTTATCTGAATTCAATTCAATTCATTCAATATAAACAACAAATTAATTAATTAATTAATCCTTGGATCAAGGAAAAGGATCATGTAATTAACAAAAGACAGTTTAATGATATATTTTTGAATTCAGTAAATGATCGTAAAATGTCAGATGGAATTTGAAATCAAGTGATTATAATGTGAGCTATAGTTGCTTTTTGTCTGAATTTATTAGCATTATGAAGAATGCTTTCCTTTACAAGAAATAAATGTTAATAGACGTAAGCATAAACCATGGATAAATGAAGTATTGATGAAAACAATTAGAAAGAAATTGAAATTGCATGAAAAGTCTTTGAAAAATTCAACTGAATATAGGAAAAGAGTTTATAAACAATACAGAAATAAAGTTACAAATGAAATTAAGAAAGCTAAATATCAATATTTTAAGGATAAATTTAATCATGATAAGGGTGATATTAAACTAATTTGGAAGACTTTAATGTACGAAATCTGTCAAACAATGTGCAATATTCCAACAGTTTCTACAATGATAATTTATTTGTTAATGAAAAATCAGCATATTTTAATCCTCTATCATGTAAATAAATTATCGATATCGTTCGCTGTTTGAAGAATGGTACCGGTGCTGGTTATGATGATACTAATATTACTGTTGTCAAGAAAATTATACATTTGATTTGTGTAACTCTTTGTTCTATTTTCAATTCATGTTTGTCAACTGGTATTTTCCTAATCAAATGAAAATAGCTAAAGTTATACAGAATTACCGGCCTATTTCTGTCCTCCCTATTTTCTTTAAGTTTTTCTCTAGTTTATATAAACGTTTAAATACTTTCTTAACATCGTGCAATATTTTGTCTGAAAATCAACACGGTTTCCGAATGGGACACTCCACAACAACTGCTCTTCTTAATTTCATTGATAAAGTTTCTTATGCAATTGATTCTAAACAGTTTACAATTGGTTTATTTCTTGATTTAAGTAAAGCCTTTGATACTTTAGATCATGCAATTTTGTTTCGTAAATTAGAGGCTTATGGTATTCGTGGAATTCTTTTGCAATTACTTAAAGATTATTTATTAAATCGTCAACAATTTGTTTCTATTCAAAATCAACAATCTTCATATTTGCCCATTCGTTGTGGAGTGCCCCAGGGTTCAAAACTTGGTCCTTTACTTTTTTAATTTATATTAATGATATTGTGAGTTCATCTGATTTAATAATAATAATAATAATATTGCTTATATAGCGCTTAATACGTCGGGATCATTTTATATCATTTGCAGACAATACCAGCGTGTTCATGTCTCATAATAATCTCCGTACGCTAGTTGATTCATTCAATTCTGAAATAAATAAATTAAGTGAATGGTTGATCAACAATAAACTAGTTTTGAACTAAAACCGAATACATTGTATTCACTAAACGATAATTTTGCAATCACTTTTTATTGTCATCAAATTAGTCGTACTTCTTGTGTGAAATGTTTAGGTGTTCATATCGATGAATCTTTAACATGGCATGAACTCGTTGGTGTCGAATGCAATCGTGTTGCCAAAGCTGTTGGTATTATTTACCGTTTGAGACATTTTCCAAGACATATTTTAGTTATGTTATATTATGCATTGATTTTCTCCAATGTCAATTATTGTAATATTGCTTGGTCAAACAGTCATGATTACTTTATTACTAAACTATTTGTTTAGCAGAAAAAAGCCATAAGAATAATTCTAGTTCACCATATCATGCTCATACCTTGCCAACCTTTTCCCAGTTAAATCTCCTAAATGTTTATGACATTATTATGTTCATGAAATGTATGATGAAAAAAAAGGAAAAAGATGCAGAAACCAATAAATCAAATCAAATCAAATCAAATCAATTGCAATATTTATGTTTATTTGTTCTAGAGGTTTATTATCATCTCCAATTACATCAAACTTTGTTTTAAATAGTATAATACACTTTAAATGCTGTTGAATACCATCTGCCAAAAGTTAGAACTAATATTTCAAAGAATACTAATTTTTATAAAGGTCTTCATCTATGGAGCACGATTCCAAACCATCTAAAGAATCAACCTTCCGTAAATAGTTGTAAACGTTCCTTTCGATTGTTTTTATTAAATTTGTACTCAACAACTTGAATATCGTACTTTGTATATATATATATTTTGTATTATGTTGTCTTTTTCCCTTTTACTATTTCCACCTGCTTTCTTTTTCTTCTTAATGTGATGTTAATTACGTACTTGTTTAGGGGTCAGCGTTCAACAAGGCTAAATGCTCTTTTTGTTGACCCCTCATTCGACATAAATTTGCTTTCTTAACTAATTTTCTTGTTAATTTTATTGTATTCATATTATCTGTAAAGTTACCCTTCTACATGTATTCATGTATTTCACATTTTAAAAATAGATACTCTGTATGTATTGTATATGTTTGTTTTTATGAAGAATGAACTAAATACCATACCATGCCATGCCATACCATACTATTCCTCTTTGCTAACCTTTTCCCAACCGCATAGCATTATTTGGTTTCAAAACATAATGCGAAATCATTACAATGGATTGTCTCTTTTTAGGGGTAACATATAGAGTTTAATTTAATTTCACAGCAACCGACAGCAAAGTAGAAATGAATGCTCTATTTTGCAACAAAATGCAAATTTCTAAATGTAATTGAGTATGATCAATGCTGAGCAAACGAAGGCCTATAATAACACCACGATAACACTACAACTTAACCGACTAGGAATCAATCCTTGTTCATTATGATTAAATAAATATTTCATATACAGATATATATTTGCACTCTACAGGATACATACGTATTATATATATATATATATATATATATATATATTATACAAATATACACTGCCTTGAGACGTTCTGGTTAAAACTATGCGCAAGAGGTGACTCCAATAGTACTATTTGCTGAGGGGCACAGCCCCGAAGCAAATGGTACTTTTGGAGTCACCGAGGCCCATAGTTTAACCAGTAACTCGAATAGAAGGCATGGTATATTTGTTTTATATCCTGCATAAAAAAAAATTATTAAAAAAAAAAAAAAAAAAAAAAATTTAGGAAGAAAAAAATTTAGAATAAAAAAAATGACAATTTTTATCTAAAAAGATTTAAAATGTTTTGTTTTCATTTAATTAAGATTTGAAAAAAAAATTGATTCAATTAAAAAAATATAAAAAAATAAAAAAAATTCAACTCCCAAATAGTAAACCAAAATAGTACTCTCATATAGTACTTTCTAAAAATAGGTCAAATATTTTTGGTCATGTGACGAGCTCTCAACCAATCAAAAGCCAACAAATTTTTGATGCAGGATATATATATATATATATATATATATATATAAACTTTCTAAAAGAAGTAAAACAGAATCCCACTCAAAACATTAAATGCACGGCTGAAAGCATATTGATGTTCATTTTGAAAACTATATCAAAAGAATAGATCTTCGTCATCGTCAATAATACACATGCACTACAAATTTGTAGAAAATAAGTTATCAATACACTGAAATATCAAGTTATGTACAAGCACTGTATATGATTAACAAACAATTGATAGCGATTTGTTTACAAGTGTCTCTAATTGGTTTTCCTAGGTAAATAATTCGATAATTCAAGCTACACTTCTGCATTCTCAAAATTTTACGAGACTGTATTCAGATTCCGTACATTATGACATTGGACTATAATAATGTTTCACGATTTCTGTTGCCAAGAGATACAAAAATCTTAGTTATGAGTATGGAAAGATTGACTGCAAATTAGGTTATTATCATGCTTGCTCGAATACTAGCTATCAAGCTCGTCCATTTCAAGGAGTTTATACAATGCATACAGACTTGTCACTAAAATGTCTGAAAATTACGGTCGACGTTACATTGGTTTCATTAATTTCATATTGAAAAGCAAAATATAATTCAAAAGGATTTCAAAGTGAAAGCCTCAACAAGACATAACGTGAAAAAGGAACGTATCATTTCAATCATTCCTCTAAAACAACCAAGCTAACTTCAACAGTACCTTACATTCTAGAGTGCAATAAGTTTTTAAAAAAGAAAAAAAAACTGTGACTTTCAAGCATTTTCCCTTTAAAGCCCCACTGCACTACTTATAGCTACTTGCGCCCTACAGCCGTCAATGCCTAAGCGGTACCCGGTGATCCACATAATGCCCATTTTATTATTTCAATTGAGAGCTGATTTGATGAACTTGCAGTGAAGTTTAATCCCTCCATGCCAAACTAGTGCAGAGGGGTTTTAGGATGAGCACCCATTGACATGAGTGTAGGTAGCTCCCGCGGGGCAGGGCGGCTATATCCAAAGTGGTGGAGAGTGGGAGATTTTAAAAGTAAACAATTTAAACATTCTACTAGCAATATTTACATCAAGCGTGTAGGCAGGAGGGGGGTTGGGCTAACCCCCCTCAAATTGTTTTAATTGTACGTTTTGTGGTAAAGGAGGCTCCCCCCCCCAAAAAAAAAAAAAAAGAAGAAAAGTGTTCCCCCTCAAGCCAATGAACGAAATATCTGACAACATAATTTTCCAATTTCCAGGGCCACCAAAAAATGCCCTTACCCCCCCCCCCCCCCCCGCTTATTCAGCGACTGTCTGAGTCATTGCCAAATTTTCCCTTAAAAACTGGAGAGAAAAAAATTACAATAAAGGAACCCCTAAAACACAAAAGTATTTACTAAACCACCCCCAAAACGCGGCTATTTTTTTTTGGGGGGGGGGGGGGCGGTGGTTTTCCAGTTATATCTGATATGACAATGTTTATAACGTTGAATCAAATTAATAATACACCCCGGGCTCTTAAATTTCTGTCAAATATTGATCATGGATTTACGTTAATGGTGAGCAATTGAAAGGGTTTGCCAATCGCACTGGTTTCTTTGATGTCGAATGATGGGCTGCTTTGATCGTAATTAGTCATTACAGCGATGCCATTGGGACCGCCTTCCTTCGTCCAGTAGAGGGTGCCATCGAAGTAGCTTATATCTCGCAGTTTTTCTCGCTCTTTTTCGCCACTGATGTCAGCGTCATTCATGTAGTCTGTGAGCTCGTCAGCCGACCCCGTACTGGTGAGAGGTTGGTTTACGTCCTTGTAGAAAGATTGTTTCTTTCCAAAGTCACAGAAAAATATGCGTCGTGGATCTCCTGCCACAACAAAGAAAATATGCAAATGCAAAGTAGTTATTATGAATTTAGCCTTTGATTAAATGAAATTTCATGACTAAACCCTCACAACAACCAAGATGGATTTACAATCTGAGTCTGAGAAGACAAGACAAGATTATGTACAACTTGAAGATAGTACATGACTTTTTGTGTGTGATATACGTGGTGTATTATACAATGGTCATTTCAATTAATTTGAACTCATTTTTCATACAATTTATCGTTTTCTCCTTATTTATAGCCCATGATATACAATTATACTGTTAAGTCAACATTAAAAAGGACATGAAAACATGTATATTTCTTAATATTTAAATTGTTAAATCTACCACTGCCATCGACTGTCTCTCCTCGACTAATCAAAACGTTGATTTAACGCTTTTTTTAAGAAGGTAATATGAGGGATCATTAGAATGTCTGTTATCTGATCATATCAAGTCATCACCACAATTATGTTTTCATTATAGAAAGAAGGGAATATCGTTATATTATAATACAAATACAACATTATTTTCTTTTCTTGATAAATCCATGAGTTAGCATTCCAAAGGCCATGAAGAATCTTTCCACGTACACGGCTGATGTCAATGACCCTTCTAAATAAGAAATGCGTACATGGATGATGTCAATGCCAGGGTAATATCAGTGGAGCACCAGGGTCGTTAAGTGTGACATACATGAGCGCCATACAAGAACCCACAACAACTATTATCACGTTCATGCTTGGCGCTCACATAATTATTGTATTGTATTATACAAAATTATTAAAATTAGTCGCCGACATGCTAATCCAACCTCAGTGACGTTTGCATCATACCAGGTACCCATTAACACCTGGGTGGAGAGGAGCCATATAGTTGAACTGTCTTGTTAAATTTCCATTCATTTATATGAAGTGACATGTCATTTAGCTAAACCCTTCTAAATATGAAATACGTACTGCTGAGATCAATGCTCAATCCAGTGATTTCGGATAGATCGCTGTTTTGGTAAATAGTCTGCGTGCCTCCAGATCCAACGAGTGGTTTGCGCTCTATAGAGTATTTCAGCGACCAGTACAAGAATCTGAAAAATCAAGCGTGCCGTGATAATCAATATCAACACTAGAAGAAAAAAACGCAAAGTAATCAGCTATATCAAACGTTATATTAGATATCTCTTTTTTTAAATAATTTGGCGTGAACCAAATGTTTTATCACTACTTCGTCAGCTAGGCCTATCTGAAACTATATTTTCAATATATCTACTTAAACATTAATTTGGTATGAACCTAATGTTTTGTTACTACTTGGTTATAAGTATATTTCTTCGGCATTGTGGACATCAGGAACAGCAAAACATCTTTTCAAACTGGGGGAGGGGTCGACCAAAAGGGCACACCTTCGAAAAAGGGGCTCCTACGAAAACCTGTCGAAAAGGATTGAGTTTTATACCCCCCCCCCTTATGAATGCATTATTATTTTTTATGCTGTTTTATATCATAGAACAGAGATGTATATAAATTATATTGTTTTCTTTCTGGACACAATTGCTGGTAATACGCTAGGTAAAAATGTATGTACGAGCGAGCCAAAATAGAGAGACGTTAATAGCTGACAGCTCTGATGCCTTCTGGAATAGTTGCCTGTATATACAAGTATACCACTTTCTAATTTATTGATGTTCCTGTTGTAATTATTCATTAACGTTGGGTTTTAGGCGAGGTTGTTTTGCGAACGAACGGAAATTATTCAGGGAAAATGAAACGATATTTACCCCGTTTTAAATCTGAGATGCATGTCCCTACGTGTTATCAGTGTCTGTGATATGGTGTAATATTGAAGCCCTAACAAAATTGCTCTTCAAAATGATCAATAATGGCCTCAAAAAAGTAAAAATCTTTGAGTGACCGGTTTTTACCATACTGGTTTCACCCATCAGACTGTTGTATCATAAAAACCGTTAGGAAAACGCAAAATTTAATTTCGATTTCCAATCATAAATATCTTGATAATCAGAGAGGCGATCGGCTTGTAAAAGCTATGGGGTTCCCGACTGACCTAAAGGTTTATAATTATCATTGCAGCATGAGCTAAATCCAGGATTTTGTTTCAGAATCTGAGACTAAGTTACCCGATCCCTTTAAAGCAAGATCTGCTTACTTCTGTTCCCTCAAGCAATGGTAAGAACCCCCTTTATTCCCCCTCATGCCCTTGTGATATTACATGTCGACCCTCAAAAATTAACTACGGGCTTGGAAACAGCTTTTCATCTGCCCTCCTTTCAAACGATACATGCATGCCATTTGAATGAGAGACTATATACACATTATAAGGTACATTATGTGTAGAAAAAAGTTCACCTGTTTGTCACATGAGGGGTAAGCAACCAAGATCGCCCACAGATATCAACATTCCGCGTGGTAAAATTAGAGGAAAACTGCTAATTAAGTATAAAAAGGGCTTAAAACATAATTATTTAGGACATTCTACCTACCTATCAAGAAAACTTTTTTTAAAACAAAATGGTTGTTGTCTTCTGGCAAATTAAACGTTGGGGGGGGGGGGGGTTATCGTGTACAGTGATATCTTACACATAAAGTTCACGTGCAGGGATTGGCCAGGGACGGCTTAAGTGACATGATATACCTCCATTATTAAATAAAATGGACATCATTGTATATATCCTGGTTAAACCATGCCAGACTCACCCTTTCTCTTCATCCACTTCTAAGGAATATAGCTCTTCAGATAACCCGGATGCAAAGTCCGTCTCAGCCCTAGGAAACGGGCTTCCTTGTGCAATCGATACCGATGTAATTTTCTTCGGACTTTTATTTGCGATGTAGAGAGTTCGAGATGTCTCTGCAATAGCAATTCCTCGTAGTTCTGTGATTTAATTTAAAAAAAAAAAAACTTTCTCGGAACGAGGGGGTTGGGACATTTTAAGAAACGAAATAAGGAGTTCATATATATTTACCCCATGATTAGTAAGGAGGTCTTTCAACAACATTAATTTCAATGAAGATGTCAACAACCCTCAACTTGATGGTATATAAACATGTGTATAAACTTTATTTTTACATGAGGTGTGCAGCCTTGCATCTCTTATATGACAAATCTAGCTGCCAGACCATTGCCTTCATTTACAACATGATTTATGTAATAAGAATAATTTAGCCACATCATGAGTACAATTATGTTTGGATTGTAAATACAAACAATATCAGATTCTAATCTCAATCATTCCTCGCAAAATTCATACAATCGTATCTCAAGATTCATATTGATACGACTACGTGAATACATCATACCATCGCTGCTTTCAGAAGTGACCACCTCCCTGTTTCCACCATCCACATCAGCACGATAAACTCGTTTTGTATCCTTGTCAGTCCAGTAGATCTTCTTCTCCACGGAGTCATACGTAATATAACGTGGTTCTTTAGTGGATGGTATAGAAGAGAAGTCTAGGTCATCTTGTAGATCTGCAACATAAATCTTGTTCTCGGTGTCTTCATCGGTCACAAAGATCTTTGCAGTCAATTCTAAAATAAATGGAATGAAATAAGGTGAGGTTTGGTAACGTTAACGAGATCTAATTTCTTGGGTGTGGAAACACAACTCAGATAGATCATAAACTAGTAAAGTTATACATGTTATAATGTATAAAAACACGCGTTAAATTGCAAGGCAATTATCATATATATGATCATGATGATGTTCGGCTTTTCATCTATCAAAACATATCTGGTATGTCTGTTAACTGATATCATTATCATGAAAGCATTCCATGTTTAAAGGAGTCACTCTCCAGCAACGCTGAGCGCGTTGGCCATGTTGGTTGTGTTTCTTTGGTGTCTGCCCTATTATGGTGGCCCTGAAGGGACATAGCAAATAGACTAAATCGCGAAAAATTAGCGATAAAATTGACGATATCGTGAATTTTATCGCCAATTTTTCACGACGAAATTCACGAAATTCACGATATCGTCAATTTCGTCGTGAAAAATTGGCGATAAAGTTCACGATAAAATTGACGATATCGTCAATTTTATCGTGAACTTTTTTTCTCCTGGCTTGGGCGGGCGGGCGCTTCGTAAACAAAATCATGATCAGCCCTAGGCCAAGCTTGATTGAAAACGATTATTATGACCACACGTTTTTACGATGATTCTGTGAAAATGGTAGGTTTAACTTTATATTATGCTCTATTTGTAGCAGGGATAAAAGATAGGGATAAAAGTAATTGCACCGAGCGGAAAAATTACCCGGTATGCAATTAATGGTCTAGATGCACTCAATGCATTTTCCCATACATTCATTTCCATATTGTGATATATATTGAGTAATGTAATTGATCTAGATCTAGGCCTACTTTTATTAGTAGGCCTACGTACTAGCACACTCAATTTCTCAAACTGAGTCAACAAAGACTGACAGAGTCCATTGCAATAACACACTCGTACTCGTCGAATAGACGCAAACTGAGCTGAGCTGAGCTGAGCTGAGCTGATTCAATTTGATGTAGGCAAGCACCAGATCTAGATCTACAAATCATGATAGATCTATTACTTAAATCCAAGGGATCGTTTAACAATGTTAAGTCTGACTCTGAGATGCAATCATAAATGGCCCTAGATCTACGTGTTATTTATAATATTACTATGTATGTGATACAGTGTAATATCATTATTTTATGACATGATTAGGGGCGCTGGTCCGAGAATGAGGATCGTCTGCATAAACAAAGATATCCTAGTCGTAAAAACGGACAAATTGCGTTCGCGAACGTCTTTTTTTCATCGGCACTTTGCGGGTTTCAGGTTCCCAGTGCGGGCATCAGGGCATGCAAAAAAACATGTTCCTTGTAAGAAAATAAACCCAGTCTCCTTGGCGCTTGTTCAGAAACGTATCTAAAATTTGACCCGTAACTCCGGCGTGGAGATACCCTACTATAACATACCAAAATGAAGTAAATATTCATGTCCAAATAAGATCATGAGTTAAAAGTCGTTATGTTTATTACCTGTTTCGTGTCAATTTTTTGTTATTTTTGGAGTATTTTTCGGAAAAACAATGATATTAGTATACACTTTTTCTCAGGTTTCACGGCAAACCGCTGCACAATACAAGTGCATATCGATGTGAAGTTATCTACCGTAATGAGGACCCGCCCCCCCCCCCAACTCAGGGGTCGGAATGACCGCATGCGTGTTACCAAAATGTCCGGTAAATTTTCGTGCGACAAAGGCCGGCCCGAGAATTGTAAAAAAAAGAGGTGTATTTGACTTTTCACCCGGAGATTTCTTTAAAAACTAGGGGGTGTTTTTTCTTTTTTTCTTTCTCTCATCTCTTTGGACTCCTGAGAAATTATTCCGAATTTAGGGGGGTACATTGAGCATTTTTCCTGATTAAGGGGGGGGGGGTCTCCAAGGCAGGAAAAGCCCGCAAAAAGCCCGCGAAAGGGGGGTTCGGAAATGTAGGCAGTCCTCAGATAGGGGTGCTTTCAAAAAGAGGGAACGAGCATATGCGTACCCTAAATAACACTGAGTGGGGGGGGGGGGGCAAATCGGTTGGTTGCCGCTTTGAGTTGTGACCATGGCTTTAGTTCTGACTGATAAACCTTTTTATTGTGTTAAAAAATAACGAACTGGAACCAATTATTACCTGCGTTCGTACCACACACAGTCAGGGGAAGAGAAGACAGACATAAGACGTATGTCACACATAATAGCCGACGAGCCATGTTAACCATCTTTAACCTGAATAAATGACAATTAGAAATCATATAGTAAGACGTCTACATTGGTTAAATAATACTCATATCATTATCATTCCAATTAATCAATTCCAAAAAAAAAAAATGAAATGGAGGAATAGATGTTGCAATAGATAGAAAGCGCATTCTTAATCAAAATGATTCAAAGGAAGATATGAAGAGAATTAAAGTGGTAAAAAATAGACACAGGGATTGGGGAATTAAATCGGAGGAAAGTATTCATTTTCATTAATCGAAACATAGTTACACATGATAAAAACGTGATCACCAAAGCTGTTTTCCATCATGGCCTGAATAATCAAATACAAGTTCTTTAATTATGTTCATGTTCCTACTTATAAATTGTATTGTTTGGAAGAAAAATAAATGTTCATTTGAATTTGAAGTAAATATAAACATTTCAAATCTATAGTGATACAACAACGACTTACCGAGCATGGGAAGGGGTCTCCGAACTGCACAAAATCGACGGAGAGAATGAATTTTTGCAAACGTGTCACGATGACAGAACAACAACATGTTGTGTTGTATGACCATATGTTTAAATATCATAGACTGGCGTTTACAATTAATTGATATCTCTAGCTGTCAAAACACCTATTGAGACGTGTTTTCGTATTGATGTTATTTAATTTGATTTCTTCGTTTCCATATGGAAACATGAAAAGACAACATCTGACACTGCGATGATGCAATTCAAATGTAATGATTAGCATAAAACAAAATAACATCATTTAAATTCAAAATAAATCTTGAAGTTTCACAGGGATGTGCCGTAGAAATTGTGTAGTGTCTATTTCCAGGGATGGGAGGGGGGGGCGTCGGGTTAAAACGTAATCAACAACCATCTCTCTGATATCCCACCTTCCCTCTCAACCCAATATGAGTGCAATCCATCACCAATTCACCATGGACTTGATTTGTTTATTTCAACATACCATAATTATGTTCATCATAGTGAATGTTACGACACGTAGTCAAATCTGTTTTTCCACAAAGAAAAGTTGGATATACTTTTATTTGTTTAGGTTTGTTTTTAAGAGGGGGGCTGGTAGCTAATGGGGAAATGCACCGGTCGCACTCTGATTATAATTTCTTTCCTTGCCTGCGGTAGAGGAGAGGATCTTATCACCTCATTTTCTCCCCTTTTTTAACTTCTCTCCCTCTCTGTGTATGTCTCTGTCTTTCTTTCTCCCCCCCCCCCCTCTCTCTCTCTCTCTCTTCGTCTCTCTCTCTTTTGTGAATTGAGACGATAATTCGTATAGGCGCTCCTTTCTTTTCCTATTTCCCCTTTGTCATTAAAGTGGGGGCATCTGCCTTCCGCCCCCCTTCCCTTCTGTCGCTTCGCCGCTGGCTACAAGGGCTATACATAATCTCAAAATGGTAATCAATTTTATGCATGAGCCTATGGAGAAGTAAAATATCGTGGAAGAAATACCAACTGGGGAAAGGGGAAATCAATTTTTTAAATCATCAGCGATTTTGCCCTCCATCCCCCTGTCAACCTCCGTCGGCGCTTACAGAAAAATTCATCTTGAAATATATTGGATTAAACAAAAAAAAGGCATTTCCCTTCTCCAATACTATATATCGGAGCAGGGAGGTGATAGAGAAGGAGTGGAACCAACCCGCTCTCCTTTGATCTCATGATCCAAGCCACCGAAAAGTTATGCGCCAATCTGCAACTCTTGACCAGGTGTTGAGGTAAAAGAGCGCATTAAAAATCAGAATTTAGAATTCCTACATCAGAAAGAGGTATTCCAGCAGATGTTCGCTGTCCCTTTCAATAATTTCTCATCAAATGTTGAATATGTAATGTGTAGAACAAGCGAACAAAAACTTGTGTTATTTAACATTTTTCCCAACTGCAAAAATACAAAAAAAACACGCGAAAACACGCTTTCGCAAACTTAAAGATATCTAAGATTGTAAATCGTGGATTGAATGACGGGACATTAAAACATGCGAAAATAAGCGCTTATTCTAAAATATTTAGTTTGTGTCAGGATCTATTTTTTCTTTTACGATCTTTGGCACACAAATTATAGGAAGTGATTGTCACTTAGTACAACAAATTGTTATACATACCAGATATAAAAAGGATAACTCTCGTCTTCATAACATTGAATAATTTTCTTCTTCAAAGAACTAAAGTTTTTACTTTTGTTATTAAGTTTTTGTACAAATATTTGACGCTCAATCGAAGTAACCATAACATTTAAAGCATCGTTTCTTTTGTATTCAAAACCAAAATTCGTATTTTCTAAATCAAAGTCTACATGTATTCGAGGACCTTCATTTATCCATTTCACCGTTTCATTCCAGATTGATTTACTGACTTCACAATTATAACAGAGCTATGTTAACCATCTTTTACATGAATAAATGACATTTTAGAAATCACATATTAAGACGTTTACATTGGTTAAATAATACTCATATCATTATCATTCCAAATAATCAATTCCAAAAATTGAAGTGGAGGAATAGATGTTGCAATAGATAGAAAGCGCATTCTTAATCAAATGATTCAAACGAAGATATAAAGAGAATTAAAGTGGTAAAAGATAGACACTGGAATCGGGGAACTAAGTCGGAGGAAAGTATTCATTTTCATTAATCGAAATATAGTTACACATGATAAAAACGTGATCACCAAAGCTGTTTTCCATCATTGTCCTGAATAATCAAATACAATAGTCAATATATAAACATTTCAAATCTATAGTGATACAACAACGACTTACCGAGCATGCCCATAGGAAAGTGAAAAGTATGCCGCAGACCTGCCGCAGACCTGCCGCAGATCTGCCGCAGACCTGCCGCAGACTTTTAGTCTGCGGCAAAGAGTATGCCGAAGTATGCGGCAGAAAGAAATTTTGCTGCAGACTTGCCGCATACCAGTATGCCACAGGAACAGTCTGCGGCAGATCTGCGGCAGGATGAAATTTTGCTGCAGACTTGCCGCATACTAGTATGCCACAGGAACAGTCTGCGGCAGATCTGCGGCAGGATGAAATTTTGCTGCAGACTTGCCGCATACTAGTATGCCACAGGAACAGTCTGCGGCAGATCTGCGGCAGGATGAAACTTTGCTCCAGACTTGCCGAAATACTAGTATGCCACAGGAACAGTCTGCGGCAGATCTGCGGCAGGATGAAATTTTGCTGCAGACTTGCCGCATACTAGTATGCCACAGGAACAGTCTGCGGCAGATCTGCGGCAGGATGAAACTTTGCTACAGACTTGCCGCATACTAGTATGCCACAGGAACAGTCTGCGGCAGATCTGCGGCAGGGCGAAACTTTGCTCCAGACTTGCCGCATACCAGTACGCCACAGGAACAGTCTGCGGCAGGTCTGCCACAGGAAATCCCATTAAAGTCTAATAGGGCCAATTGAAACCAATCATCTCATGCATATTCATTATTACTTTACACGTGTGACAGAAAAATACATTTATCATGATTTGTTAAGCAAATTAAGACAATGCACATCATTTTTGTGATTTCTATTTTCCTTTTGCCATTATTAACCAATAGATTATTTTGTCTGATCATGTTACAATTACATTCACGTTTAAGCAATAGATATATTGATTACTAACCAAGAAACTATGATTACTAACCAAGAAACAATATACATATTTAGTATATATATGTGTACGAGCCTGTGTCACTTTAAATGTTACTATTGAATACACTTCAAATGATCAATGTGATGAAGTTAATACAATTGAGAAAAGAATATACCTAATTGGTAACATCGATATATATTGGTATTAAGAGAGTTTCAGTTCAAACTTATACATAATATATTATATACAAACCATCACCTCTTCCGTTTTGGTCTTGTCTCGACTAACTTATGCTCATTTTGCGAAAAAGATGAAGAAACATATAAACATTTATTCTATACTTGTGAATTTGCACAATCAGTGTGGGAAATATGCACGAGATTTTTAGACTTTGAAATACATAACTGTAGTTTGGAGGAAATTCTGTATGGGAAAGAGGAGAGAAATAAAGGAAAATATCAATTAATGAATCATGTTTTAATTCTTGTTAAATATCTGATTTATAGAAATAGAGAACTTAAAAAACCACCCTCTTTTAATGAAATAAAGAATAGTATAATAGGGGATAAAGTAGAAGAAAGGAAATTGGCAGCAATGAGGGGAACTCTCACTATTCATTTTTCTAAATGGGAAAACCTGAGTATTAGACAAACAATTGGAACCCAGAGCCAGTCGTCCACCGGTTAAGAGGGGGGGGGGGGGAATGGGGATAAGGGAGAGGTCGGGTAGGGTAGGGTTAACAAAAAGAGAAAACTTTTCTCTCAGGACAACAGTATAAAAAGAAGTATAAGTTGCTACATTGTTAAAACAAAACAAAAATTGGATTATACAACTGCATATGTTTTCTTTGAAAATATGAATTTTTGTTTCAAATATGATGTATAGGAACTAACTATGTAAGTTTCTTTTGAAGCCGTTTGTAAGACAAAAATTTATACTGATTTATAATGTCATCACATTTGCAGTGAGAGTTTGATGATTGTAATTTGTACTATGATTATAATTTGTTTCAAGAGAGAAAAGAATAAAAACTGACCATAAAAAAAAAAAAAATTACCTAATTGGTAATATCGATATTGCCAATATCGATTGTGTATCAATCAGTTTATCACTGGTTCTTCTACATGCATACTTTATTGACACGTACTGGATATGAAAGAGTATGCGGCAGGTCTGCAGCAGGTCTATATGAGATATGAATATTCATGACGAAGAGTCTGCGGCAGGTCTGCAGCAAGTCTGCGGCAGACCTGCCGCAGACTCTTCATCATACTGATAGAGTATGCGGCAAGTCTGCAGCAAGTCTGCGGCAGACCTGCCGCAGACTCTTCATCATACTGAAAGAGTATGCGGCAAGTCTGCGGCAGACCTGCCGCAGACTCTTCATCATACTGAAAGAGTATGCGGCAGGTCTGCAGCAAGTCTGCGGCAGACCTGCCGCAGACTCTTCATCATACTGAAAGAGTATGCGGCAAGTCTGCAGCAAGTCTGCGGCAGACCTGCCGCAGACTCTTCATCATACTGAAAGAGTATGCGGCAAGTCTGCGGCAAGTCTGCGGCAAGACTAATTTGCATGTGAAAAAGATGACTGTCTGCGGCAGGTCTGCTGCAGATCTGCGGCAAGTCTGCCGCAGGAGTATGCGGCAGGCTCATTTCTTTCCTATGGGTGGGAAGGGGTCTCCGAACTGCACAAAATCGACGGAGAGAATGAATTTTTGCAAACGTGTCACGATGACAGAACAAAAACATGTTGTGTTGTATGACCATATCTTTAAATATCATAGACTGGCGTTTACAATTAATTGATATCTCTAGCTGTCAAAACACCTATTGAGACGTGTTTTCGTATTGATGTTATTTAATTTGATTTCTTCGTTTCCATATGGAAACATGAAAAGACAACATCTGACACTGCAATGATGCAATTCAAATGTTATGATTAGCAAAAAACAAAATAACATCATTTAAATTCAAAATACTCTTGAAGAGTCTCAGGGATGTGCCGTAGAAATTGTGTAGTGTCAATTTCCAGGGATGGGGGGGGGGGGGGAGGGCGTCGGGTTAAAACGTAATCAACAACCATCTCTCTGATATCCCACCTTCCCTCTCAACTCAACATGAGTGAAATCCATTACCAATTCACCATGGAATTGATTTGTTTGTTTCAACATAACATAATTATGTTCATCATATCGAATGTTACGAC